GTACATATATAATCACCATGGTACATATATCATCACCATAAAACCCATAGGAGTTAGTTCTCTATTAACTCAAAGGCCAACTGTCGACCATGACCGAGCTACATTCCCTTCCGTTGCCCTTCCTGTCCCGAAGGCATGGGCACGAAGAAATTGCGGAAAGCAGTCGCGGGGCCACAGGCGATGGAACAGGCCTGTAGCCGTGTCTGTGATGCATTCCCGCATTGGTTGGGGGGCAAATTTGCTGGATAGCAGCATACCTACCCAGGTGGAGGTTAGAAAAAGGTTTCCTGTATTTTTTGTTGCCTTAGTTCAATCCGTTAAAACTTTGATGTTAACCAATAAGCAGGAAATATGACCGACAAAAAATTGATTTCAATCAATAATCTCGCAACATTCATGGAGTAATGAGGTGTTTGAACGTGGATGCTGACAACAAAAACTATGTATGTGGCTCAAACCTCATGAAAGTTTCTGGTATAGGTCATAGGGCCATGTAGCCAAGCAGCAGGGCCTTGCGTTCGGTCCATAACCTGAGCTATGTCATAAACAAATACGTCTGGAATCCTGTGGGCATCTGGCGAAACATAAAACAAAGGCATTGATGGACACACACTGACACTGACACGCAGTAAACGTAACTCTTCAACTCTTCAACCATCCTGTAGGTTGGGATATTTTGAAGCCTTTGGCAGGAGTCGGAGAAGTACCGGCCTAACTGACCTAACTGGTTGGTGGACCGCCCATCCCGAACATATCAATGGTTTGAAATCATCAGGCCAGGAAAGCTGGATAAACCATGATAAAACAAATGAAACCAAGTGGATCGGCGACTCACTTGCGCACACAAAATTAGCCCACTTGTACACACAGATTTTGACTCAGTTGTACATACAAAAGCCTCAGTTATGACAATTGCCTCACTTGTACACACAACCTTGGGAGGTGGGGTGGGGCAAGGGAAGAAAAGGGCAGGATCTACCAGCCACACCCGTTGCTAAACTTCATTATAGGGGCACGACCGCTACTCGACTTCCTTCGACTTACCATCACAATTGAACGTTGGGGGTGGGGTGGGGCTAGGGACAGAAAAAGTCTACCAGCCACATCCGTTGCTAAATTTCGAAAGCGATACCTCCTTGTCATCATGAACCTCATTATCTCCATCATTGCCGTTCTCGTCAATATAGTTCATTATTAATTTTCATTCTCATCCTCATTTTCATATTCGTTGTCATTTTTGTCATACGCATCATCGTCATCATCATCATCATCATCAGCATCATCCGCGTGCACAACTGAGTTGTTTCGCTTGCACAACCGAATGGGTTTTCGCGTGCAGAACCCAGGCACTTTCCAATAAGTGCAGTGAAACAATCCACCAGAACCAAACAAGCACCAAGTGCTTCCTTTTCCCACAGGTTGATGACGGTCAATCACCAAAGCAGAAGCTCCCAAAACAACATACGCAAGGACCAGGATGTACCTAAGCCCAATAAATCCCATTAAATCAATGGGACAGCTACCTTCATTCTGCATTGTTTTTGCCGGGGCTTCTCAGAGGGTCTGCCTCAACAGCCCAGCACGGTCGCTCTAGGCAAAGGCTGCAAAAGTTGCTTGTGGCCAACTTCATTCTGCATGGAAAGCAGAAAAAAAAACACATCTACATCACAGAAGTGTATTAAACGATATTGAATGATCTTCTTTCAACTGCCAAGAAGAAAAATAAAATGAAACCTGCCCCCACATGTGGGAAAACTCCAAGTGACATAACCTGTGATACCATCCTCCGGCACCACTGATGGGCCCACAAACTCCAGGCAATTGAATTGCGAGGCCACTTGAAAGGTTGCCTACAGGTGGAGTCATGGCGAAGCAAACGGAATTTTCAGGGTTCTTCCTCAGTGAGTCTACCTGTAGTTCCACTGAGTTCTGAAATGATAGCCATGGAAAAACCCCGGTGTCACTTGACTCACTTGACTTGGGACCGTCTGTTCTGCGCATTGATGCTGTGACACCCCACATGGTTTGACAAGACATCCCCAATCAGCTTTTTCCGACTGATTTCATCCCCATCTTGCCATGCAGAACTCTCGGTGTCACCCATTGAGGGCTTCAGCGCCCATTCCAACTTGTTTACAACATATCAAAAAACTATTTTGAATATATCAAAAACCCAATAAATAATTTATATGTATTACAGTATATGTATTACAGTATATGTATTACAGTATATGTATACACTATATATTTATGACATATGTTACATACTACTAAACACACATATATATATATATTTATTTATTTCTTTTTTTATTTGTTTAAATATGTTCCATTATATTTTGAAAATGTAAAAGTTTGTATTGTATAAATTATATTGTACAAATATGTACGCATAAAACATATACACATTACAATATACAAATATACTATGTTAGTTCAAAAATTACCTAAAATCTCGCTCTCTCTCTCTCTATATATATGTGTGTGTGTGTACTAAATAATCACAATACTCATCGTCCTTCAAAATAATAATAATAATGTTGATAATAAAAAACATATTAATAAGAGAAAAAACAAAAATAACAACAATGATAAAACAAAAATAGTGATAATAATAAAAGTAATAACAATTAATAATAATAAAATAAAAGTAAAATAATATCATTAATAATAAACATAATAATAATATATATATATAAATCAATCCACACACATATATACATATAGTCATATAGAGTATGTCATAATATGTTTATATGCAAACAAATCAGATACTCTTGAAAACCCCAAGTAAAACGCTGGGATTTATGGATGTTCACCTGTTCATCCCTCCAAAATGTGGTATAACAGGTGCTAAGCCATTCAATGTTTCATAAGTACATATATATAATTATATAAATTATATATATATGTATATGTATAAATTAATGCATAAAAGAAAATATCCACCAATATATCTGCATGTGTGCATATATACTTCTATTATATAATTATATTAAATAACTATATTGTATAATTATATTATATAATTATATATATATTCTTATATTATATTATATATATATGATGTAAAATGTATGGAATGTCGTAATCTACTCATCAAAGACGCGCAACCAGTCCCGACCTGATCCCCTGGTGCTGCCAAGCAACGAGCCTGTTCTCAGGCAGCGCATGTTTCAACGCAACATCGCCAATCCTTGGGGCGAAGGCTTGAAATTTTGGCAAAACAAACTCGTGGTTTCTCAGCGCTTCAAAAGGAACACCAGAAAATTGTATTATTATATATCTAGATTCACAACCTTTGCTCTTAGGGGGTATGTGGTACGTGGGTACGGTGGGGGTGGTACAGGGGTACGGTGCTGGGGGTACAGTGGTACGGTGCTGGGGGTACGGTGGGCGCGGTGGAGGGGTACGGTGGGTACGGTGGAGGGGTACAGTGGGTACGGTGGGTACAGTGGGTACGGTGGGTACAGTGGGTAAGGTGGGCACGGTGGAGGGACGTTGGGTGCAGTGGAAGGAGGGATAAGGAGGGTACACGAGGATGGTGGGGAAGTATATAGGGATGAAGGGCGCAAGGTGCAGATAACGGCACTGACGGGAGGAAGATACCTTGGTAAGGATGAAAATGTATAATTATTAGAGTAGGCGATCGGCCAATCTGAGAGTGGAGGCGAACGCAAGAACAGGATTTTAGAAAAGGCGCAGTGCAAACAAGATTGTGTCTTCACGATTGTAATCTTAAAGTCTACTTAAAAACATGAATTTGGAAACTTATGTTGTCTGACAGTGTCTGACTCAGAATCGTACTTGGGATGTTTGAAGCTTCCACCACGCAGTGTTAATCTAATATACCCAATTCAACCTGTGCCCAAGTGTCTGTACACTGCACCCCTATACTGTACCACCGCACCCTCTGCGCTGTACACTATACCCCCTGCACGCACCACTGTACCCGTGCACCGTGCCAGCGTACCCTCTGCACTCTACCAGTGTACGAACTGCACTGTACCCTGTACCCGTACCCCTTCTACTGTACAAAAAAACTTGGTTGTGAAAAGTGCAAAGTTGGTTGTGTAATATTTGTGAAAAAGGGGACGATGGGGTGGGTACGGTGGAGGGGTAGAGTGGGTACAGTGGGTACGGTGGGTACAGTGGAGGGGGTACGGTGGGTACAGTGGAAGGGTGCGGTGGACGAGTACGGTGGAGGGGTCCAGTAGGTACAGTGGAGGGGTCCGGTGGGTACTGTGGAGGAGTACAGTGGGTTAAACTGAGGAGGGTACAGCGGGAGAGCACACACAATGCACATAAAGACGCACAAGATGTGTAGTCGTCGAATACATGTCTGTGATTTCATTGCGATAAAATTTTGCTCAAAAGGCTAGTTTCCGTAATTGCAGCCTGTGAAGACCATGAATGCTGCAAGTCAGAATCGTCAATGTGCTTCGTTTTCCTACTGTGCGGCATAGATGACAAGCCACCATGCAGGCTCTGGTTGATTCCACGGAAAAGTGAAATATGAAAAATATGTGCTGTGTTTCAAGAGGATGATGTTACGTATACCTCCCCTCTTCGCACCTGTATTCTACTACCACCCTCTCCCCGTACCCCCGTACACCCTCCACTGTGCCCACTGTGCCCATGCACCGTACCCATACCTCTCCACTGTACCCACTGTTGTACCTTTCCACCGTACCCATCATACCCCTCCATCGTACCCACCGTACGCCTCCACCGTACCCACCGCGCCCCTCCACTGTACCCACCGCACCCCGTACCCGCCATACCCCTCCACCGTACCCACCAGACCCCCCCTCGTACCCCGTACCAAGCCCTCCGTACACCCATACGGCGCATGCCTCTAAGAAACATGTGTTTTCATATTTGAGTCTAGATAAGTATACACACTCTCACACAACCTATAGACTCCTTCTATGTTCACCTACTTCTACTTGACTTGAGCGTGCCAGAAAAACATGATTTTCCAGTCACGGTAGATTTACCCAGTGGATCCAAGCGGAGTAAACCTTTGTTCAACTCAGGTTTGGGTGCCAACCAAAAATTTGATTAAGTTGTCCAGGTTGCTAGCATGCTGTCACCGGCGAGGTGATTGACCAGGACCCATTGGAGATAATTTTTATATCGCTTAGGCGAAAATGCCTAAAATTTCGGTACCCGCAAAAGGAAACGTTTTCTTGAGAATATGCAAAATTTTTGGACTCAATGGAAACGTTCACGAATGGGGCACACCCAGCTACCTTTGTTTGTATCCTTATGGAATGGTTGTTAAATTCAACAGTGAAAAAGGTCTCTTTGTTTTGTTCATCCTCTTCTAAGTGTGTTTTGACTTTGGGCGTGGGACATGTTGAAAATTCCAAAAAAAACACGACGGAAATCATGCAAATATGGTTACGATCCGTCGGGTGGTCTTGTTTGCTTGCGTGGAATTTATGACCTGGGAACGCAACAGTTATGGAAACTCGATGAACATTCCATGAAAAAAACGATGTTTTTCCACGCAATAACCTCCATGGATAAAGGGTTTCTCGCATAGCCATGTTTGGTAGTGGTCTAGTTTTAGCCCATGTTATCCCATTATATCACCATTTCGTTCGATGATTTTATCATGATGTTCTCGTGATTCCCCATTCAAATATAGCTAAAATCATCTAAAATCGTTTGGGCATGTTTGATGACAACACTCAAAACCCCAGTACAATCACATGTTTATCATTTTTGTTGTCCCAGCCTATCCATAGCTTCATGCTTTTTCGTGGTTTCAAGTCCCCTTCTTCTTGAACTCCAAATGTCTCATTGGTGACCTTCAAGCGCCTTTGCACCAAGGCTTTTGGCTCATCCTCCAAGACCTGATCACGAAATGTCACCAGGGAGGTGCTCCACATCCGAGGAATGGATATGTACACATTGTATATCATATATAAGATTCATAATCATGAAGGTTCTGGAACCGAACCGGAACCGTGGAACCGAACCGTAGAAAATCAAATAGTTTACGAACCGTAGGAACCGTGAACCGCTGGAACCGTATGCAAAACCGAACCGGAGGAACCGGAACCGTCTTACCCTCTTCGGGACCCTCTCCCAATAAACTGATTGGAAAAATTGTAATTGCTTTTTGAGTTCAATGCAAAAAGCAAATATAGGATTCTTCAATAATACTGACAATTTCAGGAAGCTTTGGTTTTCCCGAGTTCAGCTCTCTCCGCTCTTTGAAAGCCGCTGCTCGTGAAACGCACGGCCCGTGATTCCTCTAGTGATATTTGCATGGCCATATATAATCTGTGCTCCTCTTTTGGCACTGAGTCGCGGACGCCGGTGCCCAATGGCCCGGCCCGCTGCACTAAACAAACGTTCAACTTGCGAAGTGGAAGCTGGAATTCCCAGAATTTGAAAAGCCAGTGCGGCCAAAAGCACCTAGAAAGGCCTGAGCTATAAACCTCTTGCGGGAAGCAATCAGTATTTGCTTTTCCGACGCCGGAAAAAAAGCAAATATCAATGCAGAATGTTCCAAACACCGAACCGAACCGAACCGAAATCGACCAGGAACCGCAGGAACCGAAACCGAACAGGAACCGAACCGGGCCTATACCAAATACTAGAAACCGAAACCGAACCGAACCGAAACCACCATGCATAATGCTATATTACTATACTGGTATATACTGGGTATTGTGTAAAATGATATTTAGGTACGAGAGCAGATTCAGAGTATAAAATTAAATCATATTAAATCTATATGTGTAATTGCGTATACTTAGGTATGATTACGTTGATTAATAATGGATGAATATATGGTAGCATATATATATATATATACATATATATATATATATATATATATGTATGTGTGTGTTTGTGTCTGCGCGTGCTTTAGGGTAAAAGTTAAACTCTAATTGAATGATGTGGAACAGGATGTAAAATGAATAGTGATATGATAGATTATTATCGAGATCGACAGATGAGTAAAGATTACCAATAGTACCGCGCAAGGCCGTGGCGGAAGTTTCAAAGATAGGAAACTTTAGGAGAGGTGCGTTGTTACAATGCATGGATGGCAGATCAAATCCACTGATGGACAGAAAGTGGGTTGGAGTTGTGCTTTTTGAAGTGGTTGCAGTGGCCACCTCAAACACAACTGCTGGATGTAGCGTGGTGTAGTTGTGCTTGTAGATGTAGTTGTTGTTGTGGCTGTAGTGGTAGTGTAGTGGTGTAGTGTGGTGCAATGAAGTGTAGCTTAGTGTAATAGTAGTAGTAGTAGTAGTAGTAGTAGCAGTAGCAGTAGCAGTAGCAGTTTCTGTTGTAATTGCAGTTGAAATTTCAATTAGTTGTAGTGTAGTGTGGTGCGGTTGAACGTCCGAAAGTGGTCCGAACATGGTATGCTTTTCACATTTTGACTTCGGCATGTGCTTCGCGCCGCAACAGCGAGCACTTTTTCGACATCTTAACTTAATTCAAAAAGTGCTCCGAGACCGCCAGTTTTTAACACTTTTGACTTGCGAATGTGCTCAAAACGGCGTGCCCTTTTCGACATCTGAACTTCCAAAAGTGCTCTGAGACCTGAGGCGCTTTGCACATTTTCACTTCGAAATGTGCTTCGCGCTAAAACGACGTGCGCTATTTGAACATCGCAACTTCCAAAAGTGCTCCAAATGTTTTTTTTCACATTTTGACTTCGAAATGTGCTTCGCGCCACAGCCACGTGTAGATTTTGGACATTTCAACTTCCAAAAGTGCTCCGAACATGGTGTCTTTTGCACATGTTGACTTGGAAACATGCTTCGCGCCACAGCGGTGTGCACTTTTTCGACATCTGAACCTGAACTGCCAGAAGTGATCCTGACGTCACATGTGCTTCGTGCCACAACGGCGTACAATTTAGCGAGCGTACTTTTCGACCCTCCGGAGCCACAAAACATTGTAAAACACAGTGTTTCGCGACTTTTCTACCTTTTCGCGCACCTGCATCTTCTTTCTACTGATTCTTTCTCTTCTCTGACTCTTCCCACCTCTGCTTTTCCATCTGTCCAAAGTGTCGGAAGTTTGACTTCTAAACTTCCTTCAAATAGTTTTATTTGTTTGGGAGAAATGCCTAAAACATCTTCAAACTACTTGGGGGAGACACCTTGGCCACAGAGGGTATATATATATGTATGCCCCAAATCTAGTGTGGATCAACATATTCACAATGCCGTAATGGGATGCAATGGGCAGTTTTGGCGGGAATGCCCCATGTTCAGGCACACAGCCGTCTTTAATTTTCGCACATCTCTTGGTACGCGGTGGTTTCACAAGTGGAACTGCTGGACTGAAGCTGTACTGAAACTGTCCTTTCGATGGGTTCCCCTGGCAACTTGGCAGTGGAAGATCAGAATGTTTTGGAGGTGATGTTCCCATTAGTTTCCAATGAAAATGGGGATTCCTTGGCCAAGTGTCACCAGGAAATTGTCAACACAGGCTGGAACTGCTTTCCGTGTCAACATCAACATGTCATCTCTACGGTGCCCCCAGCCGTCAGCTATAGCGCCTTCCCTCTGATACACACTCTTGCTGTCTGAAGCTTAGTGATGTTTCTTTGAAATCACCAGTGAATTCCTCAAGTTCGGTTTAAGTCCCGATTTTGGATGGTGAAATCCTTTCCTGATGAAAGTAAATAGAGGGAAGGCCCTCGTGATGCCAGATCACAGCTGCAAGCTGTTGCAAGATCTTGAGGGCACGTGCAACTTGGCGAACAAACGAACAAATGTCTGCAAGAGTCTGCAGGCTTTTCGCTGTTCGGTTTAAGTCCCGATTTTGGATGGTGAAATCCTTTCCTGATGAAAGTGAGTAGAGGGAAGGGCATCGTGATGCCTGATCACAGCTGCAAGCTGTTGCAAGATCTTGAGGGCACGTGCAACTTGGCGAACAAATGTCTGCAGGAGTCTGCAGGCTTTTCGCAGCATTAAATATCTGCAGGCGCTGTTTGGCTACCAGCGACATAGCTCAGGGATGACGCGAAGGCTCCGTGTCGTGCGTCACAACAAGACCCAATAAAATCACAACTGCCGTCAGATTGCTGGGCTATAGACCAGCAATAGAATGTACATAAACAAAATAGAGTAAAGTATTGAGCTCACACGGAAGCTCACTCGCTTCAACACCGGCGATGCAACTGACTGTGTGCTGCAGGGAACGAGGGGACTGGAAGAAGTGAACCTACCGGAGCACCAGAATATACAGAATTGTGGAAGTTGGTTGCGGCAAAAACAAAAAGTTTGTTGTTTAAACATACGCAAGTTACATCGATTTATAAACTCAATCAAATCGATGGTTTTCCTCCCATGTTCCACTACGCCAAACGTTTGACTCAAGATTGGAGGAATCCTAAAGCTTGAATGGCGCCACCGTTGATGGCTCCGCCAAGAAAGCACGAACTTTGTGGTGGTGGTTCTCCTATAGCAAGTTGTTCCTCAAAATGAAAGCTAACCCCTCCATTGGTGGGGAAAGGACATCTGTCATTCAAATGTTTGCCGCACATGAGGCAGTTCGGAACCTAATTTGGGTCCAGCATGGGGTGTCTTTCAGCAACATCCAGCTTGTAGTTGCTTGGGGCTGTCACCTATAATCCACACGATCGTATAATAAGGCCTTGGGCATGGAACTTAAACATGTCACAGTTATAAGACTGATTAATCTATTGAAATTGACGCTTCTCCAAAGATGCTCTCTGTCAGTGCTGTTGGACTGTTCTCTAGTAATTGCCAGTGCTATCCAGCTAGCCAGCAAACACACATGATTCTGCAAACTCAAGTATGTGTATATATATATATATACACAATATTTCATATACAACTATTATATAGATAATATATTACATTATATACATGAATGATAAATATATCAATATGTATATAATATATACATAAATAAATTATGTTAAGTTATATTATGTTATTTAAAATTAAGTTATATTATATTAAATTATATTCAATTATATTCCATTATATCGAATTATGTAACATCCTAATATATATTTACTGAATATTATGTTATACTAAAACATTTAAGGCTATTTATATGTAATACAAAATATATTACATATTATATAACATATACACTTACTCGAAGTGCAATTGGCAGTGGTTCGTAGGCACTTCTTCCAACCACAGAAGAAGTGGCACCAGTCCTCTCTGCGCATTGAGAGTGCTGATCAGTCCCGACTATGGCAGACATAGGTTGATGAATTTTGATATCTTTTTAGATTGCGAATTACGTGACTGGGCGGCCGGGTGGTGACGACTCTCTCCCTCTCTCTCTCAACATCTCAGTACAGATACGTGAAAACCAATAGATTGCATCATATTACAATATGTTTGACAGACTGTGATGTAATTCTTTGTAAATCACTATATAACATGTGTACATAAACAACTCTACATATATATATAATTATAGATTTATATTTATATAAATATAATTAAATATAACTATATATATATACCCCGAGGCAAACTAACATAGATGTGGAAATCGCCATTTTGAAAGATCATCCACCCATAAATGTGCAATTTTCAACATCTATGTAAGTTATTGGCTTATTGGTAGTTTACCCTGGGATCCCTGGGGTACTCATGTGTTGATGCATGTCGAACTTTGGTTCTAATTAACCCCCCGCCATTGGCCGTTGATAGGCCATCGTTGTGGGGAAGGGTCAAAATTAGATCTCCAATGGCCCAGAAAATACTGATCAACTTTTAGTATGATACCGTTCCTTTGGTGGGATTTAAAGGAATCATCATAATTTTGACCCGTAGCCCGTAGCCATGCGGCAGGAACAATATGTAACTATCAACCTTTGCGGCTGACATTGATATCATTGATTAGTTGCCTAACAACCGAAGTTGCTCTGTGCGGGAAGTCGCTATCGCAGTCAAACGCTTTCCTGGGACGAGACGTCTGGTGATCAAACAGATCACACCATAGGAACCTGACCAACAAACATATGCACTGGTTGGTGGTTGACCTACCCCTCTGAAAAATATGAAAGTCGGTTGGGATTATTATTCCCAACATATGGAAAAATAGAAAATGTTCCAAACCACCAAGCAGATTGGTTAAAGACAAATTGAAATTTGCCCAACAAAACTTGAAAGGATATAGCGGAGACAGCAAACCGATTTTGGATCGCAAAATGGAAGTTGGAAACAGAATCATTACATGTACGCGGGGAATCTTCCAGCAAGCCATATTTCTTTAAGAGAGGGTATAATTGTTGCATATTGTTGCATCATATTGCAGTACACTCAACACAAAGATCGAAACAATTTAATGTGTCGTCCTGATTTGTGTGTCCCCCCTCCCCAAAACCATAGTTATACCCTCTTTAAAGTTGGGTGCCAAAAAGTTGTTACCCAGAAAAAAGAACCGCACTCAAGGATTTCAATTGGCTACAATTGAAATCTAATTATATAAAACGTTTTTTGGTTGATGAACTTGTGATATTTGTAGTACTTGTAGCACTTGTAGTACTTGTAGTGGGGTTCAGCATGTTGATTGCGTTACCTTTTCCACCATAAGGTGTGTTTTAACGAAAAAGTAGTAAGAGGAAGAGAAAGAAAAAGAGAAAGGGAACGAGAGAAAGAGAAAGAGAGAGAGAGAGACGAAGAGGAAAAAGAAGAGGAAGACTAAGAGGAACAGAGAGAGAGAAAGGAAAAGAAAGAGAAAGAGAAGGAAAAGAGAAAGAGAAAGAGAAGAGAAAGAAAAGGGTGCTTTTGGAAAAGGCCTACCTTTCTTCTCTTGGCTCCAGGATTAGCTCTGGAAAAGTTAGCTGCAATTGTGAACCCTGCGAACAAACCTACTAGAGTGAACTGGGCCCTTTCATGGCCCAGCGCCTTGGAAATGTGTGGAAAAACTATTTTCTAAATAAGGGTTCAATATGCGGGCTGATTCTTTTGGGAAAGGCTTGGACTTTGTGAAAAAGGTGTTTCTTTCTTCTCTTGGCTCCAGGATCAGCTCTGGAAAAGTTTGCTTGCTGCAATTGTGAACCCTGAGAAAAACTTGCAATAGTGAACTGGACCCTCTCATGGCCCAGTGCCTTGGAAATTTGTGGAAAAACTGTTCTTTAATTAAGGGCTTAATAAGCGGTCTGATTCCTTTGGGACAGGGAGACAAGCATTTTTTTTCCAGAAAGAGTGTTCAGATTTTTTGAAACAAACATATTTTGGACAAAAAAGTGGTCTCCCAAAATTTCTTGCCACAATAGCGAACCTACCAAACAATGCATGGGTTCAGAATAATTTGGATTTGTTTTTGGCACAATAGCGAACCTAGACACTAATTAATCAGGATACAACATATTCAAATATTTGAACATATTTGAAACGCTGGGATGTGGATGTCTTCCGATGTCCATGTCCAGCATGACCAATGGTTCCAATGGTCCCATTCCATTCCTCCCTGATATCAGCTCCCAGATGCTGATCAGCTCTCGGGCATAGTGGTCCTTCTGTGCCTCCTTCTGAAGATGCTCGTGCACTTCATAGAGATTTGCTGCACTGAAATGCTGCTCCAGGCGTTTCTGGATGCGCTTGCGTGCCGTGCCACGGCGCGTCTTCGCGGACGGAAGTCGCACCTGATCCGCATGGATGGAGTGAGAGAAATTGCAGAACTGGCCCTTAGCACATCTGGTGAGGTACGAATGGAAGAGGCACGGAAACTCTATGTGATCTTGAACATCTTGATGATAATCTTGATCAGCAACCTCCTGAGGGGTTGAATCTGGAAGGTCCTCCTGAATCACGGATTTCTTCTCCTCATCTGATCCAGAGTGTCCAGACTGCTCCGACGACTGCATGGATTCCCTCTCGGATGAGAGATCCCGAAAACTCTCGTTCACACGTAGGACCCATCCTGCAGGACTGACAGCGAGCAATATCCAATCTTGCTGAATTATGATGTTTCACCAACCTGAATCTAGGATCCAAATTCATCAATGATTTCAGGTATTATGAATTCAGTTTTTTTATGCCCAATGTCTCTTGCGAATCAGGATTCTGTGGCTTTCCCGTGGCAGTACTTGTCATATCTTGTCATCATAAATCTTCTGGTGAGGTTTCTGCCGGAAACTTCCTACAGCCGGGCCCACTGACTTGTCAAGCCAAGCCATTCGTAATAAATGAATCACTGGGGGAGAATCATCCCAAAAATTGAGGTGGACGTAGCCATTGGTGTACTAGAGATACTGAGGATCCATGCTTTTGACATTTTGACGTTTTGACCAAATGTCCATACCTGAATCCATACCCAAAAAAACAGACTAGCTTGCAGGTGCCAAACATCTTTGTGACCTCTGATTATTTGGTAAGGAATCCACATAATCATGGAAACCTATGGGTAACCCCCAGAGTCATCACCCACAAAAGAAGTAAAATATAAGTGGTGATGATCACCGCAGCGAGGATCGAAAGTCAAATAAGTGGGCGGCCACCTAACAGTCTCTGATACCCTCCGATAACATGGCAATTGACAAATCCACCATTTAGTTCCTTGATGTTCCTATAAAAACCTTCATTTTTAGGGGATTCCAATTACCATGTTTGATTACTGGAGGGTACTTCCCATGTTTGCATCATTACATATCTCTCACCCCTCGCCTGTGAATGTAGAAGCTGATGAAGCTGATTCGCTTCCGTTTGGATCCACCACTGAACGACTAGCTTCGGACATCAAGAATTACCTTGGGAATGGCTCGACATGAATTGATTGCCACAGAAAGCGGATAGTTGTACACTAAACATGATCAAAGATGAAGGATCGAAGGATGTTTAGGGTGTAAATATTTACCAGAATAGACAAGAATCTAAAAATAATGAAATCTCTGGGCCCATTGGTGCCCATAGCTATTTGAAACACTCACCATCTGAAAACGGCCTCGCATCCTGAAACGAATGACTCTCAGCAAGTGACCTATTGTCAGTAAACAAGAATACTTTCTGGAATAACTTGCTGTAGAGAAACTGACAAACATGTTGTGAGTTGGAGTTGGGGACTTTGGTTCTATTTTTTTTGCAAATGGATGTGAACATTACGCGGTTTTGGACACGGAGAGAGATAGAGAGGCCCAAGGAAACTCGCAATTGTATCATTTGTCGAGCAGTTTCAGATAATTTTGTGTTGATTCTATGGCTGGGAGCACGATAGCACTGGCATCCCAAAGGACTATCCGACGATCCCATGAAGGGGCACTCACCATGACCAGAGGTCAGGCCCAGCCGTGGCACGCTTGTCTCGCTTCTTTCTCCTCAAAATGCTCTAGAACTATCTGGAACTATCTGGAACTACCGGCCGCGCACGAGCCAAAGCAAGACGGTCGGTCCAATAGCCAGAGTTCGGGTGACAGCAAAGCTCAGATTCTGTTGCTGAAACATATCGTATAGTCTTATTGGACATTATATTTTATATTATCTGGTTGGTGGTTGACCTACCCCTCTGAAAAATATGAGTTCGTCAGTTGGGATGATGATTCCCAATACATGGAAAAAAAACATGTTCCAAACCACCAACCATATTATATATATAATATATATATATAGGTGATTATAGGTGTTGCTCAAGATCGATGTAGCCATAGATGCCATAGCCCAAACCCGCAGGGTTCACCATTACCGACCAACGGTTCTGTATCCGGCCCAGGCCCATTGCAATTGTCAGGAACTCTTTCCCTATGCTGTTAAGTGGTGATAATTGATATATTTATATATATATATATATATATATTGATATCCCCCGTGTATAAGATGTATAATATGTATATATATATATAAAATGTATATATTTAATTATATGTATATTATATAATGTATATATATATATGTATATATTAATGTATTTGTGTTTCATCGCCAAACCAAGTAATCTGATGTAATCTGGTGACAAACCAGTCCCAGTAGACGTCCCTCGCGTCACGCCTTAGACCTCAATTCTTTGAGGCTGGGTGTCTCGAAGCGGCCAATGCGAAAAAACGTCCTGGTTTTGCGTGACGACTGGGCTGGAAAAGAACTGGTGGTTTTAGGCTGGGTCCCAAAACCGGATTTCTTGAACAAATTAAGTCAACCTGAAACCTGGTTAACCATCATGAAGCTGAATTGGCCATTTAAGGAAGAACTGGGATGACTACAGAAACATGCAGAAACAACATTGTTCTTGTTCTGTTTCCCTTAAGAAACTAGGGGGTTCCTGTAGGCTTTCCCATCCAAGTCAGGGAAAAACCGACAATCTCATCCTGCAAACTGTACCAAATAAAACTGGTCAATGGAAATAAAATGGAAACTGGATGAAACTTGGGCACCTATATGACCAACAAGCCAAAATGCTGCTAATGTCAAATGGGTCTTGAACCCAGTACTCTCCTACCGAAGAACCCAGTCATCACTGGGAAGGGATTTTTTACCACAGGATCCCCCCATCGATCCCGGCTTCGCGTGCTAATAGCGGCATGGCAGAGCTCCATCGGAATCCAAGAGACCCATTGGCCAAACTCTTGAGAACGAGCATTCCGGGCTTGTCAGCATCATTTTCAACTTTCAGCATCTTCTTTGTCTCGTCATAGTCCGCCTTCGCCAACGGCATCGCCGAGACTAAAAAAGTGTGTAAAAGAACGTTCGATACTAAGTAGACATTCCGAACCAAATTGAGAATAACGGAACATCAAAGAAATCAGGTGTAATAAAGTTATGGGTCGTTCAATTTAACATTTGATGCCTAACAACATAAGCTCTTCGGCCCGTCGGCCCAGCTTCAGTCAAGGTGGTGTCTTTTGTTTTATTTCCTTTGGCCCCCCGGGGCAAAACTATGAATCATGGAGATATGACGGGACAGGTTCGATATGAAAAAATGGTACCCATGACCCAGGTTGATTCCAGTCGATACAAACGTGGGGGCCCGCTTGGATTCTTTTGGATCATCGGTGAAACATCGATATGCATCGATGCTTGCTACGAAACATGGCTCTTGGAGAAAAAGGTCAAACAATGTCAACCCAAGTTGCATGTCGTCCTTAGTTGCTTGCCATTTTGGCCTAGGCAACTGTGGGAACATCGCTCCTGTTTCACGGTCTGGTTTTGGTTGCTGGCTCTTGAAAGCTCAAGGCCATGTGACAATGGAATTGCTGATCTATGAAGTTCGTACATGGAAAGTGGCTTATAATATTTTTTACTTATTTCGACGGAAGTTCGGAAGTTTAGAATATGGAAGCCTTGATTGGCGCGTTTTGGCATTTGCTGTCTGCTTGGAAGGCACTGAGAGATGAATGACGATGTCTTGTTTCACGTACAACGCAGTCTAACAGAGACTTCCGTGCTGCAGAAAGAAAAGAAAGAAACTAGTAGGCATATGTCCTTGGATTTTGTCTCAGTTCGCGACCTCAATTACCATGCAAGGACCCTTCATCCTTAATCTTGATCACTTCTTTCTGGCAACATGTAATCCCTTCCCCCTGTTAACATCAAACACCCCCTAAATCGAAACTTGTGTTTAGTTCATTTTGATGCTCCTTAGTCCTTGTTGCTGGGCCCATGCTGACTCAATTCGCATTGACCCAGACTGAAATCATTGAAACATATTGAAACCATAGACCCAGACTGCTGCTCTTTCATATTGGGCATGGAATCATGATTGGCCGTTGTTTTCAACTCCAAAAATATGAGTCAATTTTGATTATCATAGTAGGGCTGAAAAAAAGGCTATTTTGAGATAGTTACCCCATACATCCACCATCATTCCAGTCAGGTCACAGGATTTGGTCTTCATAATTTACATTAAAATTAATTTACATGATTTGACCCAGACCAGTGGATAAAAAAATACCGTCTTTTTTTCATGTTTTCTCACCTGCATTTTCAGCGGATCACCATTTTGTTGCATCCCATGCAGCCTCCTTAAAACCAAAAAGCTGCTGAAACCAGTCGCGACGATCCCACATGGCACAACCGAAAGTCGTCATCAAGCCACGCGAAGGCTTGGGTCTGTTGATGGGATTTCATGACCAAATAAAAAAGAAACTCTGGGGATTTACATAACTATGGCTACTGCATTATATTTCTAATCCAATTGGAAGTTTATGAGTGAATTTCGACATGAATTACCGGGACAGCTACTAGTGTTTGCGTGGTTAATAAATACATATGTAAATATATATATATATACATATACAATATACCCTTCCAATCAGTGGCTGAAGATACATGGGCATTGTAACTTTGAGATTGTCCCAAACAAGGTTGTTTTGTCAGTCTGAGAGGTGTCATCGCGTCAGACGGAAAGAGCTCACGTCATGTTGAGATTAACTAAAGATTAACTGCATCAGTTTCACAACAGATCAGTTTAATAAGTTCAATAAATGATATGTGTTCATAAATTATATATATAACTATATAGTTCGTCCTTCTCTTGGTAGCAGGGTAGCCAGTATGTGCAGTCGTCATTGCCACATAAGTCAGCCCAGGGACCGATGCCGCATGTCCCATTCGACGTTTGTAGGTTTCAGCTGATTGGAGAAACCCTAAGATCTCATGCCATGCAGCCCTGATAACAACCGCTGAGGTGAACTAGTCACATGCTGTCTTGTCACTACTGTTCTTGGGCCATTGGCGCGGTGCGCGTCGCATTGAGGTTTCGAACGGCAGATTCTGCATTTCCACATGATATTGAAACTTATATGATGTTCGAACATGTTCGTACTAAAAAAACACTGCAAGAAGAAGAGTTCGTCAACATCGCCTGGTGATACATCACTATCTTCGGTGATACATGATCCTATTTCATCTTCCCAATCAATCTACGGAACATGGGGGTGTCAACTCATCATACATCAAAAGAAAATGAATAGATACCGAGATAAACAAACAATCTATGTGTAATTAAAAATAATTATACACTGTATATATATATAGACACATATATATATATATATGTCTGCATATATATATATATATATACATGTCTACATATATATATATATATATATATATGTGTCTACATATATATATATATACACATGCATATATAATATATTATCTCGTTATATATATAAGATATATTATATAATATATGTATATATGTACGCACATACATAAATGCCTACATCTCTCTACACATTTTATCGGTTCCACCGCAGTTTACTCCAAGCAGGATCGCTCTTTTCTCAGCATGACGTCGCATCAATTCCAGTGTGGGCCCTGACCGTGGCCTAGCATCTTGCCGGGATCTCAATTTTTCGATGTATTTTGTGGAGCTGCGTTATAAAGAAAATTGCTGATGGCTGGGATGATATTGATGCATACATATTTATATATATACACAATTATATAATATACATACAATTATATAATGGTGATATTCTATGGTATATGCAACTGATAGGATTTGGGATGTGATTGAACATGGATTAAGTTCCCAACTAATTGATTGCGAATAGGGGCAAAGCATTGGAAACCAATTTATTCATATTTATTCAGGGCTACACCCCATGTCCAATCAAACCCAGATGGTAGTGGAGCCAACCTGCCCCAAACGAATCCCTTAGATGGAAGCCGATGATCAATGGATAGGATCAAGGATGAGTAACGAACATGTTACAGGAATACCTGATATTCTCATGAGAACACAGCTAGGTTTCCGGTCCAGATGTTACCTTCAACCAATTTTTCGATGGACGCCAACATGGACCTTCAGATAACCCTTCTGTCTCCACGATCATGTTATACCCAGTGACCAGGGCGGCCGACCGCAGATGTGCCATTGTTTGGACACCCCAGCGCTGCCGGATGAAAGCTACTGGGAACTCCTTTTTGGGGAGCCTGCCCTCCGATGTGAGTCAAATCTGTGGAAAGAGCTGATATCCAACATTCTAATTATAGTTTTGATAGTTGATGATTTTTATCCCATAATTATGCATTATTATTCTCCCATGTTTATCCGATATTAATCCATGTTATCCCAGTAATATCCTATTATGTCCCAATATGAGTGGGTTTGCCCTAGGTAAACTAACATAAATGTGGATTTTCTCCACTCTTTGTCTCTTTTATATAAAAGGTTATTCTCATAGCGGGAAAGCAGATGGGTTTTCACATCTTTTTGTAAACCTTTACCACAGGGATCCCTAGTGGGGTCAACACCCCAGGAAACCACCAGACAGTTACCCGGCCTGGTAAACTGTCACAGTTTGCGAACTGGAAAATCACCTTTTTATAGCTGGGTAAATCAACTATTTAACGACTGGAGCATTTTCAATGGCTATGTTTGTTTACCAGAGGGTTTTTTATAAGCTGGGTTGTATCCTAAGATTTCGGTTCCCCTATGGCCTACTTGTTGGATAAGTCATACCGAAGCTATCCAACAAGTTTGGGTTTACTTAGTTGGAACACAAGGTGGGGTCTTGTTGATCATTTCACCACGGACTGTTTTTTTGGGGCCTTTTTCCTGTCTGTTTTATTGCTCCCAGAGGGAACCCAAGAGCAAAAATGCACGACACAACTTGCAGCCACAGTCTGTTACACCAAAGCCGTGATCAACAAATCACCAATATCACATCCAATCACATCCAGCACAGACCATCGCAGCAAATCGTCCTGATCTGTTCCAGCTGATTCCAGTGATACATGGCTGGGTTGGTCGCAGGGCCCCCCAGGCCGAGCGATGTTTTGAGTCTTCAAATCCCCAACTGATGTGTATCATCTGCCCTGAACAAGGATGAAATCTGATGTGGAATCCAGGCAATTTTCTAGAATATCCTCCGGTAGTTAACAGTTTGCCATGAAACATCACAATTTTATCTTTCAAGGGGCCATGTATACTATCTATATCTATAATTACTTAAAATTACAGTGTCTAGATCTATACCATAGATTTGTGAGCCATCAGCGGCCCTACCTGCCCTACCCCTCTGAAGCTGGATCAATATCAGGACATTTCTCGAAATCACCAGGGAGCTGAGCCAAAGCTACATGACCACTTTAGGTATCATGCGGCCGAGGTCATGAAATCATCAAATCCGGGAAGCACAAGGCTCCTGGCCATGGTCCAACATGGTCCAACATGGTCCAACATTTCTGATTCGTTCAAACTGAGTAGAGAAGCTCCTTGGATTTTTCTACCCTCTGGTAAACTGTCAAATAACAGAAAATCACCATTTTATAGCTGGGTAACTGGGTAAATCAACTATTTCTATGGCCATTTTCTATAGCTTTTCCTATGTTTACCAGAGGGTAGTGGTTGATTCCCTTGGAGGCTGGTGCTGCCCATCACTGCAGGTTTCGATGTCGAGTTTCGATGTGTTGGCAGCTCCTGGACCAGGCAACATCTCCACCGGGATCTGGGGGTTCCAGTGGGGCTTCATGGCGTAAAGGTGGTTTATTTAGCCCCATAACTTGGGATATGACTCCTACATAGCTATTGAAAATCACCATTTTTAATGGGAAAATCCACTATTAATGGTCATTTTCAATAGCTACGTTAAATTACCAGAGGGTAGTATGGTTGTCCAGTTATGACAGGAACTGCACCCCCAAGTGCTGGATCGTGTTCTACAAATCAGGATATGAATGATAATTGATATCCCAGGCCATTTGGGGGGGATATGTCGCAGGAAACCCTTGGATCTACTGGTTGCTGTGCCCTGAAGAAATTGGCAATTTTACCTTCAGAGCTGGCCATCGGTTCTACCGGTTGGTTTCGAGGCAGGATTCCCGTTTGTTTGTTTTCTTACAAAGAACATATATATATATATATTTATACATATAGATAGATAGATAGATAGATAGATAGATAGATAGATAGATAGATAGAGATATATATATATTTACATCTATATATATACACATTTACATACATACATACATACATATATACATACATACATACATACATACATACATACATTACATACATATTAGGAAGTTCCAGAAAGCCCGGTGAAACCAGTCACTGGTTAGTGGTATACCTACCCCTCTGAAAAATGATGGAGTTCGTCAGTTGGGATGATGACATTCCCAATATATTGGAAAGTCATAAAATTCCATGGTTCCAAACCACCAATCAGAGTCATATACCCTCTGGTAAACTAACATAGCTATTGAACATGGCCATTTATAGTGAGTTTTCCCATTAAAAAAGGTGATTTTCCAGTTCGTTATGTGATAGTTTACCAGAGTCATATAGCACTTTTTGGAAATCCTACGAAATCATGTCATCAGGGCGGCACCAATGGATTGGAGCCGCCTAGCGCTGCAAGCAAGCCAATGCGCCAGGGTAGGCGCCTCACCATGGAAGCCCCGGGTTTCGCAAAAGAATTGCGAGGTATGGAGGTTTATCCGTAAGACATGGGACAGGCTAAGCAGGGTATATGATATGGTGTGTATATATGTAAATATATATATATATAGATACTTAGTATCTATCTATTTATCATGTATCTATCTATATTCATTATTTATTTATATTGTTGTACTTTAGAAAAGTTACTCTCTATAGTTAGGGGTGTTTATGGACCAACTTGTTATACCCCCCTTCCCCGTTGTGATCCCCCAATAATAGATGGTTCATATGTCCTTATGAATGAAACCTCATTATTTGGGGGATCACCTTTGGAGTGGGGAGTGGTTGAATTTCCATAGCTTCCGAGCACCAGTGTTTTATGCTATGGATTGCTATGGTGGTTACCCTGGAGCATCATATCTTTCCATATAATGAATCGTCAGTCCGAACACGGGAAACACGTGAAATTCTACGAAATGTTACCCAAATCCCCATTAAATCCCATTAAGTCACCAGGAAATCATTGGTTGAATTCCAATTTTGTTGCTATACCCTCCGGTAACCAAATGTTGCAGTGGAAAATCCATCAATTTGGGATGACTATGGGTGATTTTCCCATTTAAAACTTTCATTGATAAGGGATTTTCAACTAAAATCTCCATGAAACTCATGTTTGGATCTTCGCTGGACCATGGCCCAAAAAAAAGATCCTGAAGGAAGTCACCGGCCTTGCGGCACTGTGGTGGGCACCACAATACCAGTTTCCACCTGACCGCGCAAGGAGATGGGCGAAATCTTTGGGGGGAAACCATCCCCGAAAACCTTGCTGAGATAGGCTCACATGGCTGTTTAGTTTCATCCCCTTCCTGAAACTGCTAATCACTTGAGGATCATTATCCCATTTTGAAAGGATGGAAGGAGATTTCAGATATGGCTAAGCCAATTTTTAGCAGGAAACAGGTTCAGATCTCCACCGGCCATGTTGCATGCCCTAAGACTAATCATCATGTGATCTTATCCTAATTTTCGTCACCATTTCATGGTCAGTATCAATCATTACCAATTTCCATGTCTGGTGGCTAACCAAAGATTAAAAGTTTAAAATCACTTAAGCTATCCATACCAGTCGGTTTACCAATACTACATCACCATTCAATCTCATTAAATCATCATTGAATCCCAATATATCATCATTATATCCTATCCCACAATTCTTGTTGATGAAATTCCCAAGTTTGTGTATTGGTTGTAAAGCAGGTTAAAACCATCTTAAACCCTATGTTTGTTGATTAAATTCCCCATTTTTCCCAGAATGGATTTAATGGAAAAACCCATGGTGGAAACCCATGGAAACCCAATATTCGAGGGCAAAAAGGATGGTTTCCTGCGGATTTTTTCTTTAAATCCATCCATTGACATGTTGGTAAGTGTAGATATACCTACCATAAATCCAAGTGAAATTGGAGTTATAAACCAACTTAGCGAACGAACTGGGGCACCACCTTGTTCAAATCCCGATTTCATCCGTCATTTCCGCCATCTTTGGACCTCCACAATCAGAGGAGCGCCCTCCACAGCACCCTCCGGGATGGTGAAAACCACGTCGCGAGGCATTCCGGGACGCCAAGCATCGTGCCATTCCTCAAACTGGTGGAAAAATGGCGGATTACTATGGTTTAAATATATAGATTAATATGGTTTATATAAGGTTTAATATACTTATATATATATATATATTTATATATGGTTTACTATAGTTTAATATCCAAAGTTTATTGGAAATGTATCCATATGGGTTATATTACTATGGTTTACTGGAACTGTAGTTTAATATGGTTTACATCAAATATAGTTTGATAACACTCAATTTGGTCTGAACATTGTTTTTTTCCCCCAAATGGCAAGATAGGGAATGGGGATCATCCGGGATCGACATCAAATCTGGGGATGCGTCTATTGGCCAAGAAACCATCGGGAGGTCAACATCGAGCTATACCAGCTATAGCTAAGGTAGGATATCAGGATATCAAGGTTCTGACTCGTAGCCAGGGGTTCATATGGTTTTGCATAGATGTTACATGAATTTTACCTGGTGTTACCAAGCAAAATCAAGCAAACATGATGGTGTGAGGTCCGGTTTCCCTACATGTTCATGCATTCTATCTAATTTTGGGTGGACTAAGGTTTTTCTTCATCAACATCATAGCACCAAAATAAAACACGCGGACCTCCAAGGTGAACGCGAGGGGAGTGGTTGTCCCATGGGTTCCATGGCTTTCCCGACAACACTAAAGTAGAAAAGCTACGACAACACGTCCTTCGAAAAGATAGGATATTTCTTGTGATTTAACATGCTCTCAGACTTGGACATCTATATATATAATTATATATACATATTATTTTACATATATAATTGTATATATCTATATATATATATATTGATTAACACCTAAAAAGATAGGAATGTGTTTCCAGGATGGTATAGATACAGTATAGATGATGTTTCTCATACACTTTCCAGGATTCCAACTCTTCTATCTTCTTGGGGGTTGCTCGTAACCTTTCTGGGCGGAGAACCCCTGTGACCTTTAGATAATACGCATACATATTATGCATATACATGTGTATATATATATACTATACCCATATATATATAGATATAAATGGGTGTATATACATACATATACATATATACACACCAATATATGTATGTATATATATATATACACACATATATATATATATACATATACATATACATATATATATATATATATACATAATATATATATATATATATATATATCTGTGTGTGTGCAGATCTTTGTCATGTCCTTTGTGTTTCAAATATACCGAAATATGCATACATACGTATATATCATAAGCAATCATTTAAGGTAGCCCCCTGACTTCGCTCCGATTTTCCCACACGCCAAGGTTCCATGTATGAAATTTGCTTCACCTCATGCCCCACGTTCAGCGAGGCTGTCACTGGAATCTGCCCCGTAGGAATCGGCTGTTCTGGCAGGCCAGGTGGATGGCGAAGAGGTCAAGGTAGCCAACTGACCCATTTTTGGAAGGGGAAAATAGGTGGATTTAGCATCTCTAAACTGCCATGAGTTCAAGGATGTTGAAAACAGAAACCGTTTTTAAGAACAAGATGGTGGTAAAAGCCCTCGTTTTGCTTCCGTTATCTTCCGTTAAACCCAGTTCACAGAAATATGATCGACATATATTATACATATAATATAATATCGACATATATCGACAGATTAGAATCTTTAGCAAAGAACGGATGGAATACCTTGGAAAGCACCAGGTACCTAGGCCCTAGACCTGGCCTCCAATCAACATTGGTGCCTTTGCAAAGCCTCAGGTTGGTTGAATTCACGTACCGGTGTCACGGAACGTGGCTGGAAAATACCCGAGCCGGCCATAAAGGGTTTAATATGGTTTAATGATTAATGATTTTTATTAATGGTTTTTAGAATGGGAACATATTGGAATATCCATGAATATCCTCTTTTTCAGGAGGTTTATGGCTGGGAAATTATGGGTTTTTATCCTCTACAAACGAAGGGTGGCTGGGAACATCAATCATAAATGGAGATTGTTCCATATGTTTGATTACTGGAGGGTGTATAGCATAATTCAATGTATTCTTCTGATATGTCAGGTTTTGCTCTTTGAACTGGAAGTAGCTGGGGTACCGGGGTACGTGCTTATTATATCTAATTTTCGCTTGACAAAACTGCAGCACTGTCTAACATTGAGATATGTACATCACCTTGCCGTGGTTGCCGAGATATCACAACCTTGGGCACGCCTACACTGTCAGCCTCCGTTTCTCCCGATGAAAACCGGGCCACTGGTGGTGGCAACTTGAACTCCCGGAGATGTTAATCCTGGAGAGGTTAGTCCTGGAGATGTCAATCCTGGAGAAGTTAAGATCGGCTGAGCAGGTGTGGAGGTGTCGTTCACAATGTAGCCTGGAATCGAGGTGAAATCGGCCAAGGCAAATCGGCAAATCCCCAGCAGGTTTGTTTTGAACATGGCATGCCCATGGCAAAGAAAAACAAGGGCGCGTCGTGGGTGCTGATCAGTGTGGGAAATGGATGGAAATGGAACCTGGTTTCACCTGGTGGAACCTTAAGTCAGATCCATCCAAACCAAGAAATCCTTCTGCCATTGAGTTTGGTGATGTTTTGGGGTGATTGATCGTTGATAGCACCACATGCAGTCCGAAATTTGGGATCTTTGTCCCCAGCTGTCAGGCAGCACCTTCCCAACCTTTTCAATCTGGGGGGCTTACTTTGACCAGGGTCATGGGGCTTCCAAACATCACATTTTCACAGATTGAGTGACAAAGGAACCAATGAGACGCACCATGTCTTCTTGGAGTATCTTGGAGTAATGCGTTTTATGTTTTATGGGAAATGCAACCTGCCGGAATGGACCCTGGTGGAACAGCTATGATGTTAAGAGAATCGGCAGGCCGACATCAAGAGTAATGCGGGATACAAAGCAAATGTAAATCTCCGCTTTCCAATCTCTCCCATTCCAATTTCTTGGGATCACTAGTCCAAAATCATCCTAAATTGATCTGAATATCGCATTCCAAATAGGTGATTTTCCGCCATGAAACAACAATTTTATGGTGCCCATTGTTGAGTGCTTGGAAGGGCAGTTCCAGTGAACTAAGTGGATATATTACCATTCCCTGGAAGTCCAAGAACTCAAAAAGTACGGGTTTACAGGGACCACATATCCCAACCTTTTTTTTTCACCATAGGTATGCCCATAACCACGTAACCTCAACTGCCGCCCCAAAGGCGGCGACCTCTAAGGTATCAATTCACATCCGTTCGCGCCAAGGCACTGTTCACTTGGAACGCCGACGCCGGTGTGGTTTGAAGCCGATACGTCCCCAAAGCCGATGCCGGCGCGGCTTGAAGGGATCCACTACAATGAGATAATGACCTCGGGCAGAGGCAGAAAATGGAACCAGAAAATCCCAGGTGGTGGGAAGCTGCTAAAACATGCCAAGATCGACTGTGAATGAACTCACTGAACTCACATGGCATACAGACCCAATTTCTTGAAGATCATAATCCACCTGTTTCATCCTGTTTCTGGTGATTTTGGGATGGTGTCTTTATTGGGTTTCCCACATTTGGTGGTGCCCAAGACTATAAATCGTCTCATCAAAGAAGTTTGAATGCGTCCAATTCACTGAGACGATCGGTGTGTGATACACCAATGTCACCAATTGTGAGAAATCAACCAGGCACATAGTTGCTTGGCGATCTTTTCACAGTCATGATTGCAAGATGTTTCAACATGTTCGCCGCAACCCTAGGCCCGCGGCGAATCCCGCTATATCCTTTGACATGCTCAAATCCCTGCGTAAGGTTTAAGTTTTTGCTTACTTTCCAGAACAACAAGCCCTAAAACATCCTAAAACCCGAAAACCCGAAAACCCTGAAACCTAAATTAAAACCCTAAATCCTGAAAACTTAAAGTCAAAACCACTGCGTATAGCCAGGGTTTTCGTTCATCCTCTGGTGATAAGTATATCATATTGTTTGGATGTGTTGTTTGAGTGTGGGCGAACCCGGCGTTTGGAGGGAACACATTGTATAGTGCTTGGGACCCCATATCATCCGGTGACTCAGCGCATTCACCCTGGTTCACTCGAATCAAGTCACCCCGGCGTTGCCAGTGGCACAGCCGGCACCACAGAGCGTGTGGTAATCGGTACCGCGGTCGTAATCGGTGCCGCGGTGGTGATGGGTGCAGCGGTGGTGATGGGAGCAGCTGTGGTGATGGGAACTGCCAGGGGCTGAAACCCGAGAGTTGGGAAACCGCCGGGGGCTGTGTTCACTGGAACTGCCGCAGATCCAAATGTTCCAGTCGTTGGCTCTGGATCCTGCAGTGATGAAAGCAACCAGGTAACAACAGAAACCAAGGGAAAAACCATGGCAAATTGGCCTTGGCCCAGCGGGCATTTTCACTCAACTCCTACCCCCAGGGTGTATTGCAGCGCCTGACTCTTTGCAATGAGTGGCTGTTGCTCCTCATCAGGGGCCTGATGAGCAGGCATGATGCGATGACTATGTAACCAGCAGGAGAAACGGGATGAACCTTGAAGTCTGGGTATGTAATGTGAGTGCTTGGTCTAAGTCTAAGTTCATCCCTTTTTAGTTCATGGATGTTCATGCAACGTTTTGAGCTCATGCAAGAATCAACGTACATATACCTTTTACCCATGGAAGTCAAACACCCAACTCATCGAACGTATGTGTAAGGTACTGTCTGTCAGTGTCTTGAGGAGACCTCCTCAAGATCAGAGATATGGCCTGAAACATGAGAGCACACCATACCCATCCCCACTGCCGTCAAACAAAAAACACCTCCAAAGCCAGGAGCTAAAATATCGAACAGTGATGTCTGTATGGCACGGCACGCCAATGATTCCATAACAAAAAAACGCTTTGAAACCAAAAAGACTCGTCGACTAACCTTTCAGCCAGGTTTACATTTGTTTATTGAAATGATTATTATAATGATTCATATGCAGATATAAAGTTATGCAATAAATTATATTTAATAATATTTAATAATCAGTAATGTTTGCACCCGATTAGTGTCCTGGTACCCTATTGTGAGAAATTTCTTGCTCCTAATTCAGTCACATGCAAATTGTTGGGGGGGAACTCTATTGTGAGATTTTTTTTTCCAGATGAGATTTTTCCATATTTTTTCATTTTTTCCAAACCCTTTAACTTTTTTTAAAAAAATATTTTTTCTAATTATTTATGTTTAATTATTTTTAATATTATTTTAAATGCCTTATTAAACCCTTATAAAAAAAAAACAGCACCCAGACAATTTTTCAAGGGGATACCTCATGATTGGCTCAGTTACTCAATAATATAATTGTTTGGATGGTACTCTATTGTGAGCACCAACTTTTTGGAGTGAAAAAAAAAACAAAAACCCTTTCTCCACCTTTCTTTGGGTAAAGCTGGGCCCTTTACTTTAGAAAGCCATAGTTGTGTTAAAAGTTTAAAATGCAAGGTTTTCCAAATAATTAGATGCCTTATTAAACCCTTATTAAAAAACAGCACCCAGACAATTTTTCAAGGGGGTACCTCATGAGTGGCTCAGTTACTCAATAATATAATTGTTTGGATGGTACTCTATTGTGAGCACCAACTTTTGGGAGTGAAAAAAAAAGCAAAACCCTTTCTCCACCTTTCTTTGGGTAAAGCTGGCCCCTTTACTGTAGAAAGCCATAGTTGTGTTAAAACTTTAAAATGCAAGGCTTTCCAAATAATTAGATGCCTTATTAAACCCTTATTAAAAAACAGCATCCAGACAATTTTTCAAAGGGGTACCTCATGAGTGGCTCAGTTACTGAATAATATAATTGTTTGGATGGTACTCTATTGTGAGCACCAACTTTTGGGAGTGAAAAAAAAAGCAAAACCCTTTCTCCACCTTTCTTTGGGTAAAGCTGGTCCTTTCACTTTAGAAAGCCATAGTTGTGTTAAAACTTTAAAATGCAAGGTTTCCCAAATAATTAGATGCCTTATTAAACCCTTATTAAAAAACAGCATCCAGACAATTTTTCAAGGGTATACCTCATGAGTGGCTCAGTTACTGAATAATATAATTGTTTGGATGGTACTCTATTGTGAGCACCAACTTTTTGGAGTGAAAAAAAACAAAACCCTTTCTCCACCTTTCTTTGGGTAAAGCTAGCCCCTTTACTTTAGAAAGCTATACTTGTGTTAAAGCTTTAAAACGCAAGGTTTCACAAATAATTAGATGCCTTACTAAACCCTGATTAAAAAAACAGCACCCAGGCAATTTTTCAAGGGGGTACCTCATGAGTGGCTCAGTTACTGAATAATATAATTGTCTGGATGGTACTCTATTGTGAGCACCAACTTTTGGGAGTGAAAAAAAAAACAAAACCATTTCTCCACCTTTCTTTGGGCAAAGCTGGTCCTTTTACTCTAGAAAACTATATTTGTGTTAAAGCTTTAAAATGCAAGGTTTCCCAAATAATTAGATGCCTTATTAAACCCTTATTAAAAAACAGCACCCAGACAATTTTTCAAGGGGGTACCTCATGAGTGGCCCAGTTACTCAATAACATAATTGTCTGGATGGTACTCTATTGTGAGCAGCAACTTTTGGGAGTGAAAAAAAAGCAAAACCCTTTCTCCACCTTTCTTTGGGTAAAGCTGGCCCCTTTACTGTAGAAAGCCATAGTTGTGTTAAAACTTTAAAATGCAAGGTTTTTCCAAATAATTAGATGCCTTATTAAACCCTTATTTAAAAACAGCATCCAGACAATTTTTCAAAGGGGTACCTCATGAGTGGCTCAGTTACTCAATAATATAATTGTCTGGATGGTACTCTATTGTGAGCACCAACTTTTGGGAGTGAAAAAAAAAGCAAAACCCTTTCTCCACCTTTCTTTGGGTAAAGCTGGTCCCTTTACTTTAGAAAGCCATATTTGTGTTAAAACTTTAAAATGCAAGGCTTTCCAAATAATTAGATGCCTTATTAAACCCTTGTTAGAAAACAGCATCCAGACAATTTTTCAAAGGGGTACCTCATGAGTGGCTCAGTTACTGAATAATATAATTGTTTGGATGGTACTCTATTGTGAGCACCAACTTTTTGGAGTGAAAAACAAAAACGAAACCCTTTCTCCACCTTTCTTTGGGTAAAGCTGGTCCTTTCACTTTAGAAAGCCATATTTGTGTTAAAGCTTTAAAATGCAAGGTTTCCCAAATAATTCGATGCCTTATTAAACCCTTATTAAAAAACAGCATCCAGACAATTTTTCAAGGGGGTACCTCATGAGTGGCTCAGTTACTCAATAATATAATTGTTTGGATGGTACTCTATTGTGAGCACCAACTTTTGGGAGTGAAAAAAATAAAAGTAAATTAAAAGTAAATTGAAATCAATTGAAAGTAAATTGAAAGTAAAGTAAAAGTAAATTGAAATCAATTGCAAGTAAATTGAAATCAATTGAAAGTAAATTAAAAGTAAATTGAAATCAATTGAAAGTAAATTAAAAGTAAATTGAAATCAATTGAAAGTAAATTGAAATCAATTGAAAGTAAATTGAAATCAATTGAAAGTAAATTAAAAGTAAATTGAAATCAATTGAAAGTAAATTGAAATCAATTGAAAGTAAATTAAAAGTAAATTGAAATCAATTGAAAGTAAATTGAAATCAATTGAAAGTAAATTAAAAGTAAATTGAAAATAAATTGAAATCAATTGAAAGTAAATTAAAAGTAAATTGAAATCAATTGTAAATTAAAAGTAAATTGAAATCAATTGAAAGTAAATTAAAAGTAAATTGAAATCAATTGAAAGTAAATTGAAAGTAAATTGAAAGTAATTAAATTAATTAAAAGTAAATTGAAATCAATTGAAAGTAAATTGAAATCCTTTCTTAAGTTGATTGACCAAAAAAATGTTGAGGGGGGGGCAAAAAAAAGTGCGAGTTATAGAGTATCCTCAAATTGTTTAGGGGGGGGGGGCCCCCTCACACTAATCAGATGCAAACATTATCTATCATTATCTATCCATCCATCCATTCATCCAGGGGTAGCCCAGGTGTCGTGCTTCGCCTCATGGTTCTGATCGACCGAGACATGGCGTGTGTGTTTGCTCTTGCGTGTGGACCTCTTGTGGCTGCAGGTCAAGTAGAGGATGATGCAGCCTGGGCGTTGGTGGCTGCGTTACCCTCTGGTTATGTCAGACATAGCTATTGAAAATGGCCATAGAAATAGTGAGTTTTCCCATTAAAAATGGTGATTTTCCATTGCGAATTGTTAGTTTACCAGAGGGTACCCAGGAATCCACCCTCGCTGGCGGCTAGTCAAACTTAGTCAGGGCACCGATACCAACTAGAGTCCTGATGCTATCAGGGAGAATGTTGATGGTCAGTGTTGCAGGGTGCGGGGTGACCATATCATCGCCTACAATAGCACTGGACGGCTGCACTTCTGCGTGTAAAAACCACTGGACGGTGGGGGGTGTAGTGATTTTGGCAGCCAACCCTTTTGAAGATGAAGATAGGGCATGATAGAATCACACATTTTATGTCAGGATCTCTTATATAAATATATATCAACTAAGTCACCACCAATAAATTTACATAGATTTCGAGAAAACCCGGCATTTGCAGATGATATTCTCTGCTTTTCCCGGTCCTTTCCCATAAAAAATACTGAAAGGCCAAGCCGCAGGCCAGAGCTGCGAGAAGGATTCCAATGATGATGGCCGCATCAACCTGATATCCACCACCACAAGCCATGGTGGTGGTCAAGGCGGTACTGATGATTTATATAACCCAATAAAACATGTTGGAACATGGGGATTTAACCATTAAAGATGAAGGAATATGATACCATGAGGATTTAACAGGATTTAATAAACCTACCCATGTGCTTCGGGAACTCTTAGTAGCTTCTTGGCTCGCCATATAGTAGGGAATATGCCTAGCTGGCTGCCCCTTGTAACCATTGGATAGTGAAAGGAAAAAAAAATATGCCATGCGGTAATCAAAAAAAAATGGCTTGAGAATCCCCTAGAAATTGGTTTTGACAGGAGAAAAAACATGTGTAAATAGAGGATTTCCATTGCCACGTTTGATTACCAAAGGGTGAAGTACGGTTCAAATTTTTGGTTTCTTCAAACTGTTTTATAATTTGGTTGCATAAGTGACAAATTTTGACAATTCTAGCAAAATCTTACCCATATTCCAAGGCTGTTCATATTCCATGCCCAAATAGCTCCGGAAATTTGGAAAATAATGAACGACCTTTGATGATGAGAATAAGGTTGTGTGACCCTTGTCAGGCGCTCCCTTGTCACGTGCTGTCATGTCCAGTCGCACACGTTTAACCCCGCTGAGAACCTTCTCAAGCAATGATTTCTTGAATAAACATAATCATAAAGTCTTGTTTCTCTCATCAATCATCAGCTTCTCTCTAGGATCTTTTAAAACCATTGGATAAGCTGTTCAGCTTATTTTTTGACGCGTTTGGCTGGCGGCTCAGCTTCCGCATCTGTAAACGGGGCCAAGTCTGGATTACGCTGTTCTTCCTCGAACCCAAATGGTACCATATTTCCACTTAATACAGTTACGTTGAGTAGGATGCCACCCCTGGAGTACGATGCCCCCCCCGTATGCGTTGCCGTTCCTGCATGTGGGCTTCTCAGGCATATGTTAATATCATTTTTGATCAACTCGAGGCTGCAAATTCCATTCCACATACCCACAAGGCATCACACTCTATCGCGCACGACTAAGACAACAATCGAGAATTTCCATAGCCTCCACGGGTCAAAAGTATCAAAATTTCATGGAATGCGATTGTATGCGCGACTGTTCAAAACGCTGGAAAAACAACAATTTCCCCCATATTCCATATTATCAGATTCCAGAGCATTTTACCTCCGAAGAGGGAAAAAAAATAAAAAAAGCTCTTCAGGTCAATTTTTCGAAAAAAAATGTTTTTGGCTGTCTGCGCAAGTTTTTCTGGTGTACGATCCCTTTTGTGGAGTACGATGATCTGTGAGTAGGTGTGTGGAGTGCGATGGGGTCCTCTGGGGTGCGATGACACCCCTCGAGTGCGATGCGACATGAGTATGCGCGGCCGGAAATCCCCTGAGAGAAGGATTCTGGGCCACAATTCCCTAAATTCAACAGAATGGGCGGATGCTGGTTGTTGTAATTTAACAGGATTTCAGCCCACTCAACAAACAAGTCAAACAATATGTTGAAACCCTCTCCTTCTTCAGTCTCCAAAATGGGAAACTCACTTATCAGGACACGCTTTAGCTCATCCAGGCTCCATAGCATTTCAGGAACAACACAAGGCATCGACATGGTGCCAAACAATTTCAAAATTGAGCTGAAAGGTCTTCCCATCTCAACCAGTCAATTCACAGGTGTGAAACATGTCACACACAGGGAAACAGGTTGGGAAAACAGTGGGTCCAAAGAGACAGGTCTGGAGTACGATGGATTCATAGTATATGTACATTTTCTGAATTTGGGTAACTTGGAGCTAGAACAATCTGGTTGGTGGGTTCAACCCATCTGAAAAATATATAAAAATATTAATTAGTCAGATTGGATCATCATCCCAACTATTGGGGAAAATAAAAAATGTTTCAAAGCACCAAGCAGTTTTTGGTGGATTGACTATACGTATATATCAGCAAGAAATCACGGACCAACAAAGTCCTGGCACATCAGCCCGCTTGAGGTAACTGGTGAACAAGGTGATGGGAAGTCCCCGATTCCTGGGGTAATCTCACGCCCACACACACCTAGATAGATAGATAGATAGATTAGATTAGATTTAGATTTAGATTAAGATTAAGATTAAGATTAGGATTAAGATGAGGATTAGATTAGATTAGATTAGATTAGATTAGATTAGATTTAGAATAGATTAGATTAAGATTAAGAGTAGATTAGATTAGATTAGATTAGATAGATTAGATTGGATATATTAGATAAGATAGATTAGATTAGATAGATTAGATAAGATAGATTAGATTAGATTAGATAAACTAGATAGGATAGATTAGATACGATACATTAGATTAGATAGATTAGATTAGATAAGATAGATTAGATAAGATACATTAGGTTAGATAGATTAGATAAGATAAGATAGATTAGATAAGATAGATTAGATAAGATAGATTAGATAAGATAGATCAGATAGATTAGATAAGATGGTTAAGATAGATAAGATAAGATAAGATAAGAGAAGATAAGAAAACATAGATAGATAGATAGATAGATAGATAAGATAGATAAGATAGATAGATAGATAGATAGATTAGATAGATAGATAGATAGATAGATAGATAGATAGATAGGATAAGATAAGATAAGATAAGATAAGATAAGATAAGATAAGATAGATACAATAGATAGATAGATAGACAGATTAGATAGATAGATAGATAGATAGATTAGATAGATAGATAGATAGATAGATAGATAGATAGATAGATAGATAGATAGATAGATAAGATAGATAGATAGATAGATAGATAGATAGATAGATAGATAGATAAGATAGATACAATAGATAGATAGATAGATAGATAGATAGATAGATAGATAAGATAGATAAGATAGATAAGATAGATAAGATAGATAAGATAGATAAGATAGATAAGATAGATACGATAGATAAGGTAGATAAGGTAGATAAGATAGATAATATAGATAAGATAGATAAGATAGATAAGATAGATAAGATAGATACAATAGATAAGATAGATAAAATAGATAAGATAGATAATATAGATAGGATAGACAAGATAGATAAGATAGATAAGATAGATAAGATAGATAAGATACATAAGATAGATAAGATACATAAGATAGATAAGATAGATAGGATATATAGATATATAGATAGATAGATAGATAGATAGATTAATTAGATAAGATAGATAGATAGATAGATAGATTGATAGATAGATAGATAAATAGACAAATAGATAGATAGATCGATCGATCGATAGATAGATAAGATAAATAAGATAGATAAGATAGATACGATAGATAAGATAGATAAGATAGATAAGATAGATAAGATAGATAAGATAGATAGATAGATAGATAGATTGATAGATAAGATAGATAAGATAGATACGATAGATACGATAGATAAGATAGATAAGATAGATAAGATAGATAAGACAGATAAGATAGATAATATAGAAAAGATAGATAAGATAGATAAGATAGATAAGATAGATAGATAGAAACGATAGATAAGATAAATAGATAGATAGATAGATAGATAGATAAGATAGATAAGATAGATAAGATACATAAGATAGATAAGATAGATAAGATAGATAGATAGATGATATATAGAGAGGTCGATCGATCGATGGATAGATTGATAGATACGATAGATACGATAGATAAGATAAATAGATAGATAGATAGATAAAAAGATAGATATATAGATAGATAGATCGATAGATAGATAGATAGATAGGTAGATAGATAGATAGATAAGATAGATAAGATAGATTAGATAGATAAGATAGATAAGATAGATAAGATAGATAAGATAGATAAAATAGATAAGATAGATAAGATAGATAAGATAGATAAGATAGATAAGATAGATAAGATAGATACGATAGATACGATAAATACGATAGATACGATAGATAAGATAAATAGATAGATAGATAGATAGATGGATAGATAGCTAGATAGATATATAGATAGATAGATCGATAGATCGATAGATAGATAGATAGATAGGTAGATAGGTAGATAGATAAGATAGATAAGATAGATAAGATACATAAGATAGATAAGATAGGTAAGATAGGTAAGATAGGTAAGATAGATAAGATAGATAAGATAGATAAGATAGATAAGATAGATAAGATAGATAAGATAGATAAGAAAGATAGATAGATAGATAGATAGATATATAGAGAGGTCGATCGATCGATCGATCGATCGATGGATAGATTTGATAGATACGATAGATACGATAGATACGATGAATACGATAGACAAGATAGACAAGATAGACAAAATAGACAAGATAGACAAGATAGACACAATGCACAGGATACACAGGATAGACAGGATAGACAGGATAGACAGGAATGAGATGAATGAGAGTGATAGGAGTGATAGGAATGATAGGAATGATAGGATAGATAGGATAGATAGGATAGGATAGGATAGGATAGGAGATGGGATAGGATAGGATAGGATAGGATGGATAGCTAGGATAGGATAGGATGGGATGGGATAGGATAGTATAGGATAGATCGATAGATAGACAGATAGATAGATAGATAGATAGTAAAGCAGCAATAAAGCATCCATATTCTGATGGTTGATACCACCCATTTATGGTAAAATTGGGGTTTGTGGATCGCTTTAGGGTAAAACCCCAGCTACGATTCGTAGCACCGCCGCGTGGCCAAAAAGTTCCGCGAGGACTGGCTTTCTCCGTCGATCGTGGCGCTGCTACCCAGGTTGTCCTTGGGTCAACCGCAACGGGCTGGACAAGAGACCGGAAATTTAGGGGTACAGCTGAAGGTGTAACCAGTTATAAATGATTATCAGTGGGGTTAAAACTAAGCACAAATGGGCTGACTTGCTGACTTAAAACTGGTATTTGAGGCCATAAGTGTAATTCATGGGATTTTGATGTTATGTTCATGGTGATTTATAACTATATTTTTTGGTAAGACCATGCATGAAAAAACATCCTATTCGTCACATATATATATATATAATATATGTATATATATATATGTATATATATATATATGATTTGTTTATTTATTTATTTATTTATTTAAGCATACATATTTCGATATATATATATATACACAAGAAACATATGCAGACTTACATCTTATTATATATGTGCACATGTCCCATACTATATATATAATATCTGTGTATTAAATAAACTATTTTATCTATCTATTTTTCTATCTTTCTATCTATCTATCTATCTATCTATCTGGGTAAATTATAATATTTCACTAACCTGAAATAAGGCTATCTTGGGGATGATTCCCCTTACTAACTATGATTATAGTGAGGTCGCAGTGAGGTCGTTATAATTTACCCAGATCTATCTATCTATCTATCTATCTATAATCAAAAAAAATAATATGTATATATATATATATTATTATGTTTTGATAAATATATATATATGATATCCCTATGATAGGGGTCCCCAAATGTTATTTACGGTGTTTCCAGGATGTGAACCTATGTGATGTTCCCCCAAAATGTCTAGGGGTTGAACGCTGAGGCCCTGTCGCCAAGGTTCAGTACCTTCAGCCAGGCCAGCACCAGCACCGGCACCAGCACCGGCACCAGCAACACCAGCAACACCGGCAGCAAAGCCTTCGGGGTTGCCTCGCTGGGGTCAGGGGTTGCAACCATTAAACACATGGCATCCGTGATGTTTGGACAAGCCAACTTGAGGGGATTGAGGCTGAAAGGGTTTCACCCAAGCCAGCGTGAAATGGATCTTGCAATTGAATTTCTTCTCATACAATCACCTTACGGACGGGGATTCAGACGCTGCTCTCGCTTTGTGGATGTCACAAGTCACGTTTTGTGTGATGCGGCGTTACCCAAATCCAATATTCAGCAAAATCCCATTTTCTACTTGGAGCCACACCGAATCCGAAACACATACCTTTTGGTGTGACAGAATTCCAACATGCAATCCAACCAGAAAATAACTATTCAATCTTAAGATCAGATAATCACCTGCCAAACCCAAATGTTTTTCCAAAAGCAGCACCCCTAAATATTTAAGGGAGTATCATCATTGTCAGCTCAGATTACATTATTTTAGGATATGCCGCATTTTGAGACAACCCATGACTGGTGCCCATGACTGGTGCCCATCAAAAGCCCATGACTCGGCACGCCGTTAAAGGCCGCAGGCACTGGCGCTGAAGCCGTTGGCAGATTGAGCCTGTTCTGTAGCCACTGCTGCCTGCACGGGGCTGCCATGATTTTTGTTGTCGTGGATGCATGGTTCCCAGCGCTGGCAATGTCAACAATTATCAAAAATAATATTACATATATATATATATATAATCATATATACATATATGTGTGTGTGGGTCTTTCTTTGAGAAAATTATCCTTTGCGGGTCGTTGCGCTCGTGGAGAATCACCCGAATCACCCGAATCATCCCCTGGATCTGTCCAAGCCTATTCCGGGATGTAAATATATACCTAGCTGGAGGAGGGTTTATTATGGTTTATAATAGTTTATATGTGTTTCTGTTTATATCACCCAAAAAATCAAAAACCTAGCCCTTCAAGTCATACGTCTAGATGATGCTTGGTGTAGCCCTGTGGCCCATGGCTGACATACGCTGTCGGGTGTTCCGCCATTGGGCCACAGCCCGCTGGAGATGTCGGGCTCGAGCCTTTATGTGGGATGGTGCATGAATTACATTGAAATACCAGGTTTTGTAATGTAAAACTTACCCTCTGGTAAACTAACATAGCTATGGAAAATCACCATTTTTAATAGGGAAATCACTTATAAATGGTCATTTCCAGTAGCTATGTTAAATTACCAGAGGGTAACACATAAACATAGATGCTTGGGGGGATGATGAGATACCATGCTTGGGGGGATGATGCAACATTAAAACTTAAAACATCTTAAAACCAAGTGTTGCATCATGAAAAATCAGATTAAATCACTAAATCTTGCCCGGTGAAGTGGCCTCATTCCCATCCGTTTGAATCGATTGATTAAAACCACGTCTACTTCCCCAAGAAGAACATTGATATGGGAAGTCATGATTCGCATATGGGTTAAAACAATTTAAGACACATAGATATGGGATGATACGGGTTTCCAACTTACCATCCAAAAATATAATATACTATCTCAGCTACCCTCTGGTAAACTAACAGTTTGCTATTGAAAATGGCCATAGAAATAGTGGATTTACCCAGCTATAAAATGGTGATTTTCCATAGCTATGTTAGTTTACCAGAGGTTAAGAATAGATAACCATAGATTTTCACGGGTAACCATGGATGGTTTCCATGACCATCACCCGCAGCATCGCCGTGCGCAAACGGAGAGCCACTCGCCTCGGCCTTACCAGGGCTCATGACCAAGTCATAGGCTCCTGTAGCTGAATGTTGAAGCAAGGACCATGGGCCAATCATGGGGTTCGTCATCATCATCCACAATAACCATTGGTAACCATTAATAAACCATTAATAAACCATTGATGAACATTAATAAACATCAATAATAATTAATAAATCACTACCATCATCATCCATCATCTATCATCTATCAATCATCAATCATCCATCATCATCATCGTCATCATCATCATCATCATCATCATCATCATCATCAATGTGGCTTCTATTGGGTGAAACACTGGGAAATACTCAGGGGGCAAGACGGCACCCTTTGGCAACCTTTTTTTTGGGGGGGCCAATCTCAAGATACCATAGAATCCAATGATCCACACTAGTCTGAGAGCAACATACCTCAGAAACCACCCACTGTAAAATCGTTTACTGCCGTACGCGGAAAAGAGTTCCCGCGAAACTGGCTTGAAACTGGCAACCTTCAACAGTCACTCTTCGCATCTCTGCGTGTTGAAAATGCTGCTGCCAAGATTCTCTGCCCCTCATAATCGGCGGTTGCTTGAGGCAGGGCGCAATCTAATGCCACCTGCGGAAGTTGGGTGAGCCAGCAGTCCTGATAACATAGAATCACTTGCAACCACCACCCCATTCGTAGCAGCCAACAAAGGTCCTACCTTCAAACATCAGGTGGTGGGACATCTCAAACAAATCATGCTAATTACCGAAATCATCTTGAATTTCAATGGGTTTGCGGTGAGGACAATCTCCAGGAAACCATGATCTTTACCATGAAATATGGAGGTTTCCTGTACGGTACGGTAAATGTTCCTTCAAACCATATCTTGGAAACTTGGAGGGCACCCACCTTCGGCAAGGTCTCTGGGAATGCGGCCGTAGACCAAAATGGAAATCGACCAACATCATCCAAAATCTCTCATCGCTTATGCCCAGCCCGACCCAAATTCATGACCCATACCCAGAGACTGCCAGTATGGCGCCACCAAACCTGTTACAGCAATTAGTCCCTTCTTCATTCTAAAAACCTGCATCAGCATCTTGCAGCGCTCTCTTTTTTGGGGCCCGCAGGGCAGGCACAAGATCCGGCTGGCTGCAGCGAAACAGGAGGTCCATCTGGACCCAGCCGATGTCGATGGCCAGGGGATGTCGATTTGATGCCATGGTCCAGCAGTGCGTCCTTCGACCCTTGGTGGCCTTGGGAGCCGGGGCCGCCGGGGCCTTGAAAAGTGGTGCTGCCCTTGGTGCTGCCCTTGAAATGACACTAATCAGAGGGGGATCATCCGAAAGACCCTACCTCAATCCACCATTTCGCTCGATGATTTTCGCACTAAAACCTTTCACAAAGGATTGTTCATTGACACGTTTGATTACCAGAGGGTACTTTGTGTTGAACATCAGCAATACCTTTTGGCTTAAAACCATAGCTATCTGGAAATATCATTTTATGGATGACTTTTTACCTACTACAATTCCAGTTCGCTATGTTAAACAACCAGAGGATCAGCCAGGGAGCTGTTCGTTTGTGGAGCGATGAAAGTAGTATGTCCTCGGCAGAAAGCGACAAGGGATCTGAAACCAACACGGGAAATTTGACCAACGTAATCTGCTATGAACACGGTACCTTATATATATATATATACATATATATATATATATGTACATATGTGTATATATATATATACACAGTCTATGTCACCATATTATCTAATATGTATCTATATGTACCCATATGTATCTATAAATTGCAATCAGATTGCATGGCTGCGTGAAAGTGTGCAGCACCCCCAATTCCTATCCCACGGTACCCCCATCAAATTTGCAGTTTGGGGTGTGTTCGTAATTTTCAAGCACGCCCATATATCATATAATCTTATATTGATGATATAAGTTATATATTCCATGAATCATCCGATGACATGGCCCATTATGCTTGCCTCAATTCCATGTTTGTTGGTTGAATCACAACGTTTGTTGGTTGAATCATGCGTTTTGGCTGGTTAAGTCACCCGTCCAATCTCATTCTGGCTGGTTAAATATCAATGGGCATGAATAGCGGTACTGTACCATCTAAAGCCATATTTGAGGGATATATCTCCTTACATAAGCCTATATACGTACCTCCGGTTCGGCTATACCGGGTATCATCACCCAAACAATAACATAATTAATCATTATCAATCAACGTCATTTATCGTTATTAACCACTATTCAGCATTATTTATTGGGCTGTTTAAATCCCAAACTTGGATTCCTTAAAGGTCCAACCTCCTGCTCCGCTGCTCCCGGTGCTGACCTTCGCTGGCGCGCATCGGAAATCACCACCCGCTGGGACACGGTGCCAAAGCGTTGCACGTTTGGACGCCAGGGACAAAAGGGTCCAGAGTGCAGCTTGACCTGTCACTGAGCTATGGTAAGTAAGGAGAGTCACCCGCAAATGGCCTTAATTTAGCTATTTTAGGGGGACTAACTGGGGGTTAATCATAGTTATTAGCCATTTACTATGGAACATGTATGGCAAGGACATGCAAGGACACATTTATAGATTTTCAAAGTGATTGCTTTGGAACATGGATGAAGGGATGGGAAGGGCCCGTGTAAAATAAATGTTTTTACGTATGAGTCAGTGGTGAAAAAGGCACTGTTTAAATTATTACAAATGATTTGCAATTTAAAACTATGAAATTGTGATTTCCATAGCAAACTGTTCAATTACCAGAGGGTACCGTCTTAGCTTGTCCTGTGGGTTGTGTGCTATCTTTCAAAGGGGACCCATGACATGATTACCCTCGGGTAATTTAACATAGCGATAGAAGATCACCAGTTTTGAGTGGATCTAAGAAGGTAAATAATCGAACTAAATTCAAATGGGCCATCTCTTCCATGGCTATTAAAAAAACCTTGGTTCAATGATGTTCAATGATTTTTTCCAGCTACAAACATCCATTTGAGTATTGGATATTTCCAAGCTGGCCATGTTTTGACACTGATACCGAAGGGTAATTCCGTCAATCATCATCACCATTCATCACCATCAGTTTATTTACCATAGATGATTTACCTGATGTTTACCATAAATGATTTTCCAAAGCTATGTTAAATTATTTGGATTTACTTCGTAAGGAACCCGCAAAAACTCAACACTATTTCCTGTAGACTGAGTAGTGGATTTCCCCATGGGGGAAACAAAAATCATCATCAGCAATTCAGGAATCAAACATGGCTTGCCAGAAAAATCCTCCATTTAAAGATGAATTTCTCATTGAAAATCATTAAAACATATTATAAAAAATCTATTTAGTTCGGGGATTTCCCACGGGTGGAAACCCCATCTTTGACTGTTCCACTGCACCTCCACCTCTAATGGCAGCGCTTTGGGAACCTTCGCCGGCGGCCCCACACCGGGGATGTCGAAGCGGGACATGATCTCTGCTAAGCCCTGCTGGACAGCCATGAGCGACGAAGAATCCGCGGCATGAAACGTCCTCAGATCTGGAGCTGGGAATGTGGTTCATGGTTCGAACATGTTCAAAAGCTATTTTTTGATGGTTTCCAAAGTTCCCAAACCCATCTTTGACTCTTAAAAACAAGTGTTTATTGAACATCCTTGCTACATCATGCTGATCTCCAAGCGCGATGATATATATATATATATATACATGATTCTTTACTTTACAATTTTTTGGGATGCTTAAAACCCCTTTCCCAACCCCTCTCCCAACCCAAGTGAAGTCCGTGAAGTCCGTGAAGTCCGTGAAGTCCGCCGAGGCTCTTCAAAAAGCTCGTCACCTCTTGCTTCAACCAGAGGCACTTTGGCCAAACCGCCGCCGCCTCCGCCAGGTTTTCGTTGGACCTTGGCACCGAGAAACAATCACATGGCATGGCGGCGAGGTGACGTGAAAGGATGCTATGGGTGCTGTAAACAATGGGTGATTGGTACAATATAACCTATAGGATCCATGTATGGTATATATGCTAACATTTGGGGTATATTGATGATAAATGTTACCATATATGGCATACATGGATCCTATGGGTAATAGTCCAATATAGTCTAATCCATTTGACTCGTGACTTGAAGTGAACTGACTTGCTTCGCTTGTCTTGAGTTCTCAGATGGTCTGAGTAAGTAATCCATGAACTGATCAATCAAGCACTGATCAATCAAGCACTGTGGTGCACTGCGGTCCGATGAACCAACGAGGAAGGACTGAAAGAGGTCTGGTGTGGGGCCACAGAACTCGCCAAATCAATTGCTCGCCAAATCAAAGCACATCAACGGCTCGTGGCTTTGCACCCTTTGATCAACATGGAAGGAAAGGCAACATTCAGGCCATCCCTAGTAGGAACATGTTGATTTTCTATGACCTTTCTCCTTTTCCATCAGCCTGCGTGCCTTTTTAAATCTATTTAAGGGCAACCAGCTTGACCCGGGGTCGACCCTGTCGAGTCGGCGGGCGAGACACACCACAAAGACCCCAGAACTCAGGGGTTGATGCCCCACACTCCATCTACAACTCGCTGGAGCCGCTGGGGGCTCCTATCATTCCAGGCGACGAAAAAAACAGCCAAGGCCTTGAGAAAAATCAGCCAAGTCCTGGCTACGCTACACACGCTACACAGCTTAAACTCATCTGAAATTCAACAGCTGCAAGCCAAGCCATTTCCACGGGAAAGATTGAAGATATCCAAAGGAGAAGCCCGTGTTGCACTTCCACAGATCATTCAAGTGGTATGCGAGAATGAAATCTAACTTCCAACGAGCACCGCATGGTTTTCGAATTCATTGGTGATACTGGTGGTTTTATAAAGGCCAGGCGGTCTGCATTCCTATGAGACAACCTTCTGCTCGAGAGGTGCAAACGTCCAAACTACCACCGAAATACCACCGAAACTGCAGTTCACAATTCGGTGTTTCTTAAACTTGGGGATCCCAAAGCCACTAATTTAGTGGCCATTTTGGGCCAGCCATTGGGAGTTACACATAGTGCCAGTCCTGAGAATCTTCGGGTGTGTTCCAGAAGTAGTGCACCTCGGGCGTTTCCCTGAAGATTTCGCCACACACAGCGTGATAAGGGTCCTGGGCTCGAGCGGCTCGACGTGGAGAGAACTCACCCCAGGACGGGGGAAAAACATGGAAAAACCACCAACCAAAGCATGATTTTTTTCCCATTCGATTCCCATATTTGATGGTTAAATCACGTGAAAAATGCCCATGTGTGTTTGTAAATCCCCTATGAATCCCTATGATAGCTTGTCAAAGCACCAAGTTTCGGAGTTCCTTGTTCAATTTTTTGGTCGGGCTTCTGCAGATCAAAGGTGGCTATCTACATGGATCAGGACTCACAGGTGGAGATGTGTGATGACATTCTTGGGATCTTGATCCATTTATCCAGTTGTTCGTGGTGTTCAAGGATAACTCACCCATCCAAAATGGGAAAACTGCGCCAGTCTCTGGACAGTTCAAAGGCACGATTTTGCGGCCACTCGCAAACCTCAATAGATCGCAAGAGCTGAACCGCAACGCGTCACCAGACACACAAACAATGTCACCAAGCTGGGGAAACAGAGGGAACTCAAACAGGACAGACTCGTGGACACTGTATCTCCACAAGTCATGCAAGCTTCTACTAAAGCTATAGGATAAGCTATGCTGTCGCCATATCCTATCTCTGCTTCCAGATTTACAGGTCATGGCTCATTTACCAGGTGAAAAACCATCGCGGTGTCCTCCGAAATCTGTTTATTGACCCAATGACATGATGTAGTGGGCGAAAAGAATGCACATCATTTAACTCATCTAGAACCAACAACGAGAATGTGACCTATAATAACATATTGATATTACACTAGTTACATGGGCGCGTCATATGCAGCAAGTTGCGCAGCTCATCTTAACGTCATTGACTTTAGCCTCCAGTAGTCAAATATGGCTTGCCGGAACATCCACCATCTGCGGATGTTTCTTTTTCCCCCCTTGAACCTGGAAATCATAATAAACCATATTAAACCATAATAAGCCATAGAATCCCATAGAAAACCCCATGTTCATCACAGTTTTCAACACACCCAGCCATGTTTCGCACCAGGCAACTCAGCCAACCTGGGACCATTGCTGGCTAAATGCTCCACCAACAAACCACGTGAGGTCCGTTCCCCCGGAGTCCATCGCACCTCGGGGTCAACCCGGGCCCCGGGGCTAGGTCTGGGTGGTTCATTAGTGGCCAACTCAGGTGAGATTGCCGATGCAATGGAACCAATTTATATATATATATAACAAAGATAGTAATAATAATAGTAATAATAATATAAATAAGTATATAATAAATATGTGTAAGATTTCCCTGGGTGTCCGAAAAATGAAAGTGCCAATGGTGTCCATCTACTCATTTCCAAGATGTTTGTCCAAACAGAACAAGATGAAGAAGTGGAAACAACCTCTGACTATTCCTAACAATTAACTTGGTCATTAATCAACCAGCCATTTGGGGATAAATTTCACAACACTCTCTTGGGGATGGTCCATGGCATTGGGTTTACCCTCTGTTAAACTGCCACATAACCATGGAAAATCACCATTTTTAATGGATAAATCAACTATTTCTATGGCCATGTTCAATAGTTTTTTGTTTGTTATAACCAGAGGGTACCACTGAAAATCTCTGGCCATCCATCCCCATCCATCGCCGCGCTGCCCGGCAGCGGCAATTCGTGAGCGCCGCGAAGTAGCCCCGCTGCACATGCAATCCCAAGACGAAGCCGCCTGCCTGGGCATCGCGGCCGCAGAGAAGCCCCGAGTCAGGTTCGATGCCTCAGCCCGAATCAAGGAGAACCAACCGGCACCAGCAAACTCGGAAAAAAACAAAAGCAAAACCGATAAACCATAGATAAAACACAGAAATTATGGCAGTAGACCAACAAACATGGTGCAAACACAAGTAACATGTTGGCTCAAATGCGTTCATGCAAAGCCATTGCTTCCAGGCACCATCCTCCAGAGTGGGTCGGTCACGTTCTTCATCTCGATTATGGGCACAGATGAAGGGAAAGGCAGGATGGCACTGCAAAGCAACCACCAAAATGCACATGGCCAGAGCGGCCGCTACGCTGGCATTGCGCGTTCAGGATATGTCCAGAAAAATTATGACTGATGGGTGGTGGAGCCACTCCTGGAAAATATGGTTATCATTGGGGGTCATTTAGGTTGGACATAAAACATACAAAATAGTTAAAACGACCAACCACTTGTGAAACAGCTGCAATAAAATGCTGTGATGCACATGCTGTGATGCACATGCTGTGCCGACATCGTGAGCCAGTCTCAAGCTAGAGAAAAAGGATAATGTGGTGTCTGAAGCGCCCCTCAAGCAAAGAACTGCTGGTCCAAATTGGGAAAGAAACAACTGGGATGGTCGCCTACATGTTTCCTTAGCAGTTCCATCTCACTAACTTTTGTGCCATTTCCGATGTTTGTTGCATTCGGTTTTTTAAGGAGCGCACGGGCCAAACATCTGCCGCCAAGCTGTTCAATTTACAGCTTGGATGTGGCAGTTGGAAAGTGGCACCTAAGTGTAGGGTTTGTTCCCTGGAAAACTTACGGTTCCCGCGATGCATCTCTATCTCTCTCTCTCTCTCTCTCTCTCTCCCTCCATGTATATATATATATAGTATGCGCGAAACAGTTTCAGGTTTTGAAACAGTAGCCATACATGGGATAGTGGGTTCCATACCTAGGGTAGGAATACCTACAGTAGTGTGGAAAACCCAATATAATCACACACCTACCATTTGGACATGATATTTACCACCCCTGTACGGTAACATTGGGATGCTTTATAGCTGGGTTTACCACATTAATACCTTCACTTATAGGACCCCTGCATGATCTGCTGGATTTACATCTCTTTGTATCGGGGACCTACCATTCTCTCGCATTATTTGGTGAACAAATATTGACTGATATCAAATCTAGGACTTCATTATGTCGAACCGATGCTGAAATCCGTGTATTTCATGGTTACATGCACTTGTTGTATTGTTAAATTCACATGTTTCATCTTTAAACTCATGTGTTCATGGCAACATCATGTTCAATGCTTAAAACTAGTTAAGACCCAATTTATGATGGTATAAGCCTGTGTGCATCCAATTTGTTCATAACACAATCGCCAGTTGTTTCATGGTTGCCTCATGTAAACACACAACAAATATGGAACATCCATCATTCGATGGTCTTAACAGCTATAAACCAGGATTGATCGGGCATGTCCCTCATTTTCGGGATGATGTTCCGAACTATAAACCTCGATTTCTAGGAGATTCCATGGATATTAGAAATGATTTCCCTAATGCAAAACCTCATGTTCCATCATCTTCCAAGGATTTCCAGCAATTTCCCATGATTTTCCATGGATTTCCTATGAATTTCCCATGAATTTCCCATCAATTTCCATGGATGTCCATTCATTTTGCAAGGGAAAGCCACGGATTTCCCCAGTGCTCCCCGTTTCGCCCCGCGGTCTCCGCCTTCTCCGCCGCCGCCTTGGCCGCCTCCGCGCGGGGCGGCAGAGCGCCCGTGAGGTCCGTGGCGAAGGTGGCACCGGCAATGGAGGCCCTGAGGCGTGAAAATGATCCACCAAAGAGTCATGGTATATTAATTCAATGGGTTGGATTAAGGGAAAATTTACAGGAAACCATGTTTTTTACCATTAAATATGGCGTTTTCCTGTAAATTTTCCCTAAACCAATCCATTGATTAATGGTATATTAATGGCTCATGAATGGCTCATGGATGGTTAATGAATGGCGTATTGATGGTTACTATGGTTGATTGATGGTATATTGATGTTCTATTTATTGTCTATTTATGTTCTATTTACGGTATATTTATGGTTGGTTAATGGTATAATGATGGTATATTGATGTTCTAGTGATGGTAGAGTGATGGTTGAGTAATGGTCTATTGGTGGTTAACTATACCAGATATTAACAAATATTAAGTATTAATGGCCAATGGTATAGGAATGGTTGATTAATGGTATATTGATGGTATATTAATGGCTGGTTCATTGTTAAGGAATGGTATAGTAACAGTGGTTAACAATTTAATGGTTATAGTGGCAACTATATTAACAGTGGTTACTTTGGTTGATTGTTGACTGATGATACATGAATGGTATATTTTCATGGTAACTGGATGATTAGAGGAGCTCCCAAAAATGAATCGAACTATTTTTGGCTCTCATATTTGATCAATGGTATAGTAATGGTTGATTAATGGTATATTGATGGTATATTAATGGCTGATTTATTGTTAAGGAATGGTATAGTAACAGTGGTTAACTATTTAACGGTTATAGTGGCAACTATATTAACAGTGACTACTATGGTTGATTGATGGTGCATTGATGGTATATGAAAGGTTGATTCATGGTCTATTGATTGTATACTAATGGTCTATTGATGGCATATTAATTGCTGATTCAGTGTTAAGGTTGACTGATGGTTAAGTTGATTAATGGTATATTAATGGCATATTAATGGCTCATGAATGGTTCATGGATGGTTACTATGGTTGATTGATGGTATATTGATGGTATATTAATGGTTGACTATGTATATTAACAGCAGTTAGCTATTGAGAAAGTAATGGTTGATGGCTAACGAATGGTGAATGGTTAAATATGTACATGAACATTGGTTAACTATTGAGAAAGTAGTGGTTGATGGCTAGCAAATGGTGAATGGTTAAGAAATGGATATCATTTCATTATTCAATGTTTAAGGTTGGTTGATGGTTAACTATTGGTTAAGTACTGGTTGATTAATGGGCGAGTGATGCTTAATGAATGGTTGATTGATGATTACCCTCTATATAAGTGTGTATATAAATATATATATATGTGTGTGGACATACGGGTGCGTTGGTTACTATGGTTACTATATGTTACTATGTCTAATCAATGGTTGATGAATGGTTGAATAATGGTATATCCATGGTCAAGTAATGACTGTCTATTGGTTAAGCAATGGTTCGCACCTATAGACATATAGATAGATAGATGGATAAATAAATAAATAGAAAGATAATGATAGATATATAATCATACATGTTTACTATGTTTACTTTGGTTAATTAACATACATGGTCATCGTATCAAGCAATGTGTGGTTGACATGGCAATAGCAGTGATCAACTGTTGAGAAATAAATGGTTGGTTAATGGATAAGTGATGGCTAATGAAAGGTTAATTAATGGTCAATCAGCAGGTCGGTAATGATTAACTTGTGGTAAAATAATGGCATACGGCATACAGGCATACACCGTTCTTGCAGTTAGTTTGCTCCTTGCTTTATTAACCGCATGCATATATATATATATACATACTGTATGTCATAATTATACATCATTGTAGTTCATTCTGGTTAAATATGATCAAATTGTGTGGCGCCCAACCATCAGAAGAAATCAGATAAAAACAAACACGAGAAACAGTAAAAACATGCAGAAAAAAGGATTTCATGGTTAACAACTACCCATTGTCAGCATCCATAATATTTTTGTAGTTCATCAATCTAACAACGGGTATAATGGTTATCATGGTTATAATGGTTAGTAGTGGTTAACCATACCTGGGGTGTATCCCGTGTAGTATCCGTTGGTTATAACCTACTTAGTACATGGGGGCAGGCCCGATATATGACTACAACCCAGTAATAGCAATAAACAATAGCAATTATTCCTAGTTTTGAAGTTCAGCAATTCAACAATGGATCATTAATCTCAACGGTAAATATCAGTGGTGATTCACGTTGTCCTCTGCTAATCCAACATGGCTAGCTGGGAAATCCGAACTACATGAGCATGTAAATGGTAAAATCATGAAAGTAAAAGTTGTTCTTTTTCAGCAAGCCATGTTTCGTTAGCAAAGGGATCATGATCCACAATTTATGGGTGTGTCTGACATGGTGCATGCAATAGCAATTTGAGCAGCACAAATGTGATTATATACTATACCTTATGTAACCCTGAAATTTTGTTTTTGACCCTTTTAATTTAAGACAAACCTACGTCATATTTGTTATCGGTTGCAATCAATATTACTACTGCTTTACTCACCAAATAAATATTCTTTCTTTATCAGCCAATCATCACCGGTGTACATTTTGATGTGGCCGCTACATCAATTGCATGATTTCATTCCCGGATTTGGCAAGTCTTGTACTAATCTAATAATTTTTTGGGCCCCAGTTGAAGAAAGAATCTGTGGGGCATTAAGTATGTTTTAGCGATCGGCGCAATCCGGGGCCTAATTCATTATGGCTATATAACCCCGGCGCTAACGGCGACAATTCTGCTTGGCATAAATTATATATCATTCCGCCATTTAGGGAAAAGTCTGGCTATGAGCCTGCCCGAACTTCAGGATTACCAGAAGAATCAATCATTCATGGTGTATTTATACCATTCCTACTTTGGATGGTATACAGGGTAAAAGTGCATATAATTACACCATAACTATATCATACTTGCAGGTATTGACGTCTGGCCATTGTCCCAGCCCAGGTTCTGCGCCTGTGTCCCGCGTGCAATTCTGAATGCCATCTTTCTCCAAGAGATATGTTGTGCTATTTTATGGTTCATACTATCCTTCCAGCTCATATCTCTTTTTCTTTGATACCCCTGTTCAAGAAGCCAATCGTGGTGTATTTATTTTTGTAGTTATAGAATTTACAAAAACCACCACTTTTCCTGTTCGTTTTTGTGAAGCCACATCCTTACCCCCTTGTCATCCCTGGGTCCCCGCACTCTCGGGCCTGCCAAGGATGCTATGGGAATCCGCTGGGGGCCCTGGGTTTTTTTCAACGGGTGACTCTCCAACAAACTGACCTGGCAGTGGAAAGTCACACACTTATACTACAATTGTTTGTGCATTATAGATACAAATAGAAACATCCATTTATTTATAGTTATTAAAGATATAAATATAGGTATAGATATAGGTATGGAGATATGGAGATATGTATATGTAAATAATATATATATTGGCACGTGTGTATTTATGTATATATATATATGTATATTATTAATATTCTTAATATTATTAGTAGTATCGTTTTGGATGAATAATAACTGGATCAACCAGCTAATTTGAAGCTATTGTGGGAGAAATTCCCTGAACAAAAACCACCATTACAGTGACGTCACAATGCGGTCGTTATACTTTGCCCAGGTAAGTACAGTATACTTATATACATATATGTACTATACATAAATAGGCTGGTATAGAAACTATCTCCCCGTTAAAGCATAAACCTAGCCAGTGAGACCAGTATGAAATCATGCATTGCAAAAGGCACAAACCAGCGAAAAAGTCAATCACATAGAATCTCGCATCATATCCCTAAGTATGTCACTATTAACCAGTCTCAATTTCATCAAGTTATACTTTTCGCTGGAATTAAAACCCATTATACGATACCGGTTATATCCCATATGATCTTGTAGCTTTTTAGGTCCTATATGGTCCTATGTTTTTCCAACTATATCCCTGTAAAGTATCCTAAGTATATATATATAACTATATCCCTGTGGTGAATTCTATCCATTTCTATCCCGAAGTATATCCCTATAGTGGTGTCTCATGGTCATTCTTTGTTAGTCCACATGACATGAATAATTCATCTTTTGCTGGTGATGTTGATTTTCCTATAGCAAAAAAAATAATGTGATCCCCCAAATCATCATAAATGGGTGGTATAAACCATCTAAAATGGTGTGGTTTATGATTGTTTTACCCACATTAAAGGATTCAACTACATCTCCAAGGTCTGTGATGCCCTATGATACTCCCAAGACACACCACATGGTAATCGCAACCCGGATCCGCAACCTGCTCACGCTCGGGATAGCCCCGATCCATGGCTGCACTCTTGGCCGCTTGTGCCGCTGCCAACACCGCCTCTTCCATACCTGGGAGGTACACTTTTTTCCCCCAACATGTGTATCTTTTATAGGGAAAATGATGAGAAACGATTGGATTTTATGATAACTTAAAAATTATTGGATGTTGAGGGAAAATGATGAGAAACTAGCTGATTTCGGGAGGAAACTGAGTAGACAAAGAGGTACAATGACTTGTTAACGGTGGCTATCATTGACCTACAATGGCCTGGAGCAATTCTGGTGAATCTGGACTTTGTAAAGCAGAAAATAATATAGATAAATCATAAATCATCACAAGTCCATGGAAAATATGAAGTGAAAGTAGATTTAATGCAGGGACAATTTTGTAAAAATTGGTGTGTGTGTGTGTGCACATGTATATATATATGCATCTGACATGCAGGCAGCGCAAGCGGGGATGCCGTAGAAGGTATGGGATGCCGTAGAAGGTATGGCAGTTGGGACACTCAACCATCCATTATTTACTTGAACCAGAACACGAGGGAACAACGAACATCATATGCATCTTAACCCCCGTGGACGGAAATCTATATCTAGCTGAGAAAATGAAATCGTATATATATATATATGCATATAGTTCACCAAGATCTTGCGTAAAAGTGCTTCAGCCAAACCATAAACTAAGGAAATCAGAGTATTGTTGAGAGCATGACCTATACCCACATTGGGTAGTGATGCAGTGATGCGACCCCCAGCATCACTAAACCCTGCTGTCACCCTTCACTTCCGCCCTTGACATGCATTAGTCTAAGTTAACAAATGGTAAATGTGACACCCTAAGGCCGTGAACAAGTTCTTGTCCACATGCTTACGAATGACCAACCAGCCTATGTAATTATATATATACACCTTCTAAGCCATAACAACCCGGTTTTTCATACAATTACCAAGTTAATCCCTTATACAGAACTTATACATATGTGATAACCAGGTTCTACCAGCATCTCCTGGAAAAAAAGGCAGTGTTTCTGCTCCCAAGGTATACATACAATTAACCCATACATAGGTAACAAGTGAATATGCACCATCAAACCAGGTCGGCCAGTCACCCACTTAGTTGCCATCAAAAATCACCGCAGCAGTCAGCATCTCACTTAAGTGCAGCCGGTTGCTGCCACTAAGCTTGTTTCAGCTGATGATTTTCAGAGGATGGGCAACGTAAGGCTAAGGGTCAATATAAATACTCTCTAAAGTACCCTCTGGTAATTTAACATAGCTATTGAAAATGGCCCATTTATAGTTGATTTACCTATTAAAGATGGTGATTTTCCATAGCGAATTGTTTGTTTACCAGAGGGTAATCTAGTCGGAAAACTCTAATTCCTAGGTGAAAACTCAGCTGAACTGGCAGTATGGATCATCACACGCAGCACCCATCTCACTGTGTGGTTGACTACAGTAATCTGTATCCGTATGGTTATGGACCATAACAATATCCAAGAACATCAATACACCAAATAGTACAACTTGAATAACCCCCTATAGCTCATAACCAATCAAGAGGGGGTAGGGGTAGGACTTCAAATGCCTTATGCAAACTTCTTGCGCCCTGTGGTAATTTCAAAATTTTCTATGGAAAATCACCAATTTCATTAGTTCGATGATTTACCTACCCTCCAGCAATCATACGTGGACGCGGCGAAAATTCTCTATCACAAGTGGGATTTTCATGGGATTTTATCATCTATTTCAAAAGGTGATTCTTTATTGAAATTCTCCCATTCTGTGGATGGAAGAAATCCTGCACCACCAAAAGGATGGTTGAAACCCTAAAAAAAATAATGGGATAAACCACATATCAACTGGTGCGGGATTTCGCAACCATCCACCGTATGTCCCCATAAAACACTGGAAATCCGCCGAGCCACTCACGCCATCGGCTTCAGCGTCTTGTCCCGCCTTCCGGGCGATTTCCAGGATATCCTGCGAGGCAGATCTCCAGGGGCCTTCGAGGTTTTAATATGGTCTTGATGGGACAATCATCTAGAAAAAAAGATGGTTTTAACGGGACAATCATCTAGAAAAATGTGGTTTTAACGGGACAATCATCTAGAATCTGGTTTTAAATGGGACAATCATCTAGAAAAATGTGGTTTTAACGGGACAATCATCTAGAAAAATATGGTTTTAAATGGGCAAATCATCTAGAAAAACATGTGTTTAATGGGACAATCATCTAGAAAAACATATGATTTTAAATGGGACAACCATCTAGAAAAATATGGTTTTAATGGGACAATCATCTAGAACAATGTGGTTTTAACGGGACAATCATCTAGAAAAATATGGTTTTAATGGGACAATCATCTAGAAAAATGTGGTTTTAACGGGACAATCATCTAGAAAAATATGGTTTTAAATGGGACAATCATCTGGAATGATGTGGTTTCAATGGGACAATCATCTAGAAAAGAATGGTTTTAATGGGACAATCATCATCAATCATCTAGAAAAATGTTGTTTCAATGGGAAAATAATCTATAAATCAGATTTTGAGTCGGGGAACTTTTCCATGAAAAGAACATTTTCACATGGAGAAGTTACCATGGAGCTGACCTGAGGGTATAGCTCAGGTCAATGCCGATTTTCATAGGGCGGATAATGATAATTTAATTGATGATAACTAATCATCCAGTGGAATTGACAATTGGGGCTTATTTTTAGACAAAGCTTGAAGTAGCATCTTTTTGCCTTCAACTCTGAGACCGGGGGATCAAAAACCTTGCGGGACTTGATTGCAGGGGCAGCTTTGCAAAAACAACCTACGAAGTGTGTGATATAATATGTGATATGAGTTTTTGCAGAAGATAGCCCGCCCGGTGCCTGTGGGGTTGGCTCACACCAGTTTCAGCTTCCAATTTTCATCCCAGTTTGATGGTGGCGGGGGGCCGCTTGTACAACCTTGGGGACTTGAACCTCCCAAACACAAATAGACGTGATATGACAAACAAAAAACATAAGCAGGACAAATCCGGAACGTACCGAAAAACACTAGGATGACTTGAAGCGAGAGGCTTCAAGCAACATTAGAAATGATGCAACAGCAATTCTATGTCCAATTATAGCAATCGCTATTTGCTATTCACTGTCTGTGTATGACAATGTAAATACACACATTATATATGTATATGTGTGTGTGTCTACATGTGTGTTTATGTGTCAATTTCAAAAAAATAACATGGGTTACTTCTGAATAGGATACCCTAGGCAAATCCATTTGGCGCGGCGACATCGACATCACTAATGATGGTACGAATCGTACGCATCGTCGGCTCGGCGGCCTTGAAATCCAAACGCGAATCCACGGTGTCTTTGGTGAAGCTTTCCTCCCACCATTCCAAGGCCTCGGCAGGCTGGAAGGCCGGCAGATGGGCCGAGATTTTCGGCACTTATTCAATATATACAATATCGATCGTGTAGCTTGTTTGAAGGAGAAGAACACTTATACATATATATATATATGTGTGTGTGTGTTCTTTTTGGTACTACAGTATCTCAATCTATCTCAATACTTTATCGTAACATATGGTTGTTTCTCATAAAATGAGGATCAACAACACAGCCACAGGCCCACGTTTAAATCACATTTTGCTACCATGCGGTGGGGAAACTCTATATCTCCAACTGGCTCCCTGCAGAATATGGATAGCCCTCCAACTGGATCATTTTAGATCCCTCCTGGTTGGAGAATCGTTCTGCGAATCGCAACTGGTAACCATATATAATATATTATAATCTATAATCATGTGTTTTTTGCGGGAGAGCCCCAGTGAATTGGGACATCCTGGGGTAACCACTTTATAACTTGTAACATCTAACCACTGAAGAGTTGGCCCCCAAAGGACCCCTTAACGCTCCAAGGCGCAGCCGCTTCCCCCGTAGCTGCCCACTGAGCCTGCCGCCAAAATTGCCATGACTTCGATGAGTTAGGAAACCTCCATATAATGGTTAATATTGGTAGTTGATGGTTATGAATGGTGATGAATGGATCTAAATTGTATGTTCATTACTTTTGAAAACATGCAACCTAACACTGCCAGCTCTAACATCATTTCTTTGTTGTGATAAAGCACATGCCAATGTTTTTCTTTGGGTTTTGCAAGCTGGCAATTTCATGTATTTTTTGCCAACGTTGAGTGAGCCATCAATCATTCGGGACCAGCCCAGCAAGCCTTGATATACTATTAGCTCAACTGGATCTGCACTTTATCCGATCTCTACCCCAATTGTTCTTCAAGCAGCAACCACATACCTATCAGGGTAAACATACCAAAGATGTGGAAAACCCACAGTATCCCTCGAAAAAAACATCTACAAATCATGGCTTTTCCACATCTATCTTCCATAAACAGGGCTCATCTCAATCCCAAGCAGCCTGGGACCACAAATTCGAAGCATGGCCTGGACCTCTTCAGGTTTCTTGTACAGCTCTGCCACTTTGTGCACAGCCGTGCCAACAGCCGTATACACCTCCTGGTGGGTCGAATCCCCATGAAAATTCTCGAAACGTTGGAGGTTTGGGCACTCAAGATGTAACGCAGCTAACCTCGCATGATTGGGTCATGGTGCTTAGCACTGTCATCATCTGATCAAACATCTGACCTGAAATCGTGATCATGGAGGTCTGCCAGTCTCTGACAGTCTAAGAGGAAGAAGCAAAACTGGATTCCTTGACATGAAAAGACATGACATATAGGGGTATATGAAGTCATATACATTACCAGTAATTCACGAAGCTGAACATGACTGTTTTCATACGCCGGGGATGATTCCCCTTTCTAACCATCATTCCAGTGACATCACATTGAGGCCAATATATTTCATCCAGAGATACATTGCCCATTTTCGTATATGTCAAAACTTAGCACATGGAGCTGTGGATACCTTTCGTGACACGTTTTCTTACCAAACCTATGACTGAAATGTTGGTCTCTATCAAATTCAGGTTCCGCAATCAAACAACTGCCGGGCTGCAAAATCGGTCAAATAACGCTGACCAGTTTCCAATTTGTCTTCTACAATGTCTCAAAGATGCATGTCCATCGAAAAGAATCCGTTTAGGTCGTCGATCTTCCGTTTCCTACCGATTATGAGTGTTGTTAAATATTCACCAACCATGTTCCATCATTTTCCCATTTCCAAGTTCAACCTAGGATGGATTCCAGCATGCTTCCACGTTTTTTCCATGTGTTCACCATGTCTAAAACATATCAAAAACCATAGTTAAACAGTCTGAAAAAAAAACATGATATGACAAACATATCATCAACCAATATTAGTTTTATCCAAAAACTATAATCCAAAATCCATGATAAAATCATCCTAAATCTCTGTTGGTGAAATCCCCCTTTGGGTTTTTGCTGAAGTTCAATCCCCATGGGAAAACCCCTGGGATCAACGGCCGCGCCTTCTTGGTGCCGCCCGCCAAGGCCACCACCAAGGCGCCCTCCTCCGAGGCGATGACCAGTTTCCTGCGCGGCGGAAGACGGAACGCGTCCTTGCATTTTTCCTGTTTTCAAGGGATGTGGTTTTATACATTTGCATTACTATTTATACTATATTTAAATAGTATATACTGTAAACTATTTATATATACATTTTGATTTGTGTTTTGTGGGTTTATACTATGTATATCTATATATACTGGTTGGTGGTTGACCTACCCCTCTGAAAAATGATGGAGTTCGTCGGTTGAGGGATGCTTATTCCCAATATAGTAGGCGCAGATGACACGGGACTTTGCGGCCGATTTAGCCGAGGTTTTTTGGCACATGACATGGGATTTATGTATCGATTTTGTTAATTTTTTTTTAACCCATGACATGGGAGTTATGCGCCGACCTAACGAGCAAAAAAAATCATGTTTTTTTGACAGATGACATGGGAATAGGTGATCAAATTTAGACAAGGAGGTGAATGGATTCATGTGACTTTGGAATATTCAAACTGCTGACGTATAATTTTGGATTAGTCTAACTGCTAGCAGGTAGTCATGTTTTGCATCTTTTTGGTGCCCAAACAATTGCAGAGGTCCCATGTCATGTGATTTTTTCCGGGGCACTTTACAGATGACACTGGACTTATGCATTGCTCTGTTTTTTTTTACTTTGCAAATGACATGGGAGTTTGTTTTTTTTGGGGTATGTCCGACAACCCCCATGTCATCTGCAGGTACTATATATGGAAAAAAGAAGTTCCAAACCACCAACCAGTCATGTATATGTATATATATATGTGTGTGTATGTATGTATGTATGTATGTATGTATGTATGTATGTATGTATGTATGTATGTATGTATGTATGTATGTATGTATGTATGTATGTATGTATGTATGTATGTATGTATGTATGTATGTATGTATGTATGTATGTATGTATGTATGTATGTATGTATGTATGTATGTATGTATGTATGTATGTATGTATGTATGTATGTATGTATGTATGTATGTCCGTCCGTCCGTAGGTAGGTAGGTAGGCAGGTAGGTAGGTAGGTATGTATGTGTGTATATGTATAAATGCATGCATATATGTATGTATGTCTCTGTGTGTGTGTATGTATGTGTGTTATGGTTGTATTTATATATATATATACATATATATATATATCATGATATTGGCACATTCTGTATACTATCTACATTAGCAATCATTATCCGGAGATACGGTTGAACGATAATAACTTCAGATTATTAGTGATATGTCAATTTATGGGTTTGCTGGCCACATGTTACATAACAGATATCTTAGCATCATAATATGTATAGTGTATCATTGGTATTACCAAGGGCATGCCTTTGCATAAACATTAGACTAACTATCTACCTTTATAGTAGGACTTAGTGAAATATATGTGATGAGGGGTCTACCAGCATTGTGAAGGGTTGACCATCATAAGAACTGGTAATGATGGCATGGGAGAGTCACTCGTGTTTAAACAAATAATCACTATCTGCATGAGGAACCACATATGCGTATGTATATACATAGTCTAGTGTAGTGGTAAAGAGTGGTGCGGGGGATTAACCATCACAAACCTGCTAGATATGATAGATAATGATGGTATCATGGGTACCTGTCATGCAACTGGCTCCATAAGTGTCTCAAAAGAATATTTATACTATATTCTCGTAATGTCAATGATACTCCTAACAATGTTGTTAAAATATGGTTTAAAATGCTATAAATAAAAATCAAAAACATCAACATCATCACAATTGCTTTCTGCGAGATTCAGGATCGTGTAAGGCTGGCATCCAAGCATTTTCTGGTGGAAGTTTCTGGTGCTTGGTGTAACTCTACGGTATCTTAACAAATCTTATATAGCCTATTTGTTTAAGTGACTCTTGACAGAGTTTGCCACTGTATGTGGTCGTAAAATTTGCATTTTTGTGGAGATATTCCCTTACATTGGCCAGCATTAGTCACCATTATTAATTACCATCACCATCAATCATTATTGATCACCGTTACAGTAATCATTCATTGCTAGTCACCATTAATCACTTCCAACCATTCAATCACCATTAATCACCATCAAATCACATTAAATCACCCATAAACTTGCCATACACTTGCCATAAACTGCACCAAGCGTCTGCTCTTCTGTCAATCCATTCCCTGGCACCGTGTCAGCGGCATCCAAGGCCATCCGTACAGCATAGTCGCAACGGTCTTGGACCTAGGCCCAACTGAAGAGACAGGTTCAAATCAATCAAACTGCGGTTTTTGGGTCGTCCGAAAATATGGTACCCCGTGGTGCCCCCGTGCATCATAGCAAGTGTCTTAAAATGCCCATGAGCTGTCACCAAGCTCACTTGCAACCTTCAACCCGGCAAGGAGAAACTACAACCGTATGTTTATCTGGTAACAACTGCCGGGGGCCCAGCAAGACATGGAATCCAACGTGTTGACCCATGGCATTGCAGGACTGGCATGGGAATGGCGACTGGCAGTAGCCTTCCAATGAGCTGAGGAGTCTCCACATAAGCATCGTGCTTACAGTGAGATGTGACAAAGACACACAAATGCGCGCGCACACACGCAGATACATGTTTGCAGAATTGCACTCCCACAACAAGTGTGTGTGTGTGTGCGCATGTGGAATGTGGAACCATGTGGAACCAAATGTGAAACTATATGTGGAACTAACAAGAAAACTGTTATTACAGATTAATTTCGGAGCGTGGGCGTCTGCATCTACGTCACGAAACGACTTGTGTCTGTGTATCTAAGTACTGTGTATCCCAAACGCATCACTGCGTAACAGAACCATAGCAATGATACAAACAAAACACACATCATTGCAAATCATTATTAATAAGTTTGCAAATGTTTGATGAGCTCGCCACCTTCTCCAAAGTCCAAAAAACCTGCCTTCTTGGAATTGTTGCAGGGGTTTATTGGAAAAAACAACAATAAAATAAATTATAGATTCCCCAAATGGTGGATTGTCCATTGGAAAAAACGCATTAAACAAACATCACTAACTCAAAAAAAACGATTAAGTGTTACTGTGTTTTAAGACATAACTTACTGTTAATTTTAACGCAAAATATGTTCAAACATAATTCAGTGTTAATCTTAAAACATCAATGTTTTCAAACATGATTCAAGGTTAATCTTAACACATAGATAATCATTCCCATCACTTAAAGAATCACCAAGATTTCAGTGAACACTTCAGTCAGCAGTCACCATCTGTATCCAAGAGGCGACTTCATCCCTGGACTTGGAAAAAACTCCAGCAATGGAACCCACCGCATACATGGCCTGCTTTGAAAAGGCCGGATGCCAAAAATTGCCAAGAAACAGTGGACTTGTTCCGCAATTTTAGGTTTTTTTCCGCTTTCCATTACGCGATGTCTAGTGAACATTCCGGCACGTCTGGGGTAAATTGCATCAGATCTGGTTAAAAAAACACGGATCAAATCTGGGAGTTGATCTGGTCCTCCTCTGGAGTCCAACCACAACACCTTCGCTATCTGCTCTATCAACTGCCAACCACGTTATCATTTCTGGTCCGACTTCGTACAACTACGTTGTTATCTTTTCTATCAGCTTCCAACTATGTTTCTGATGTCTCTTACTGGCACAGTGACCAAACCTTGGCGCAGAAAAAAAAACCGTTTTCATGTGCCAAAACCATGGCCCCACTGTCACTTTGTGAAATGACCCACCAAAAATCTAGTACCCTTCTGGGGGATGAAATGTCCATATTTGATGGCCAGCGCACAGAAAAACAATAAAACCAATGAAATTGACACGCAAACTTGACAAAAAGACATGAAATCCAGTGCAAAACGCCAAATGACACTGGATCCACAAACATCAAAAGGGCAACGCCGCCACGTTCAATTACCCACCCGGCGGGATGATTAACCATTACTAATCATCAGTAACCATTATTCATCATCAGTAACTAACCGTCATTAACCACTATATACCATCATTATGAACCATTTCTATGCCATTATTAACGAATATTAACCATTACCGACCATTACCAGCCACCATTAGCCATTATCAACAATTATTAACCATGATTAATCATCAGTAACCATTCTTAATCATCAGTAACCATTCTTAATCATCAGTAACTAACCATCATTAACCACTATATACCGTCATTGGTGACAAGAATCCCCCTTCCCCCAGCGCCTGTTGCGCTTGGATGTCCACCGTGTGATTCACCGCCGCAAAGTTGGCCGCCGCCTGGGCCGCAGCGGCCAGTTGAGGCGTCACACCTGGCGGAGGCTAGCGTTTTTTCGTAGGAAAAAATTGGGAATTCACATGGATTAACCAACCAAAAATGGTGATAACTTGGGCATTCACATGGATTAACCAACCAAAAAATGGTGATAATTGGAGGTTCACATGGATTAACCAACCAAAAATTGTGATAATTGGGGATTAACATTGATTAATCAGCCAAAAGTGGTGATGGAACCAGCCAAAAAAAAAGGTGATGGAACCAACAGAAATGATGGTTTAACCAAGCAGAAACGATGCTTTAACCAACAGAGACCAAAATAATGGTTTTAAGTAACAAAAATGGTGATGTAAGCAACAAGAATAATGTTATAATGTGGAAATAATGGGATATTTGGTGGTGTTACATTCACAGTGGTTTGTGGGCGGGTATTTAAGATTGGGTGGGTGGGGCATAAGGACCTTTGGATAATTGTGTTGGTTGGTGTTTTTGTTCCTGTAGGATGGGGTTGAAACTGGGATGCAACGGAGTTTCTCATTCATTTGGCTGCCACCCGAAGCTGCAAAAGTGGATTGTCTGTGAAAATAAGTAAAGGCTCAGGACCGACTCTACCGAAATCATACGGATGGGTAAGCAGTATATCAGCATACATTACTAGGAACAAAGTGCAACAGTGAACAGCCTGGGAACAAAAGCCTCAATGTGGGCAAATTGGATTTACTCAAGCTGGTTCAACGACTGCAATTAACACGTAAATACGTGGGACCAAACATTGCAACAATGGGAAAACACATGAATATTTCCGCCGCATAAGCGTGGACAAATTGGGCTAGAACAAGTCTTCACCTGGGGTTCCCTGCCCGAAATTTATGGCCTTACTATGTAGATATATATTTACATATGTATATATATGTATATATATATATATATATATATAATTTTATTTGTATATATATATATATATGTACATTTTAGAAGTATGTATACCCCAGCAAATTCATATAATCTTATCATTGTTATTATACATGTCTCTAAAATACGATAAATATACTATGTATACATACATATCCCACGTACTTGTACCCGCATACATGCATATCCCACATACCCCGTACTTGTGGGTTTGTCTGGAAATAGGGTAGAACAGGATCCACGGTTGCTTCTTCTTTTTACTATATTGAATAACAATTTCTATCGGTACCATTCGGTACCTGTACCCTCCGGTAATCAAACATGGCAATGGAAAATTTCCCTTTTATATTTGATTGGCCCCTTAAAGCTTCCATCTATAATGGAGGTACGGGCCCTCGAGGGCCCTGATACGGACCCTTACGGGCCCACCTACGGACCTCTACGGGCCCACGGGCCTACGGGTCTGCGGGCCCACGAGCCCACTACGGACGTACGGGCCCACGGGCCTACAGGCCTACGGGCCCACCCGGACATGACATGGACGGAGCCCGGAAAGAGAGGGGCGCACGAGATCTTACAATATAAGATCAAGGGAGCGTGCAAATGAAAATGATGAGGATGATGATGATGATGATGATGGTGGTGGTGATGATGATGATGACTTTGACGATGATGATGCTGATGCTGAGGATGATGGTGATGTTGAGGATGATAACGTTGAGGGGGATGACGAGAAGGATGATAATGCGAATGTTGCGGAAGATGAGGGGGAGGTTGATGATGTTGAGAATGATGAGGTCAAGGGAGTGGAAGATGATGATGTTGAGAATATATGAGAATATGGTGTTGGGGAGGGGGAGGATGAAGATAATGATGTTGAGGAGGACGACCGATCCCAAGAGCGGGATGAAAAGGATGATAATGTTGATGTTGCGGGATGAGGTGGAGGTTGATGAGACCCACACTTTGTGTGAGCCTGCACAATTGACATGCACATGGACATGTCACAAATCACAATAGCAAGTTCATGCGGAACTTTACAAGCATAAAGCCTGAGACCAGGAGGAAGCCAAACTCGCGCGGCAGACTTTCTGCGAACCCGCGCGTTCGAAATGCACATGGACATGTGAGAAGAACCGTTTTATCCAAAAAAATACAAATCAAAGGCTGCAGACCAAGAGCAAGCCAAACTCGCACCGCACGTTCCCTGCGAGCCTGCACAGTCGAAATGCACATAGACATGTCACAAGAGCAATTTTAGGGCCATTTTACATGAGACTTTACAGGAAAAGGGGCGAGAACCCAGACTAAGCACCTCGATCAAGCACCGGCCTCAACTCTTACCATAAGAACCCCTGAGTGTGGACACACTGCTTGGGGAAAAAAGGAAATCCTCCCAATTACGGCGAACATCAGCAACCAATTCGAGGCCCCAATTGGCCGTCACTTCTGGCCATGCCGCTCCGCTGGATCTTTTCTGAAATGCACCCCGACTGTGAACGTTTGGCAGCACCCCGCGGGATGAAACCAACCGTCGATATTTGACTGCATCATCATGGCAGGCAAGGGGTCGGCCCTGCTATTTGTTTATCTGCCCTGTTGATCTGCCTGATCAATCAACGTATTCAAGTTAATTTCCTGGCAACTAGCTGGCAATTCATTTCAATCAGCTGTCAATGCTGAAGATACAAAGCTCTACAGAGCACAAGTTTCAACTCACCGGGCCCAAGCTTTGCATCAACAAAAGCAAAGCAAAACTGCACAGGGGCAAAGCTTTGCAGCGCAAAGTTGCAAGCCACAGGGACAAAGAATGAACACCTACCATGATACATACAAATTATTCAAAGCTTTGCTCCTATGTGTATGGTGGAGCAAAGCTTTGCCCTTGTCCATATACGGCATGCAACCGTTTTGCTGCAAAACTTCGTCCCTGTGGCTTGCAACTTTGTGCTGCACCTGTGACTTGCACCTTTGTGCTGCAAAGCGTTGCCCCTGTACAGTTCTGCTTTGCAACTTGTGCTCCGTAGAGCTTTTTATCTTCAACATTGACAGCTGATTGAAATGAATTGACTGACAGCTAGTTACCATGAAATTTTACCACTTATTCATCCATCTACCTTTTTGTCGGCCTCTTTGCTTATCTGATTATCTCTCTGTATAGTTTTCTGCCATCGAACAGTCTTGAAATAATAAAAATAAAAGTCTGAGAAACAAGACAGGCCTACCCCATCATCTGACTTACGGGCCCCCCTCTACGGGCCCACGGGCTCGGGCCCTAACTTACGGGCGCCTGGGGCTCTTTAGGGGACAATGGCCCCTGTGGATGGTTATCTGCAGACACACCAATATAGGTGTCGCTTCAGATGTGGATACCCCCAAATCATCCAAATCATTAGACAATTTTAATGTTGAAACAACCGTGATGACTTGGGAGTTCTCCTTTTTAGTATTGAAAATCCTCGAACTAAATCGAGCTTTTAATAGGAAAACATCAAAGTCAATGGGTAATTCTCAACAACCCATGGAACTGACTGCCAAGGGTAACTCCATTAATCACCATTCATCACCAATATTAACCTATATATATATATATGGCTAAACTAACAATTATATGAACATATATGAACACCATTAACCACTCTTACAGAAACCGATGGACGCTATGGACACTATTCACCACTATTAACCATGGTAACTCTAGGGATCCACCAGAGATCAGGAAGCAAAGCCGATGCCAAGTGGCTGTTGTCATCTCCAGCAGAAGCCAAGGCTGCCACTCCTCCCACCACACCAGCACGGACTTGCGCCTGGAGAATTCAAGGGGTGAATAGGGTTTCTTTAAGGAATCCCATAGGAAACCATTGAAAGCTTTTTTTTGGTCATCAACTATATGTGCTATATATATATTAATATATCTAATCTATATATGTATTTTCTTTTTACTATATATAATGTTGACACCTGATTAGTAGCATGGTACTCTATTGTGGCAAACTTTTTCCTCCTTATTCAGTAACCTGCTGTTTGGTGGGGGGGGCCTCTATTGTGGCAAATGTTTTTCCAGATTTTTTTTTAAAAAATTGTTCCTAATTAATTAATTATTTTTTGAATTTATTTTTAAATTGGTTACTTAAAAATGTTTTTCTGTTTTTCATTTTTTTAAATTAAAGCTTTCAAATGCAAAGTTTTCCAAATAATTAGATGCCTTATTAAACCCTTATTAAAAAACAGCATCCAGACAATTTTTCAAGGGGGTACCTCATGAGTGGCTCAGTTACTCAATAATATGAATGTTTGGATGGTACTCTATTGTGCCAAGCAACTTTTGGGATTGAAAAAAATCAAAAACCTTCTCCACCTTTCTTTGAGTAAAGCTGGTCCATTTACTTTAAAAAGCCATATTTGTGTTAAATCTTTAAAATGCAAGGTTTCCCAAATAATTAGATGCCTTATTAAACCCTTTTTAAAAAACAGCATCCAAACAATTTTTCAAGGTGGTACCCCATGAGTGGCTCAGTTACTCAATAACATGAATGTTTGGATGGTACTCTATTGTGCCAAGCAACTTTTGGGAGTGAAAAAAAAACAAAAACCTTCCCCACCTTTCTTTGAGTAAAGCTGGTCCATTTACTTTAGGAAACCATATTTGTATTAAAGCTTTAAAATACAAGGTTTTCCAAATAATTAGATGCCTTATTAAACCCTTATTAAAAAACAGCATCCAGACAATTTTTCAACGGGGTACCTCATGAGTGGCTCAGTTACTCAATAATATGAATGTTTGGATGGTACTCTATTGTGCCCAAGCAACTTTTGGGGTTGAAAAAAATCAAAAACCTTCTCCACCTTTCTTTGAGTAAAGCTGGTCCATTTACTTTAGAAAAGCCATATTTGTGTTAAATCTTTAAAATGCAAGGTTTTCCAAATAATTAGATGCCTTATTAAACCCTTTTTAAAAAACAGCATCCAAACAATTTTTCAAGGTGGTACCCCATGAGTGGCTCAGTTACTCAATAATATGAATGTTTGGATGGTACTCTATTGTGCCAAGCAACTTTTGGGGTTGAAAAAAAACAAAAACCTTCTCCACCTTTCTTTGAGTAAAGCTGGTCCATTTACTTTAGAAAGCCATATTTGTGTTAAAGCTTTAAAATACAAGGTTTTCCAAATAATTAGATGCCTTATTAAACCCTTATTAAAAAACAGCATCCAGACAATTTTTCAACGGGGTACCTCATGAGTGGCTCAGTTGCTCAATAATATGAATGTTTGGATGGTACTCTATTGTGCCAAGCAACTTTTGGGGTTGAAAAAAATCAAAAACCTTCTCCACCTTTCTTTGAGTAAAGCTGGTCCATTTACTTTAGAAAGCCATATTTGTGTTAAATCTTTAAAATGCAAGGTTTTCCAAATAATTATATAGATGCCTTATTAAACCCTTTTTAAAAAACAGCATCCAAACAATTTTTCAAGGTGGTACCCCATGAGTGGCTCAGTTACTCAATAATATGAATGTTTGGATGGTACTCTATTGTGCCAAGCAACTTTTGGGGTTGAAAAAAAAACAAAAACCTTCCCCACCTTTCTTTGAGTAAAGCTGGTCCATTTACTTTAGGAAACCATATTTGTATTAAAGCTTTAAAATACAAGGTTTTCCAAATAATTAGATGCCTTATTAAACCCTTATTAAAAAACAGCATCCAGACAATTTTTCAACGGGGTACCTCATGAGTGGCTCAGTTACTCAATAATATGAATGTTTGGATGGTACTCTATTGTGCCAAGCAACTTTTGGGGTTGAAAAAAATCAAAAACCTTCTCCACCTTTCTTTGAGTAAAGCTGGTCCATTTACTTTAGAAAGCCATATTTGTGTAAAATCTTTAAAATGCAAGGTTTCCCAAATAATTAGATGCCTTATTAAACCCTTATTAAAAAACAGCATCCAAACAATTTTTCAAGGAGGTACCTCATGAGTGGCTCAGTTACTCAATAATATGAATGTTTGGATGGTACTCTATTGTGCCAAGCAACTTTTGGGGTTGAAAAAAATATCAAAAACCTTCTCCACCTTTCTTTGAGTAAAGCTGGTCCATTTACTTTAGAAAGCCATATTTGTGTTAAATCTTTAAAATGCAAGGTTTTCCAAATAATTAGATGCCTTATTAAACCCTTTTAAAAAACATCATCCAAACAATTTTTCAAGGTGGTACCCCATGAGTGGCTCAGTTACTCAATAATATGAATGTTTGGATGGTACTCTATTGTGCCAAGCAACTTTTGGGGTCGAAAAAAAAAAACAAAACCCTTGAAAGTAAATTGAAATCAATTGAAAGTCAATTGAACGTAAATTGAATTCAATTAAAAGTAAATTGAAATCAGTTGAAAATCAATTGAAAGTAAACTGAAATCAATTGAAAGTAAATTGAAATCAATTAAAAGTAAATTGAAATCAATTCAAAAAAATTGTTGAGGGTGGGGGGGCGCAAAAAAATGGTCAGTTATTGAGTAGACTAAAATTGTTTGAGGGGGGGGGGCCCACCCACTAATCAGTCGACAACATTAGCTAGGTATGCTTGTAGTTTGTTTTTTTGTAAGTTGTTGATTTAATTCAGTTCCGAGCTTTCAGAATTTTTGCTTTTCAGAGGTTCAAATCCTCTCGTGGAGCGAAGTTCTTGGGCTTAACCCATACCATCCCATACCCACCAGGCGTCCACTTTTGGACGATTCTTGGACAATCCAACAACAAAAGTGTGTTTTTTTTTCACTGGGCCCCTTGTATCATCTTGTAATCTACACTTTACCCCTCAGATTCTTATACAGTGTATGATACAGTGTATGCACAAATAAATATAAGCAGTGCACATGTACGGAAATCTTGGGGTACTTCCTGAGTAAAAAAAGAGGGGTCACTGGAGAAGTCCAGTAAAAGTGCGCCTTCTGAGTGTTGGATAATCCCATCAGCACCTTGGAGACTGGATCCACCCAGCGAACATCAAATCCGAAAAGGGCCCTGTTTAAATCCAAGAAGTCCTCTGAGAAAACGCGTCAAAAATCCAACAGAAACCAAGGTATCTGGATGTGTCTCTCTGAAAAATGATAGGCAAATTTTAACGCAAATCCACTGGATCATGATAACACATTCCCATCATTCCCCATTCAAAAATATCCAGTGGGGGGTAAGCCCTATTTTCAGACACCCCCATCTCACGTTTGCAATGCTTGATGTCAGGGAATGTCCCACCAAAATATGGCATGTCACAGTCACAGTATCTCCAACGTGGTTCTCTGTAGAACTCACCGTTAAAACAGCTATATATATATATATCTCTTGGAGATTCTTGGAGGAGGATGTGTGAGCAAATTCCACCGGCACGTTCTACCAAAGAACACTTGTCTGAGATTGTGTAACATTGTTTGATGGCTTTTCAGTTGGCATCCCATGACATCTTCAGTCCCCAAAAAGCATCATCCGATGGTTGCATTATGCATTCCAGTTTCTATCCGAATTATGTCCCCAGTGTTCATATGGTTACCCGCCAAGAAATCAACATAGACCCTGACAATAAACAGTTGTCGGATCTATTTGGTGGAATGTAATCTTCCAACCCCCTATTCGGCAGGGCCTATGTTAATTTATATCCGGGATCCCTTGATAATCTTGATATATGGTTGTTGGTCGAATGCCTGGTACCCAAACGGTACCTAAATAGCTGATATAGCTGGATGGTTATTCCATGTACAACCCCCCAAAAGATGGAAATGAAAAACATTTTTTTAACCGAAATAGCTGGTTAGTGGATGGTTTTTCCCCCTTTTATATGGTACGTTCAATGGTAGCTTGACCCATCCCCATATGTCCCAGTGACTCCATTCTGTTGCGCGGCCAGTGCCCCTGCGAGCTTCACCTCGTCGACCGTTTTGCCGGCACCTTTGGCGTCTCCTAGGACCGCGCGGAACGATGGTTTTTTCGGGCAAACGGAACATGCTTAGCCTTGGGTAATGACTAACAGTTTGCCACGGAAAATTGTCATTGATAGTTGATTTTACCTGTTTAAAAAGGCTGATTTTCCAGTTTGCAAAGTGTTAGTTAGAGGCTAAATTACTGGGATTTGAACATCAAATACTGTGGTGTTCTATATTTTCCTATGGTTTCCTGCCGATCTTCCCGGAAACGCTGGAAAACGCCAAGCGGCGAGCAGCATTCACCGCCGCCTGGTTGGTGAGTTTTAAGGCTTGGGCCAGGGAAGAGGCCGAACACCTCGGCTCACGGGCAAAGTAAAGTATACCCCCAAAGAAAGAGAACATGAATTGATCATCCCCTTGTAGACTAAGTGGGAGTCTCATAAGTCCCAATTTTAGAGAGGAGTTTTCTAAGAGCATCATTTTTCAATGTATCATTATTCAAGCGAGAATTTGGAGTTCTATTTCGTTTTTGTGGCTGCTATGATTGATATCTACCGGAGGTGTCATGTACAGAGCGGTGTTACCTATATAAAAAGAATATATATATATATATAATAGAGGTATAGTGTCAACTTAAATGTAAACATTCTCATTTATAGAAGGTTTAGCTAAACGGCTAAACAGTTGTGAACAGTAAATACATATGTACATAATAAATAAATAAACAGATAAACAAATAAACAAATAAATAAATACAATTATATATATATATATATTATCACTAAACAACTTATTAAGTTAACCACCGTGAAGAGACTTGTAATCAGAGTTTGTTGGTGGTAACCGAAGGATGATATATGTTTGGATGGAGAAGCAAAACACATGCCTATTGATTACCCTCTGGTAATCACAGCACTGGAAAATCAACCATTTATAGATGACTTTCCCATGAAAACACCGTTGAACTCATGAGCAACATCACTGATGCATGCATTCTTTCAAGCAGGCTATGCTGGAAATCTCTGATCAAATCTTGGTCAAGCTCTTGGCTCTCAAGACACGGACGCCTCACATTGAAGGTTTCCAAGAGTTTACCCAGATCATGCCAGATCTATCCTTTATGTTTTGCTATGTTTTGCTGACTTCCTTAGGTTTCCTTCAGTGTCCTTAGATTCCCTTCGATTTCCTTCCGGGAGTTCTTGCCTTTTTCTTGGATATTCTTCTTTTGGTTTCCATAGGTTTTGGGCTGGGTTGCTGCTCCGATTTCTTCCCTGTTCCTGAGATTTTCTTTAGCTTGCTTTGATTCTCCTTTGATTTCTGAGGAGGATACGAGGGACAAGAAATCCCAGGGAAATGGTTTCAAAGGAAATCTAAGAAGGCCAAGAATAGTTTAATCATGCCTGTTGCTATATTCCATCTTGGAAATCATAGGATATTTCTGAGCTAGCCGTGTTTGATTACCAAAGGATAAAATCGGCATTCCAAGGCACGATTTGGGTCCACTGACGGCGGTAGGTTTCATGCTCTCAATGGCTTGGTTGCCTGCAGGACAGGTGGAACGTCTAGATCCAACTTTGCACGTAAATAATGCGTTCAAAATTACAAACAGTTACACAATATACCGATATACCTGTGTGTCCCTGGGTCTAACAGAACCATGTGCTTTCTAAATTCAACAAACCCAGGTAGGAGAGCAACCAGCCAACCACAACAAATAGATATGACAGAAAAATCAGAAAACAGCGTAAAACACAAACACATAGTATGTTTCTTTTAATGTAAGATTGTATGTGCTGTTGCTCAAACTTGTGTCTTCCGGATGCCTGAAAGGGTCGTCTAGACTCAATTTTGGTCTAGAACGGAATGGATAGTCTTTGGTCCATGGGCCGTGTTCTGCACCTAATTATGGAGATTAAACGTGCATGTGCATGGATAGGCACATATTTTTTTTGCTTGCAGTGCAGTGACGGAATTGTCTATCCTGGGGTGGAAACAGTCCGTGACGAAACAATTGATATTGAGCCACACGCGCTATCCCATGAACGTATTGAAAACAAGTCTGCAACACCAGCTTAGTTTTCCACATCGAGAAGCGTGATGGAACACGTTCCTCCTTAGCTCCATCCCGACAGCACCTTGTAGGTAGCAAGCCTTTGTGTCCGAATAGTAGGTGAAAACCTGTGAAGGATCCGGGTCATGTTTTGCAACTGGACAAAATCAGGACAACCCGTGATAGTTCACAAATCAAAAATAATTAACCAATTTCCATCATAAACCATCATTACTCATTTGTTTTTTTGGGATTATAACCAATCCAACAATAAGTTTTTCATTTATAATCCATATCCATAGATGATCATAGAAGTCCAGAAAATCATCAAAATCCTATTGCTTTTTTATCCCGGATAAGATTATATACCCGTTCTAAAAAAAAATATCCCCAGCGCCAGTGATGGCAATCTCCCCAGCGCCAGGGATTCTTTTGATCGGAAATCGGTTGGAACCCGCCGACGTTACAAAACGCGTAGAGTAGGACTTTTTGAAACAGAATGTAACATTATATAATTAATAGTTATGATATAATATGTTATATTCAGTAATAGTGATAACATATGATAATATGATAATGGTGAATATAATATGGTTCGTGCTTTCAAACCCTCTGAATAATATTAGTCAATATTAGTCACTTATAATAATTATTATTCCCAATATATGGAAAAATAAAAATGTTCCAAACCACCAGCCAGTAATAATAATTCAGAAATATTCAGAATATATGCTCCTAGCTCTTGATGTGCATTTGCTTTTTAGTGAGCATCCACTGCACAAGTCATCAAAATATATGGTTTTTTTTGATGGGATGAGAGACGGGGAATGATGAGGATTCCCAATGGCAACTATTCTCCCACCCTTCAGAGCCCCCACATCGCAGAACCACATTTGATCGCAGGTGGCCTGTGGGCAGTCAAGGGCCAACCCGAGGATAAACATGGATAGAGCCGCCAACTTTTGGTGGAAAAACATGGTTTACGACATGGAATATCACTTCATGGTTCCTTCTAGGCCCTCTGGTCATCAATAACGGCTGCAAAATCCACAATCCGCACAATTCCTCGATTTCGGATCAATTATGGAGGTTTCCTATGAGGATACCCTCATATCGTATCCCCATGGTGGTTTCCATGGTGAACAGCTTCGGTAGCCTCTCTGGAGGTGATGAGTCACGCCTGGCAGGTCTGCGCGTTGGAGACGTAGCCACCATTCACATCCTTGTGCCAGGCATCGTCGTAGCCCCAACCTCGCCATGGAGCTGGACTCCGCCATATCCCGCTGCTATGGAATCTCCCAAAAAATTCTATGGTCATCAAATAAGAGGAATAAATAAATAAATATATATATTATATTACATTATACATATATATTATATTATATTTTATATTTTACATATATATATGTATAATATTATATGTGTGTGTGAAAATAAATACGTTTGAATTTTGAAACCGTCAACCAGACAATGAGCCTCAATGATGGGTGTCGGCGTCAGCTAAAGCAACAGTGATGATTTGTCATGTCCCTATCTCCATTTGCTCATTGTAACCAGCTCTTGCTCCATATCCACTCCGTAATTCACACGGGCTTGGCTCATACCACCTAGACATATAGCTCACATTCTTCCAGCATGGAGATGTTTTTGAAGCCTTGAAGTTCATGAAAAGTGGTAGTGGACATGTCTGTCCAGCCAAAAATCCAAATTCAACACATTTTCACCTTGCTCCAGGTCGTTTCAAAAATCTTCAAAAATCGTTGGAAATCGCCCGGCCGTGTCGGAAGCAGCTGTCTGTGGAAGGTGTGATGGGACCTTCCAGTGCATGCTCTCCCTCCTGGAGCGGACATGTCCGACGGATGGGTTTAAGGGAAAATCTCACCAGGAAACCGTGGTTTTGAATGGTTTTGACATGTGTTTACTATCAAATACCCAGTGTTCTTGTAAAAGTCCCTTGGCCCAATTCTAGGATTTCGTGATTTGTAGACGTTCGTACTGGCTATTATCATGAGTACATATCATGATTGATTCAAGCAAGACTTCAGATTTAGAGCTTATCTCATCCTATGACTATACTCGTTTTTTTTTTTTTACCAGGATCAGTCTTGCTGCTATCATCATAATCATAGTTCAAATATGTTCCAATGATGCAGACATGGTGATTTCACAGCTATTCTCGTCTTAAGGACATCCATAAAATGCAGACATGATCATCCGAAGCTGATCCCCAGATGGGAATATGTACAGAATGCTACAATGTCACATATACACACCATTAAATGGATTGATGGCCATCCCCTAACTGGGTATATCATAGTAGAACCAACCTAGGTTCTGATTACAGGACTAGTTGTAAATCCCACGATAACCCCACGAATCTCTCATTAAAGTCACCCGTTCTTAATGTTAAATCCAACTTTTGACCATGCGCGGGGATGTAACAGCTGTAACCGGCTGGGCCCACCCCGCGTCCTTCGATAAGACATTGGACACGCGCTCCAGTTCGTTGTCGGCAGCTTCAGTCTCTGGATGAAGTTGCAAGTTGCCTTGCACCTGGAGCGGCATTGGCTTTCCCACATTAACAGATATTAATTCTGAGTTGAATGGTAAAAATAGTGGTTAAGTTATATATAATATATATATATGTACTTATTATATAACTGATGTGAATCATTGTAAGTTGTATTAGTGGTTATTAACCGTATCAATAGTGGCTAAACCGGTTATGTTGGGACTTGGGGTCAAGAGTTCTCTCTCTCGATCGCCATCAGGTCACCCTGCAGATTGGATACGCACTATGTTACAAAGCTTTTACCTACAGCAGCAAGACATGGTAAAAATACGTAAACATCAATAAGTTGTTATATAGTATGATGATGAATGGTGATTAATGGAATTTAAGAAGCAATAATTTGAATTTTACCACTAGAAATAGTGATCTGCCTGTGGGGTAATTACTCGAATTTTGTTTTTTTTCCTCCATTTTCCCTATTCCCTATACCACATGCTCAGGTACACCCTAGAGCTACCATCCCCCCATGCAAATCCTGAAGATTCCAAATTTTAGCGGGATGAGAATCTCTGCCGAGACCGAAAGAGGTGCGATCCTAACCCCCCGTGCCAACTGGGATCCAACTGCATTGATGTCCCATCCCATTTTCAGAAATGCTTGCTGTAATGGGATGGTTTATGATCGGGTTTACCATGTCATGGGATTATTTACCTCATTCTAAATCCCCCTCCACAGTGGCGCCTGTGTCTCTGGAACTGTTGCCACTTCATCTTGAGCAACCGCTAGCTGCAACACTCCCAGGAACAGCAATAACAGCGCCATGGCGACCAAGTGAGTCGGAGATCTCCGTGACTCGGGAAACCAACAGGGCGTGCCAATCAGCAAAAAGCAATCTGAAATTGTCAGATCGTTCTTTTTTGTGGTTGTTTTGGATTCAGTAGCTGATCTGGTTTTGAATATGTTTGAATCATGGAATAATCGCAACCTGTGAGCCATTGATTCGGAGGATGACACGTGAAGTTTGCGCACGCACTTAAATTTGTCATGTCTCTCTCTCTCTCTCTCTGAATGTGTGTATATACAGTTTCTATATACTATTATAACCAAGCTTTAATCATACAATAAACAGACAGCTCTACACATGAATATGTACCCAACTGGGGCGGTGTATTCAATATTGGCATTGGTTGACCATCCGAGCCATCACTGTTGGGATGTCCTGGTGATGGGAAGAAAAACAGGAATTTCTGTGGGTATGGTGCCTCCGAGTGAAAAGTTGACACATCTAACTAGAGTTTATAGATTGATGTTGCCAATTGGAAACTCCAGTCAAACTAGTTGTAAAACAGCTATAAACAGCTTATATATGTATAACTAACTCTGGGGCACCATCCTGTGTGGATGACACCCTATGATTGAATGGTACAGCTACTACCCAGCTACCATGGGGTCGATTCATTTTGCGGAGCTGGAGTTGGGCTTCCTTTCAGCCCAGGACAGCGTCGGCAGGTGCCAAGATCAAACATGGGAATTCTATTCCAACACAAAGAACTCCGACCGCAATTTGGTTCCTATCATTTCCTATCATATACCAATATATTCCAACATCTTTCAATGCAAAAACAATAAGGATTCCAATATCTTCCAGCCAACTGAAGTTCGGTACGTGGTGCGCCTTGGTGCACTCCGGGCAGTCCCACGGACGGTTGATCATACTCTATACAAGGTGAGGCCTCCTAGATTTCTGGGGTTTATTGCGGCTTTATTCATGGCCCTATGGCTAATAGCTCAGCTAATGGCTTTATGAAGCAATGAAATCACGTCATTGCTACGGGCCTCGTCTTGTGTCAGGTTTTGTGTCAGATACCATCAGATATCCCAGAGGTAATCCTTTGTGGCCATGGAACATCCACTATAAATGGAGGTTTCAATGGAAAATCATCAAACAAATGGGGGGGTCCAACAAGCCGAGCTGATTACCGCTAACTCCATTTGATCACCACGAATCACCACTATTGACCACTATTAATCACTATCAAACACTATACTAACCAATACTAACCATGGCAGCTGCACGTGGATCACCATATGTGTCACATTCGAAGCTTGGACCATCAATCCCTAGGATGATCCGCTATTCTCATCGCCATTCTGTGACTGCTGGTGCTCCGGGCCAATGTCCAGGCTGGAAGGCACCTGGCGCGGAGCATTCCTGGAAGCTCCTAAAAAAGCGCGTTGACATATGTGACATCAAACAACGCCTCATTGTGGAATACAAACTGCATATATACATAAACAAACATGATAAACACACACTGTGGGATATATAGATTCGAGCGTAGTGAGGAGAAGTAAAAGAGCACCACCAATTCCTGAATGAATGGCCTGAAATGAATCAAAGGACAAAAGGCACAAATGTCGAAGTTGAAATTAAATTGATTTTGTAAATGAATTTGACTATGAATTCCGGTTCTCAGCTTAGCCGGATGCTATATCAAAGTTACCTAGTTCCGGTTCTCAGCTTAGCCGGTTGCTATCCTCTGATGCAGGTACGCTGGGTTGATCAGACCCAGTATCCCATGATTGTGGTAGCTTCGTTGAGTGCGGTCCCACAATCATGCCGCACTCCCCTGCCAAATCAATATTTAGACTGCATGTTATTAGCAGTGTACACACACACGGCCTCTCAATATGAGAGGCAAATCAGTAAGAAGCGCAGCAAAACTCTTTTTATCGACACCACTGCATCAAAGATTGTACGGGTTGGTCCTTCCAAAGACTACGAAGAAAACGATGGGTTAAACATATATTCGCATCAGTGAAAAATTCAGGAATTCGTTGATACATAAGGCCCAGAAAATCCTGCACCTGGTCCAACTGAATTTTGGCTGGAAAAACATGAGAACGAATGAGGCGCAGACGAGCACAAAGTCCACTCAGGATGGCACGAGAAGCAAACTGGGATCCCATACTGGCACCCCGACATTGTCGAAATACTTGGCTCCCGACCGGGAAATACGAATGATCCAACAAATATTGCACCAATCTAGGAATATCACGCAAAGTAATAGTCATATATTGTTTCGTCTTTTCTCTCCAAGATCCTTGAAAAACACGGGGAATCCGTTCCAAACGAACAACGTGTGATTGCATAACAGTATCTAATCCTTGTTCACACTGAGAAGCAAAGGTGAATATAGCGAACTGTATGGCGAACAAATTACGATCATATGAAACTTGATTGTAAAAGCCAGCGATATCTGTTTGACGCAAGGAAAGGGCAGTTGCTGCAAAATCCTCCATAGAAAATAATGCACTGATACCAGTAATGACATCTTGAACATGTGCAAATTCCAAAATAGATCCAAAAACCGCATTGAGGATGGCAATCAAAATAGTGAATAAAGCACTTCCCAATTTCCGAGACCAGGCGGTAGTAAAATGTACCCCTTACTCAATGTAGAGCGTTTGAAATCGATCCCCCAGGAATACTGAGAGCGTAACAAATCAGGAGGTTGTTGTTCAAGGTTGCGAAGAACTTGTCCCGCAGGTGGAGAGCAACGTTCGAAAATTGCTGCATCTAAGAAAGTCTTTTGTAATAGTTCATGCCATTGACAAGGACAATGTACTGTAAGAGAGTGAGGAAAATGATCTGATGGAAAAATGATCCAATGACGAAGCAAATTCAAATCACGTCTGACTGCTGGCAAAGTCCAAACAGAGGCAGAGTCATGATCCTGATGAAATCGTTCCCAATCTTGATTGCATAACAGTATCTAATTCTTGTTCACACTGAGAAGCAAAGGTGAATACAGCGAACTGTATGGCCAACAAATACGATCATGTTCAACTTGATTGTAGAAACCAGCGATATCTGTTTGATGCAAGGAAAAGGCAGTTTCTGCAAAATCCTCCAAAGAAATTAACGCACTGATACCAGTAATGACATCTTAAACATGTGCAAATTCCAAACTAGATCCAAAAACCGCATTGAGGATGCAACCCGAATGCATCAAGTGATCTACGGAACGACACTGAAACAGCCATCGGAGAAAACTCTTTAAATCTTGAGACTTCTTGGTTGTAAACAGATCAGGACGTCAAGAGTGCGTCAAGCCTAACAAATCTTAATTGTCCACATATCGATGATGCAACGAACGATCCCAAGTGAAGGGTGAAAAAGAGAGATGATAGTTCCATTCACGTTGTAAAGCCACGGCTGAACGAAGTACAGGTGCAAACTGAGATCCCATACTGGCTCCCCGACATTGTCGAAATACTTGGCTCTCGACCGTAAAATAGGAATTATCCAGCAAGTATTGAACAATAGCAGGAATGTGTCTCAATGTAACAGAAAAGTATTGTTTTGAGATAACGTTCCAACTTGTGAATGTGAGCCTGCAGGACAGTGTCTAAACCTTATTCGGTTTTCTGTGCATACGTGTACACGACAAACACAATGACATCAAAATTCCGGAAAGTTGTACTTGATATAAAAACCAGCAATGTCTGCTTCGTGCAAGCAATGCGCAGACTCCGCGAAGGACTCCATAGTAAACAATCGACGAATTCCTTCAATAACAGCTCGTACATCAGGAAATTCCAAAATGAACCGAAAGACAGTGTTCAAAATTTTCGATCAAAAGAGTAGAAATTGCACTGCCCAATTTCCTAGCCCATGCTGTTGAATAATGCACAATTGGTCGAGCTTTTGCAAAATCACGGGTAGATTTAGGCAAAATATATCCTTTGCTCAATGTCGAATTGCGAAAACCTAATCCCCAGGAATAAGTTTGTTAAAGAGCGGGGATGACTGGAGGTTCCACACGTGTTGAAGGCGAAGGTGTAGCCTTGTCCCGAGCCAAAGTTGCCGCAGCTGCCTTGGTAGAGTCGTCCTGAGTGGTTCCTGGGTAAGAGGCAGCACAGACATCTTTTTTATCATAGCATGAATTGTTATATCTAGCAAGAATCTACGAAATGAAAGTAGCTACTCCATGGATAGTCGAAAGGTGGGACCGAAAGGCCCACCGAGAGTCTGATCCATGCACGACATCATAGTAATAGGCTAACAATTGGTCTGCATAAACTCCACCTTGTGGGGTCCGAATATGTGCTTGACGTGCAAAAGCACGACCAACAATGCAAACAGGTCGAGCAGTGTTAAGGCCACCAAATTTCTTGGTCTGTTCCAAAATTCTCAGCACATGTTTCCTAGAAAAGGAGGAATCATCATTGAACAAAACTCCCGAGAATAGAAAGTATTGGGAGTCAGCCAGTCTGGGCTCCGCACATCGCATGATGATGGTCGAACTACCCCTTCTCGCACAGCTGAAGCCATTCCCAATACTGATGTATTGTGACCAAATTCAAAGTACTGAAAAATATCAAAATTGTCTGCACGCCACTGCGGGAGTGCCAAGTGCGCATAGATCGCAATAGGCTCTTGCTTGGAATTGAAAATAATTTCATATTTCTCAACCAATGACACATTGTTGCTGTGACGTCCCAAAGCAGTAATCAGAAAACGGAGAGATGTCAAAACTGAATCACACAACACAGGGTTACGCAGTTGTGCAGAAAATCGAGTCTTCAAGTCAGTCGAAATGTAATCATACCAAAATTGAGTATGATCCACTGCATCTTCATAAATAATGTAGCCACGAGATGAATTGAAATATTCAGCATTAGGTATCCATTGTTGACGTCTTGTATCTTCGATCAGCATTCCATCTTCAAAGGCGTTTGTCACGCGAAATGGATTATCAGCAATTGATTTGTGGATACGGAGCATCTGTTGATACAGAAAAAGAATGTCGATCGTCTTGAACAAGTCATTTGTACCCACTGACAATTCAGATGAAAAGTTTCAGATTGCTTGACATGATGGTAAAGACCATAGCGCGGAATCTGAACTGAGTTTGCAACACTCTGTGGTTCATGAAGAGGATCTGATTGGGGATCAAGACGACGACGTTTGGATGCCGGACCACTTGAAGCACGCATTGAAGGTCCCGGGCCAGTTGGTAGAACAGCAAATTGCCCCATAGGTCCCGGACTACTTCCAGGTAGGCCATGAAGAGGATCACACAAGGTCCCCGACGATCCCAATGTTAAATGGACAAAAGTGAAAGGCTGGGTAAGCAAATTGCCCACACCAGGTACTAAAGAAGACATCGAGGACATGAATGTATTGTATTGAAAAGCCAATGGTAACATCACTTGTTGCATAAAATGCACTTGTTGAGTCTGAATTTGTTGCAGCTCAATGATCTGACTTTGCATCGTTACCATTCGTTCCAATGAACGAGCATGTTCTTGTTGAATACGTAACATTGAAGACATAGAAGATTAAGTAATACGTGAATTGGCCAACTGCTGCGAAACACTGTTGGGAATCACTCCCGGAGGAATCGGCACATTCGTGGGAGGTCCCGATGATTTCGCAAAAGTTCGAACATCCATGGCTCGAAACTACGGCTCTAAAGTGATAAGTAAAATTAGATCATCTCATAAAAACCCAATCACTGAGGATGGGACCACATGTACTGGAAGTAGAGCGCATTCAGAATACTTCGTCATATGACTACTTCTCCCTTGTGGGTACTTCGCCCATTGGGCACACTTCGCCTTATGGCTTCCAAATTGTGTTGGACGAACTTCAATGTCGGCTCTGACATTTACTTCTTTGTTTGCATGCAATATGCAAAGGGGACTTCAGGATGTTGGCGACATCCCACTCTGCAGCCGGGAAAATGCCCGGTCATAACTTTCATATCCGTCGAAACGGACAGACGGTACTACCAAGTGAGGTAAAGTACCCAAAACACACTGTGGGATATATAGATTCGAGCGTAGTGAGGAGAAGTAAAAGAGCACCACCAATTCCTGAATGAATGGCCTGAAATGAATCAAAGGACAAAAGGCACAAATGTCGAAGTTGAAATTAAGTTGATTTTGTAAATGAATTTGACTATGAATTCCGGTTCTCAGTATAGCCGGATGCTATATCAAAGTTACCTAGTTCCGGTTCTCAGCTTAGCCGGTTGCTATCCTCTGATGCAGGTACGCTGGGTTGATCAGACCCAGTATCCCATGATTGTGGTAGCTTCGTTGAGTGCGGTCCCACAATCATGCCGCACTCCCCTGCCAAATCAATATTTAGACTGCATGTTATTAGCAGTGTACACACACACAGATAGATGATAGATAGATGGATGGATGGACGGACGGACGGATGGATGGATAGCTAGATAGCTAGATAGCTAGATAGCTAGATAGCTAGATAGCTAGATAGCTAGATAGGTAGATAGCTAGATAGCTAGATAGCTAGATAGGTAGATAGGTAGATAGGTAGATAGATCTATAGCTCTACTTGCATGATTGAATACCATATGCATAATGCAAACACATGTATACACATAACATCATAACTAAATATCGACATGGCCTTCCAAACAGGCTCTGCTTTTCACGCCTGGCCCGGACCAATCCTGGAGCGGTGGAGGGCGCCAACTGGTCCCATCTGGTTATGTAAAATAGCTATGGAAATGGCCCATTGATAGATGATGTGTGGTGATTTACACACCAATTTAAACATGTTAATTGCTGATTCTCCATCTGTAGCTATGTTGAAGTAACTACCAGAGGGTTCAAATAAATTACCAGAGGGTAAGCCACCAAGAATCATCTAACTATAGAACATTATCTGGAGATATCTAGTGTAAATTGCTCAACTCATGATCATTTTCTGCTTTTAAAGAAGATCCAGGTCCATTTTGCTGCAGTCCGATTCGAACAGTGATGCCATGGAGCGGGCTATCCAAATTGTACAAACTCTTTTACACTGGGCGTTCTCATCTTATCACGCTTACCCTCTGGTAATCTAACATTGCTACTGAACATGGCCAATTTGTAGTTGATTTACCTATTAAAGACTGTTATTTTCCATAGCTATGTTAGTTTACCAGAGGGTAACCCAGTTTCAAAACAAAAATGAAGCTTCTGCAGCAGCATGGTGTCTACACTGTGTCTACTCGCCAGCCACAAGTTCTGTTCAACGTCTTTTTCCCTGTGACCAGATCATTCAGCAGCTGGTTGTTGGCCACCCCGCTTCCCCGCTTCCGGGCCCTCGCGTGGTGTTCCTAGGCCAGGTGGGGAAAAATTGACCACCAACATCCACCAACGATTGGAAAAGGAAACCCCAAATGTGGAAAGTGTATGATGGTGCATAGTATATAAACCCATACTTTGCCCCGGAGACATCCGTCTAAACAAACCAAGTGGTGTGCTGAGTCACCAAAATTGATGTTTGATCCGTGGAGCGTATTATAAGGTTGAATGGTCTCAAGTCTCAACTGCATCAGTATGGGACTGCTTTTTTTGCCCCGGCTGCTCAGGTGACTGTTTCACCCAAAGGATTGGCATAGCTTCTCTCTGCGCAGTGGTATCAGGAAGCCAATCACCAGGATGATGCAAACACCTCCCAGCAAGGCCAGGTACACCCCGATGGCCGAAGCCACCCTTCTCTGATCACGCGGTTCCAGTTCCAAACAGCGGCCACTGAGGATATCTTCACAATCTTTCAGGAGAGTACCTGGAATTTGGAATATATATATATATATAACATCTGGTTATGACTAACATAGCCATGGAAAATCACCATTTTTAAGTTCGGTAAACCATCTATTTCTATGGGCCATCTATACCATGGCGAACTGTTAGTCATAACCAGAGGGTAGGCTATATAAGTTATATAAGCAATGCCCGCATTTGTGAAATAAAATATGCAAAAAGAAACCCGTGCTGAAACGATGCAACCAAAAAATGTCAGCATACCACTGGAAAGCATGTCACAGCTTAAAGTATGCTAAAAGTATTGCAATCCTAAAATAGATCGAATCATTAAATACCTGGAAACGTGAGGAAATATCATCTGCAACTTGCAGGAACAACTTGTGAATCCTTTTGGGGGGCCCTATGCCAACCAAGAAACAACATGTACCGGCAAAAAAACAGGACATATCCTCAAGGTACCTTGGATGCTGTATTGCAAGTGGAAGGTGAGATCAAAAACCACCAATGCCAGGGCAGAGCACGACGCCATCATGGAAAGATTGTTCCAAGCATCTTGCCGACCAACGCTCACCTGGCCAGCATGATGCACATAGAAACTACTGAAACCACAGTCATCTTCAATATAGGAACATCGAGTCATTGTTTCAACCAACCGAAATCGGGTTTCCGTGATCGTTTTCAGGAGTGTGCAAAAATCCCCGGTGCTGAACCCATTGTCTGAAGTTGTGAAAACTACCATCTGCTTATGACTAACATAATGCCATGGAAAATCACCATTTTTAATAGGTAAACCATCTATGGGCCATCTATACCATGGCGAACTGGTAGTCATAACCAGATGCTACCATTCAGACTTCTTAAATCCTTTAGGATGCCGTTTTTGGCAAATATTTTTTTTTTATGATTTATTTATGATTTGAATACGATTTCCATTTATGTTTTTTTTATGGGTTCAAATTGTGGTTATGATTTTTTTATGGTTTGGATATGTTTTTTTTTATGGTTTTGGATACGATTTTTTTATGATTTTTTTAATGGTTTTTTAGTCCTCAGAATCTGGTTTTCAGCTAAAAACTCGAGAAATTTTCGATTTTTTTATGATTTTGCTAGAGTTTCTCTAGGAAAATCGTAAAAAAATCGTAAATGCTTCCAAGGTCCCCAGAATCTAGTTTTCAGCTAAAAACTCGAGAAATTTTCGATTTTTTTACGATTATTTTACGATTTTCGTAGAATTTCCTCTTCCCTGAAGTCTTTTCCACCAGAAAATTTGATTTTTACAGAGAAACTCTAGCAAAATCATAAAAAAATCGAAAATTTCTCGAGTTTTTAGCTGAAAACCAGATTCTGGGGACCTTGGATGCATTTACGATTTTTTTACGATTTTGCTTCCAAAATCAAATTTTCTGCTGAAAAGGCTTTGGGGAAAAGGAAACTCTAGCAAAATCATAAAAAAAATCGAAAATTTCTCGAGTTTTTAGCTGAAAACCAGATTCTGGGGACCTTGGATGCATTTACGATTTTTTTACGATTTTTTTACGATTTTTTTACGATTTTCCTAGAGAAACTCTAGCAAAATCATAAAAAAATCGAAAATTTCTCGAGTTTTTAGCTGAAAACCAGATTCTGGGGACCTTGGATGCATTTACGATTTTTTTACGATTTTTTTACGATTTTGTTTCCAAAATCAAATTTTCTGCTGAAAAGGCTTTGGGGAAAAGGAAACTCTAGCAAAATCATAAAAAAATCGAAAACTTCTCGAGTTTTTAGCTGAAAACCAGATTCTGAGGACTAAAAAAAACATAAAAAAATCATTAAAAAATCATATCCAAACCATAAAAAAATCATAACCACAATTTGAACCCATAAAAAAATCATAAATGGAAATCGTATTCAAATCATAAATAAATCATAAAAAAAATATATTTTGGAACCCCTCCATCCTAGAGACTTAGGAACTCTGAATGCTACCAGCCGCCGACTGCCGACCAGTCACGGAACAAAAGAACGCACCAGGGAGGAAGTCCACGGGCACCATCTGTCGCACTTTGGCGACGTCTTTGGAAATCTCGGTCTCATCGTCAGGAGTGTCGAACTCCACATAAACAGTTGAAGGACCCTCATCTGTAGGCAAACCTCTCGAATGCACCTGATCCCACCTGGCAATATCACTGAAAATTGCTTCACACCATGGGAGCATGTGTTGTTGCGTGGCAGTTGTTTTTTTGTGATGGGGCATGAGTATTGACACAACAAAAAGTCTTAATATACCGAAGTTTCCCGCAGTTTCAGGATCCAATTTGTCCTTGACTTATCTTTTTGCGAAAAAAATGTAGCAAATCCAACCTCGCAAAATCCACCCGTTTCAAGATGAGTTAAATGGCATAGGTCACCTCACCACAAGGGGAAACCCAACAACTTTCCATCGTCCAAGGCGCTGCTCGTCAGGAGTTTCCACAATTCGCACCCCGCTGACCACCGACTGACTGCGGCGCCACTTGCTCCGCAGCCCTCCAGCTTCAGAAAAGTTGGCCACCTGGGATGGGCAAAAAAAAAGCCGAATGGAAGTGGCCGATATAGGGATTCGACCAAGAAATGACCAGCAATTCATAAGCAATTCCCATTTCCCTAGAGTTTAAATCACTGATCATTTTGACATCACCTTCAAATAGCCGTTTAAATCACTGATCTTGGTTCGCTAATCATCCAAGAAAATTTCCGCATTTCCGGCATCTGGGTGAACTTCCGAGGGCCTGCCATGCTTCGCCATAGGGACGGAGCCAAACATGGCTGCGAACCTTCTGACCAGCATAGAGGTTGTGGATCAAATTCTCCTGATTTTCAAAGGACCCAATGGTTTCAGAGGGATTTCACAACGATCATCCAATGATTCTCCAAAACGATAACTATCATTTTTGGTCGGGAAACTCTTAGTATACCTCCGAAAGGCTCCCCATTTAGTACAGTTATGGCCATTTACCAGTTATAACTGGTTATAAATGGGATTATACATTCTATAAATGGGGTTATAAGTACTTATAACTGATAACTGGCCATAACTGTAGGGAATATGGATACACATAGCTGCGAAACGCCCTCTTAACCACTGGAATTCGTGGTGATCCAATCAGCGACAACAAAAAAGATCATCGATCCACCGATCCAATCCAGTTGGACAAAATGGCGATTTTCCAGGCTAACTATTCCATGGACAAAACAACAGTTATATAATATCTGGTTGGTGGTATACCATTAATGTTTAACGAGAATCACCACAATATGGGCATGGGTCAAGATTGTGGATTATTATACTTATACTGGTTGGTGGTTTCAACCTACCCCTCTGAAAAATGATGGTGTTTTAGTAACAGTTGGGATGGGATGAACTTCCCAATATGATGGGAAAGTCATAAAATTCCATGGTTCCAAACCACCAACCAGACAGAGATGTTCAAAGCATGGAAAAGCCATGGGACACCCCCGAAGGACTTGATGGAAAAGAAATGGTGGGTGTTCCCTATCTATGTTGGCTTATACTTACTATAGAGGATCATATTAATGATATCAGTGGTGCGAAGGTGTCCCACTTGAACGGAGACGGAAAACGGGAAGAAAAAACCATGTTAAAAGAAATTACTTTACTTCGTGTGATCCCCACCATGTCATTTATACATTTTGTTACTGGCAAATCTTCTGACATTCTATCTGGCATATCTTCTGGCATTCTATCTGGCATATCTTCTGGCATTCTATCTGGCATATCTTCTGGCATATCTTCTGACATCCTATCTGGCATTGTATCTGGCAAACATTCTGGCCCTTTATCTGGCACACCTTCTGGCACTTGCCCCGGGCACTCTACCACACACGCGCGAGTTTGCAAATAATATATAACATATTTGTCTGACATTCTTTCTAACTTTCTTCTGCACATTCTTTGTCCCATATCTTCCTACATGAGGTCCGGCAGGGAACACTGGGCGCGGATGGTCGTGGTTGAGGTCCGGCAGGGAACACTGGGCGCGGATGGTCGTGGTTGAGGTCCGGCAGGGAACACTGGGCGCGGATGGTCGTGGTTGAGGTCCGGCAGGGAACACTGGGCGTGGGTGGTCGTGGTTGAGGTCCGGCAGGGAACGCTGGGCGTGGGTGGTCGTGGTTGAGGTCCGGCAGAGAACACTGTGGATCGCGGGTCGCAGTTGAGCAAGGACGACGAGGACGACGAGGAGGACGAGGAGGAGGAGGACGAGGCAGGAGGAGGCGGAGGAGGAGGAGGAGGAGGAGCAGGAGGAGGAGGAGGAGCAGGAGGAGCAGGAGGAGCAGGAGGAGGAGGAGGCAACTGACATAAAATCTAACAACCCTCACCTGGCAGGTGGGGAACAACGCACAATGTCAATGTGCCACTCTATTTCCAGTGGATTTCAGTGACACTGACATTAGCCTTCCGGTCTTCACAGAAAACCCATAGACGATACATAACCTAATTTATTTCCTTTGGTATATAGTTGATGTCCGCTTACATAATGTATATCTGTACCCTCTGGTAAACTAACATAGCTATGGAAAATCACCATGTTTAATGGGAAAACTCACTATTTCTATGGCCATTTTCAATAGCTATGTTAGTCATTACCAGAGGGTATAGCTGTCTTTTCCGGACCCATGGGTGCCATGGGTGCCATGGGTGCCAGATTGCTCCTGGTACTCCCGGAAATCCACCAAAGTGATGGCCATCTGATCATCATCCTGCAGCTTTTCACTGACGGTGACCCCGGCGGCCAAGATCACTAGCTGTGCCAAGATGAGGATCACAAGGCAGAAGGCTCCTGCTTTTGGCTTGAGAAATTCTCATCATGGCTTTGCGTTTTCTGGGAATCATCTATTTTTATCTATTTTTCTAGGGGGGTGGAATAAATGGAGAGGATCACATGTGTATAAACACAAAGGCACGCCAAACAGTGACTTCACAAATCCTCATGGCTGTGGATTCTGCTGCTCAAACAGCGAAAATAAATGAAAATAACATTCCACCGTTTTGGAATGATTGAACCATAGTGAACGGTGGTTCGAGTTGTTCACGTTGATTAAACCAAAGCGTGTGTTTGAATTCTTGTCTGCGTGCTGGTTGAACAAGTATTTTGAATACAGTATCAGTATCAGTCAAAGAAATACCATTTAATTCAAAAATTTAGTGACATACAGTTTTGCCTTCTAGAATATCTAGAACCATTTTTTGAGACTAAGTTTTCAGCTTCCCCCTTAAATCTTGGAGTTTTGCTGGTGGACAATGGGTGGTCAAAATATGGCGCCCAAAAATGTAGCCGCAAAATTACAATGGATCCACATTCTGTGGTTTTTCCAAGTTTTTCCTGGGTCTTAGGTGTTCAACATTCCCCAAATCAAAGCTGGTATAGCTGGATGTTCGTCCCCAAAAGACATAGTTCACCATTTTATATCCCCATTCTACAACCGTGTTTCTCGCTTAAACCATCATGTTTATTGTTTAAACTGTTTAAAACTTCATTTTGGTTGGTGAAATAATCATGGTTGCCGCTTAAACTATTTTTAAATCACCATGATTTCCATAGCTTTTAGGATAGGTTTGGACTCCCGCACCATCAGCCACCATCCCGCATCCCCCAGGGTCCCAGGAGACAGGGGATGCCGCTGCCATTGTGACGCCCACAGGAGCCTAAGAGAAGGAGCTGCGCTTCCACGTCGAACAAACCACCGCTCGCTCCAAGGGAGATCTCGTTGATGCACCTCGGTGCGGGCAGATTTTGAGATGTTTGTTTTGTGTACAATGTGAGGCCCCCAAGATAGCTAAGTTGGTTTATAACTCCAATAACTATGGTTTATGGTACTTATAACTATAGTTACTGGAGCTTATAAACCAACTTATAACTGGGGGGCCTCACATTGTAGATGCCATTTATGTGCCAACAAATGCCGATTTGGATGGAGAATTATCAACATGTCTTGCCAAACTCGCCCGATTTTAAAGGGATGACAGCTATACCAGAGTTTTTGATATTCACCAGGGCAACTATATGGTGAGTGTTGCTGGATCTGATCCCTCAGCTGGATATCTCCAAGTGATCCTAACCACTAATCTACCAATCCTATCCAATCCTTATGTAATTCTGGCAAACTTGGGCGGACAAAACAGCAAAACTCGTGCATGTTTGATCATGTTTCAACCCCCGCAAATGGCTGGACTCTCTTTTAAAGGGATATATAATCACAAACACTGGGGTAATTCCTCTTTCGGAAAAGCTTAACATCACAATTTTCCAGTGAACATCTTGCGGGTTTCAACCCCAAATGCAAGAAACAATGCCAATGAAATGCAATCCGCGGGATACACGCCCAGAGTGAACATAAGTTGCGTATCATTATTTATCATTAATTAATCAATTCGTCAAGAGGTTCTTTCAAAACAACCAGCCCACACCACCAATCAGCCAATGGGTAACCTACAAATCTGGCCAAAAAGATGGTTCCTTCACCTGATTACTTGAACGCTGCGGTTGACAAAAAAATCTACGCAGAAGGTTGGGACTTAAAATTTCACCTTTCGCGCGAAACCTTTGCTGGTTAAACCCAGAAAATTACATGGGTTTAAGGGGATGAACATTGATTACATGGCAATCTTTGAATCAACCAACCGGCACAGATCCATCAGATCATCAGTTTTTGCGATTAAAATGAAGATTGCCATTTTTGGGTGTGTTGCCAGTAAAACCCAAATCAATTGAACCTCAGAATCCTCAGTTCGAGCCACCCCCAACAGGAGCTGGAAGCATTGAAGAGCAAGACAGCACCCAAAGCTGCCAAAGACAAAAGGTATCCCCTCTGTCGCACCTGTGGAGTAGAGCGTTCCTTGACATTTCCAAAGTGCGCGTGAAGAACTTCTGAGTCCTCAAGGGTAATGATGAAAAAAATGTGAGACTTCAGCAGCCTCCCGTGGTTCCGTAGTTGTTTCTTCGTTTGGGGTTCGGAAACAGCATAAATATGTATCAGCACTGTTTTTGGGGTCAGCCATTCTTTGTCCACCAAAAAAATGAGGTTTGAACAGTTTGACCCAACTGTGACTTGTGAAGTAAGAGGAACCCCATAATATTTCTTTGGCTTTCGGTAGCATATCCAGCCGCAAACAACCGCAAGAGAAAAGAGAGAAATGGAGGCTTGTTTTTTGTTCTCTCTCTCTCTCTCTCTCGCTCTCTCCATTGGCAGTAGGTCGCATATACTAGTAACTATATTGATCATATTCTTGATCATCTTGTCTTTTGGCGTTGTCACTTTTTGCGACATTCATTCATCATTAATCACCATGTTCGACCAGGGCCCGTACCAACATCTAACAATCCTATCCAAAACAAATGGTCATCAATTGGGATCCTCAGATCATCACATGTTTACGATGTAACTTCAACAAAAAAAACATCCGCCAGTCATAGCCAGTCTCCATCCCTCAATTAAATCCCCAAACATTTATAAGAACCACCAAAAACATCCAAAAACCACAAACAAAAGTAACCTGTCCAGCATAGGAAATTTAAAAAAACTGTGTGAAATCAACCCAACTTCCCACCATTTCCCATAATTTTCCAGTGGTTTCCCGTCTCCTCTCCCCACATCTTGGGTTGCTCCACCGGCTAAGGTCGCCGCGGGCCGCGCAGCTCCGTGAGTTCCTTGCCGAAGACGCGGCTCAGCACCGGGTGCCGCGTCTTGGGCACCACGACGCCGCCGTCACGGCCGCCCTGGGGCCCCAGGAGCTGCCGCAGCTCCCCGGCCGTGACCTCCAGGCAGATGCGCCACTGGGCCCGGGAACTGAGGAAAATGGACAAGAAGAGGAGGAGGATGGTCAGCAGCTGACCTGAAACCTGGCAGATCTGGCAGATCTGGCGGCAAACTTGAAGGGATGCTGGTCCGACAAAAACTTACAAATGGATTCGATACGGTGGCGTTCTTGTGATTTTGTTTTGTTTTTCTGTCAAGACTGGGAATTCGTTGGAGTCTTGGATCTGGTGATGGTTCAAAATGTTGGTTTGAGACTGACCATTTTGGTTTCTGGTTTTCGCCAACTGATTCCGGTGGGCGAAGCCCCAATTTCAACCCCGTCCTCCACGGCTCCATATTTTACATCAGCCTGGATCTCTAAGGTTTGCTCCTCAATCGATGGGCATTGAAAGGATACAGAACCTTGATACAGCTGAACGCTGGAAGCTGCATGAAGCAGCAGTTCCAATAAAGCGATCAGTAACCAAAACATCGACCTCAGCCAGAGGCCACTGATCGGCTGCGGCAATGGTGACAATCAATACCTAGGACCTAGTCGGACCATCTGTCTGGAAAAAACCGCGGAAATCATTGGAACCCCCAGCAAAAAATATATTAAAAAAACAAGTTGAGGACAAACTAATTGCATTATGTACTAAATTCGACTACCGTGAGATGTCTCATGACATAATATGACATAATAATACATGCGCATACATGCGCCCTCTCCAAAACCATATAAATCCCACGAGTCCATAAGAATCAGAACAAACACCCCAAAGACTTCCAAAGACCGTCTTCACTCAACATACATCAGACATATCACACTTCGAAACCGCCAGAAAATCAATCCGAATCAACCCAGCCGCAGTTTGTGAATGGCCGCCATGTGCAGAGGCAACATCTTGGACTGTTTCTGTAGCAACTTCTCGAGCCAATCGAACAGGTTGCCTCGTTGCTCCCCGGTCCAGGCTTGAATGCGACGCCACAACCAGCCGCCACTCCGTTGGTTCGTCAACTCCTGACGTTTTACGGAGCAAGAACACCAAATGAAAACCAGAACGGTAAAGCCTGGGAGTTCTAGCAGAATGAACATGAGTGCTTGATCTTGTTTGATCTTGTTTGATCTTGTTTGATCTTGATCTTACGATATGGGTTTTGAGACCAAACACCTTATATGTAGAATGTAGAACTCTAACCAACCAAATAATATCGGAAAATTGCACTGTAATCGACCACAAGCCAAGAAAAAACAGTTGGATCAGTTTGACAAGTACGGGTATTGTAGAATTGCCCAAACCAATTCAAGCCGAGAGATGAGAAAATCATGAATAATTACATGCAAAAGGTATCAAATATTGACTCATGATCTGGTTGGATTGGATTCCCTTGTAAAGCATACATGCCCCACGTTTCCTTGAACTGGCTGAGAAGCGTGTTGTTTGAAACTGCCTCTTGTTGGACCACGTGTCGCCTTGCTTAACTCCCCATAGATCCATAGTTTGTTGGTGAAGTCCTTTCTTGTTTGGATGAACTAACAAGAATTGCTTGTTGTATATAGTTTCTTATTGGCCGCTTCAAACCCCATCTAAGTTGGTCCACAAGTGTTAGATCAGTGAACATCGGGTGAAACACTAGATTCAATAGATAAATCCATCCTAATCCATCCCACTTTTGGATACTTCTGGCGATTCAATAGATAAATCCATGATAAATCCATGATAAATCCATGATAATTCCGTGAATCAACCCAACTTTTGGGCCCAATCCCCACAGAAAACACCCAAAAGCCCTCCATTTTTTTGTGGAAGTCCTCCAGCTCGGCCAGGTCTCCGGTAAAGTCCACTCGCCAGGTGACACGGAGAAACATGCCGCAGTTGCAATGGGAAGGGAGCACCGTCAGGGACCTGGAGAAACCAAAGGCGGGATGCGAATGTCCCTTAAAAAGATCCAAAAAGTGCCACAAATCTTTGTGCAGTTATATGTATAGTTATATCATATATATATATATATACATATACATATATGTATATATATATATATTATAGTGATATCATCAGAGATGGCAACAACAGTTGTCCAATTTTAGCTGACGACTCCTGACGACTCTGACGACCTCGAACGCTGACGACCCCTGACGACTCCTGACGACTCCTGACGACTCCTGACGACTCCTGACGACCCCTGACGACCCCTGACGACCCCTGACGACCCCTGACGACTCCTGACGACTCCTGACGACCCCTGACGACCCCTGACGACCCCTGACGACCCCTGACGACCCCTGACGACTCCTGACGACCCCTGACGACCCCTGACGACTCCTGACGACTCCTGACGACTCCTGACGACCCCTGACGCCCCCTGACGACCCCTGACGACCCCTGACGACCCCTGACCGACTGCCACAGGAGATCTTTGTCCGTTTTGACGCCCCTGTCTCTGACCTTTGTTCGTGTGTTGAACGTATTGGTTTGTAGGGTGGATGGGCGGGAAATTTCAACAATTTACCCCACATATTCTGTTGAGCGTATTGCTTTGTGAGGTCGAAGGGGTTAAATCATGTTAAATCTATAACAATGACTCATATGCTAAACCTATTGCTTTGTAGGGTCGAGGGAGATAAGTTTCAAAAATGGCTCAAGATGCCAATGTTCTTCACATGTTCAACATATTCGCTTGCTGTAGGAGAAGGAATTAACGAATATAAGAATGATTACATTTCATTTTGTTCATATATTCAACGTAATAATTTCCAGGGGAAGGAAAAGACACCTTAAACATGGTTCATGATGCCAAATTGTTTTATATGTTGAACGTAGTGTTTTGGTAGGGGACAGCGGGGAAAAAGCATAACAATGACTCAAGATTCCAAATTGGTTGATATGTTGAGCGTAGCGTTTTAAAAGGGATCGGGGGAGATGGAGGGAATACATTCAAACTTCAAAACAACGACTCAACATGTCAACTTTGTTCATATATTACAGGTACTGCTTTGTATTTTGTGGAGTCGACGAGAGGTTATAAATTGCAAAAATAACCCCACATGTCAATTTTCTGCACTTGTTCAACCGTTTGCTTTGTAAAGTCGAGAAAACCTCAATTTTAAGAAAAACTCAACGTGTCAACTTTCACCGTAAACAAAACTCGACGTGTCAACTTTCACCGTTTTTTTAAACGTATTGCTTTGTAGGGTCGAGGGACTGTAAATTTCAAAAATGACTCAAGATGCCTTTCTTTCCATGTGTTCAACGTATTGTCTTGATGCAGGGAAAGGCAAGGAACATTTTGACATAAGTAAAGATGCCATGCTGGTTCATACACTAAACATAGCGTTTCGTAGGGGACAGGGCAGGTAAATCCAAAAGAATGCATCAACATGTCAACTTGATCCATATGTTGAATGTATTGCTGTGTATGGTCCAGTGGGCGTAGATTCCAAACATGACTCGAAGTTCCAATTTTGTTCGTTCAACGTCTTGCTTTGTTGTAGGGGAAGGTAAAGACATTTCAAACATGACTCAGGATGCCAAGTCGGTTCATATGTCGAACAAAGTGTTTTGTAGGGGGCCGGAAGATAAATCTATAGCAATGACTCAACATGTCAACTTTCTTCATATGTTGAATCAACCGTATGGTTTTGAAGGTTCGAGGGGGGGGGTAAATTTTCAAAATGACACCACGTGGTAACTTTCCGCATACAATGAACGTATTGTTTTGTAGGGTCGAGGAGGGTAAATTCGCAACAACGATTCCACGTGTCAACTTTCTTCCAACGTTGAACATATTGCTTTGTAGGACCGAAAAAGGGAATAAATTGAAAAATTGGTAACTTGAGAAATGACTCAAGCTGAGAATTGCCCCCATGTGTTCAAGATATTGTTTTTGTGGGGGAGGGCGGATGACAAAAGATGACTTAACGTTTCAACTTTGTTCCTATCTTCAAGGTTCTGACTTGCATGGAAAAGGACATGTTAAACACGTCTCAAGATGCCAAACAGGTTTGTTTGTTGAACGACTTTGAATGTATATTTTTGTAGGGCACAGGGGAGTTGATCTTTAACAATGACTCAACATGCCAAGTTTGTTCATTTGTTGAAGGGGGTGCTAGCTAGGTAGGGTCGAGGAGATGTAGATTTTAAAAATGACTCCGCATGGCAAGTTTCTTCATACCTTAAACCATTTGTCCGGCAGGGTCGAAGGGACGGAAATCCCAAGCATCACTCGACATGCGAAATCTCTCCATATGTTCAACGTGTTGTTTTGTAGGGTCGATGGGTTGTAAATTTCAAAAATGACTCAAGATTCCTTTTTTTCATGTGTTCAATGTATGGTTGTGTTGTAGGGGAAGGCAATGAACATTTTAACATAAGTCAAGATGCCATGCTGATTCATACGTTAAGCAAAATGTTTTGTAGGGGACAGGGCAGGTAAATCCAATAGAATGAATCAACATGTCAACTTGGTCCATATGTTGAATGTATTGATTTGTAGGGTCAAGGTGTTGGTAAAATTCCAAAATGTTCGACTATAATCTTTGTAGCGTTGAGAAGGGTAAATTTCAAAACTGACGCGACATGTAAGCTTTCTCGGTATGCAAAAGGTTTTATTTTGTAGGGTCAGTCGAGGGGTTGTAAATTGCAAAATGACTCAAGATGCAATTTTTCTTCATGTGTTCAATGTATGAATTGGAGAGGGAGGGGGTGATTTTTTTCAAGACAAATCAACATTTCAACTTTGTTCATACGTATATTCAACGTATTGATTTTTGAGGAATAAAGAATACTTTTTGAACATGACTCAGGATGCCACGTTGGTTCATATGTTGAACGTAGTGCTTTCAACAGGACGGTGACGAAATCTACAAAATGACTCAATATGCCAATTTTCTTTACATGTTTAACGTACTGCTGTGTAGGGTCGGGGGGTCGTAACTTTCAAAAATGACTCAAGATGAATTGTCTTAATTTGTTCAACGTATTGTTTTGTTGAAGGGGAAGGAAATGACATTTGAATCATGACTCGAGATGCCAAGTTAGCTCTAATGTTGAACGGACGTAGTGTTTTGTAGGGGGCGGGCGGGCAAGTTTGTAGCAATGACCCGACTCAACATGTCAACTTCATGGTAAGGTCAGGGGGGGAATAAATTTCAAAACTGGCTCAAGATCTCAATTTGTTTCATGTGTTCAACATTCATATTGTTTTGTGGCGGGGGGAGGCATAAAAAAAATGAACTGACTTAACCCTTCCCCTGTGTTCATAGTCAACGTGTTGCTTTGCACGGGAGGAAACGATATTTTAAACGTAACTCGAGATGCTACGTTGGTTCATATGTTCAACTATGTTAAACGTAGTGTTTTGATGAGGTAAACCGATGAGAAGAACTCAGCCAGTTAACTTTTTCCATAAGTTCAACATATTATCTGGTAGGGTCGATGGGGTAAATCACAAAATTGACTCAAAATGGCAATTTTCTTCGTCTGTTCAGCGTATTGTTTTGTAGGGTAGGGTAGGGGGGGGCTGAAATACGTGAAAATAAATCAACATTTTTGACTTTGTTCATAAATTCAACGTGTTGTTTTGTGAGGAAGGAAAAGACATGTTCAACATGATTCAAGATGCCCAGTTCGTTTACATGTTGAATGCCTTGTAGGGGATGTGTTTGAAAATCTATATAACACTAACTACATGTGTCAACTGTTCATATAATATATGTTGAACCTATTGCTTTGCAGGGCTGATGGAATGTAAGTTTATGCCCCTCTCTTACGCGCTATATGTTCTGACATAGTTTACGACATACCATCTGGAAGTATTTATGGCAAATATATTCTGATATTCTATCTGACATTCTTTCTGGCATTGTATCTGACGTATATTCTGCCATTCTGTTTGTTCGGGTCCAGGCGCGCTCCACAGCCTCCTGAGCGCGCGATATGGCTGTCGGGTTGAGGCATCCTGGTCTCGCGGCATGGCACTCAGGTCGAGCCACACTCCACTGCATCCACAGCCGGCGAGGAAGAAGAGAAGGAGAGGAAGGAGAGGAAGGAGAGGAAGAAGAGGAAGGAGTCGCACCTTTGTTAAAATCTAGAAACCTTCACCTGGCAGGAGGGGAAAAAGAACTCAAGATAGAAGTTTTGTTCTGCTTTCAAATGTATTGTTTTGTGGAGGTTTTGGGGGTGCAAAAAATTGACATAATGTGTTCAATATTCAAGGCAATAATATGCAGGGGAGGAAAAAACATTTTAAACATCACTCAAGGTGCCAAGTTGGTTTAATATGTTGAATGTATTGCCTTGTAGGGTCGAGGGGCGGGTAAATTTTAGAAATGACTTGAGCTGACAATTTTGTTGGTTCAACATATTGTTTTGTAACGTCGGAAGCGCAAAAAATCTTGATGACGCGGACTCGACATGTCAATTTACTTCATTTGTTCAACATATTGAAAGGTCGAGGGGGGTATATTTCAAAAATGACCCAAGATGCCAAGTTGGGTCGTATGTTGAATGTAGCGGTTTGTACAGGGCAGGAGGAAGGGGATGAAATCATAATAATGACCCAAAATGCCAACTATGATCACATGTTCAAGGTATTGCAGCGTGGGGTCACGGAATTGTAAATGTCGAAAGCCCATTCTTTGGTGTGTTCGAGGTATTGTTTTTCAGGGGAAGGACAGGAGTTCAAAATATAAAGATGACGTGACATTTCTACTTTGTTCATATATTCAACGTATTGGTTTGCAAAGGTAGGGAAAGGACCTGTTAAACATGGCTCGAGATGGCTTGTTCATGCTGAACGATGTTGAACGTTGTGTTTTGTAGGGGCCAGAATGTATATATTGCTTGGTTGGGTCCAATTTCAATCATGACTCACGATGCCAACTTTCTTCATCTGTTCAACGTATTGTCTTGTTGTAGGGGAAGGAAAAGACATTTCAAACATGACTCAAGATGCCAAGTTGGTTCATATGTTGAACATAGTGTTTGTGTGGAGAAGGGACTAAATATTATGATAATGACTAGCAGAATGACTCGACAGGTCAACTTGCTTCATATGTTGAACGTGTTGTGTTGTAGGGCCGAGGGAGGTAGATAAAACATGGCTCAAGATAAATCAAAATGACAAGTTTGGGGTTGGTCGGACATGGTCGGAGTAAAACGACACAAATGAAATCTGGAGTTAGTTTCTAAACTCCTGTTCGGAACCCTGCGGCATCTTCGGGCGTCTTCGGTGTCTTCTTCGTCTTCGGGCGTCTTCGGCGTCTTCAGGCGTCTTCGGCGTCTTCGGGCGTCTTCGGCGTCTTCGGGCGTCTTCGGCGTCTTCCGGCGTCTTCGGCGTCTTCGGGCGTCTTCGGGCCTCTTCGGCGTCTTCGGGCGTCTTCGGCGTCTTCGGGCCTCTTCGGGCGTCTTCGGGCCTCTTCGGCGTCTTCGGGCGTCTTCGGCGTCTTCGGGCATCTTCGGGCGTCTTCGGCGTCTTCGGGCGTCTGCGGCGTCTTCGGGCGTCTTCGTCTTCGGCGTCTTCGGCGTCTTCGGCGTCTTCGGCGTCTTCGTCTTCGGCGTCTCGTCTCGGGCGTCTGCGGCGTCTGCGGCGTCTTCGGCGTCTTCGGCCCGAAGTTGGGGCACCTCTACTGCCATCAATGATATCATAGTTATATCTGAGTTATATCATAGTTGTATCCAGCGAAAGCCTCCTGTAATCAAGTTATAAAGCCACTTAGCTATCTTGGGGGCACCGCATTGTATGGATTTATCATGATCTATAGTTGGATTGAGTCTCTAAGGATAGGGAAACCAAATCATTTCGGGGGGCTCAACAATACCGTCAAATTAATATGATGGAATGTCAAAGAATTCTTATTGGGGTTTGTTTCCAAAAAAGGTGCGAAACTAGTCTGAGTCGCTTACCCCAAATGCTGAAGGTCCCATGCTGGGGAATTGAACTGCAATCAACTCAAGCAAATTCCAAGTGACTGAAGCAACATTCCAAAGAGTAGTGACCATGCATAGATGCGAACTTCAGTGTCTCCGCAGTTCATGTAGCAGAAGCCCAGCCTTGGTGCAGCCACGTAACGACTCGGTTGCGTGATGCCGGCTGGAACATCCTCCAGCTATTCGGCTGCACCAATGTGTCGTCTGGTCAAAAACGACCGACTAAGCACGGCAGCACGGCCTATTGAAACCATCCAGCCTTCAGGGTGGTTTCCTTACATAAATTCATATAAATTCATCTGGCCCTTGTATGGAGTACAGGGTCTGTTGCGTTCCCTTGATCGTTCATATTGGGTCTTGTGCCTGATGGCCAAGACGTCGTAGAGTTTCTAATGCATTGATCTTTATTGACCCTCTGGAAATAACTATACTCCTGCGTTTCCTTGCTTTGTGACTATGCCCCAGTATGTACCATGGTCAAAACATGGTATATGGGTTATGATGTCACCCCACCACTATTGAGAATTCTTGTGTTGGTCTTTATTGGTAATTAAGAACCCCAATGAAATGCTGTATGACCATCCTCAATATGGGTAAAATACACTGTATAGATATCGTTACAGTAGATATCCAACTTTTGACCACAGTGCCACAGGTTTGACCAACAAGCAGCAAATGTGTATTGGCATCCGCATAGCCTTGCAGGGCCTTGCACTGCTTTGGTGCATAGGCCTGCTTCTCTGTAAAGGAAACACAAGCGCCGGGGTCACGTAAGGACCAAAGACTGATGATGGCAGCAGTGAGCGCGCTCAACAATGACACGAACCTGGATTTTGAAAAAAGTGAGCTGCCTACGGTCCAACAAATATCTTCAGATCACCAACAAATATCTTCGGTTTGTCACTCCAAAAGTATGCGTTTTATCATGTTTTACCACTGCTTGACCCAAAATAGGTCAAATATACCATCTGGTTATTTAACAACCATGGAACATAACCATTTTTAAGTTCGGTAAACCATCTATTTCTATGGGCCATCTATACCATGGCGAACTGTTAGTCATAACCAGAGGGCAAATCCAGGTCAACTTTGGAAACCATTTGCAATCACAGTATGGTAGTCAGTTTCGTCGTTTATCACAAAAAAAATTGGGGGGCGACGTAACCATACCTAACCCACCACACCCCCCCAAAAAAAGTATCTAAAATCCATGGCTTTAACCATCGTGATCTAAATTCCATGGGTTTTTGATCATCAAACATCATCTAAAATCCATGGTTTTGATATATTTGTTGATCAACTTAAACCATCATCAAACAAACAGCTCACTTGATCCGCTTGATCTCCAGGGCGCTGCATCCATGGCTTCAACAGCCTCTCCTCCGGGTGACTCGAAGCCGACGGGCTCATCCGCATCGCCGGGCTCGGCGATGCCACGCCACCGTGGCCGCCACCGTGGCCGCCGTGGCCACCATGGCCGTGGCCGTAGACGCTGGGTGCAACGCCGCCCAGGCATCGGTCTCCGAAGCAGGGGAGCATGCTGAAGCAGCCCGGTCATGGCAAAATGGACACACGGCTGGGGTGATATGATTCTGAAGATGGCTGGGTGGGGGTGATTCAAACGTCTTAAAACATCGATGTTGATTCATTTATGACATATATATTCATATATATATATTATACGAAATTGTGATGATGTTTCATGCTGATGTAGTCTTGAGAATGCGGTGCTTCTGAGGTGATGGTAAATGATTTTACGGGGATGCATTATTGTCACCTCTACAGTTGGTTGAGGGGCAAAATGGAATTTCACAGCTGCGTGTTTCTGTAGTGAATTTGAGCCAGATGCTGCTTCAACTAGGTGTCCTTTTCTTGTGGCCGTCCTAAACGCAATGGTTAGGGGGATGGAACAATCATGAACAATATAAACACATCAGCTTCGGGGCCGATATTTGAATAGAATAATTTTGAAGCTTCCTCCCATCAGTTCCAGGTGATAGCTTCCAACGTTGGTCCCAAAATACAGCTGTTGAGAACCACCAAAAACGGCATGCGTTTCGAGTGCGTGCAGAATGTTCATTTTGTGAAGCCCATTTCTTGGGAAAGACTCTTTGCCTAAATGTGCTTCATAATAGGCTTGTAGTGAAAGAAATATGTTTGGCTGCGGTGGGAGAATATGCCGGAAACCACAGTTTTGTATCAAAAACATCGAGGTTTCTCTGATTTTTGGGGGCTTGGCATACCGGGTATTCCAAGTTCACGGATGAGAGTCCCAACCCATGCTGCCCAAATCATATTGAACTGGTGAGACACTTACCCGGCCTGGTAAACTGTCACATAACTATGGAACATCACCATGTTTGATGGGAAAAATCACTATTTCTATGGCCATTTTCAATAGCTATGTCTGACATAACCAGAGGGTAGAATAACCATGACCCCCATAGTATCCATAAGCCCTGAAAAACATCGACATGGCAGCTGCATTCTGATCACCGAGCTTCTGAATCTCTTTGAGGTTCAAACCCCCAAGGGGTCTGATGCCTCCCAAGCAGCACAGGTGCGCCGACCCCACCACCGCGGCCAGTGGAAGCCATTCCAAGATGCGGAGGAAACGCAGGGCCACCTTCAGGTCGTAGCGCCTCCAAGGCCATATCGAAACATGGCCATCGTTTACCAGTCGTTTTCCATGGATTTCGGTGTTAGAATGGCTGCACATGGTTGTCCGGCAAACGAAGATGGTGTCGTTTTTTGAACTTATCTTGATCCGTTCATCTTTGGATTGGAATACCATGGAATACCTGGTATTTGGATTGGGAGCAACAATGTTGATATATGTTGATTGTCGCTTAAGAAGGGGGCAACAATCCAGCAATTTCAACACATCGAAGGTGAAGAAAATGCCCAGCCAAGCCCTATCAGGATGATGTGGATGGTTTGGTAAAGGCGCGGCCTCAAAATTACCGACTGGCAGGATATATTGGGATGGTCAGTATAAGTCCGAGAGATCCACTAAATCGGAAAATGTGATATTGAAATATTGAATTAGTTTGGCATATATTATGGCTCTCCCAAGTTCGAGAGCTATTTATGGAATTATTGTGGATGCTTGAACGTGCTACTTGAAAACGGGCGCGCTGAGACAAAAGAAAACTGTCAGGCCGCTGAACCAAAAGATCAAGTATGGAATTAAGTATGGTAATTTTTCTGGGGCCCTCATGACATATATACCTTTCTTCAAGGTGCTTTACCCTACTATATCCTACTTTGTACCTGTTCCGAGGTGAATCGGATGGATTCCCTTCTGGTTCCTGATGCACTCGGTGCGAAAGTGAGAGCTGTTGCCAAACTCCTGCGCCGCGCAGTAGCCAAATGCGGTCTGGATACCTAGCAGGTCATACGAACCAAGCACCACATCCCCGCACAAGGGCCGAACCTGAAACATCGAATTCACCAAATATCATGGAATCATAAAAATTGGGATGTGTCAAATTTCCACAAATTTCACACATTCGCATTGATTTTGAAGCCCAGTGGCTTGATCTTGAGCAGTAGCAGAAGAATCAACACCTCACTGCCCCATCCCTTGCCAAATGGCGAGGAGAGGGTGATGCCGATGTTCCCCTCTGGTGGACCATTTCATGGCTGAAAAAACTCAGAGAGGTGCTCTGAGATGGGTTCAATAACATGTGATTTGAGATGATTTCTAGATTCTAGATGATTTTGGCCATCTGTCTAACAAAAACCCAAGGCCTTTGCCTCTTTACTAATGACATTGCTTGCATCATATTGCCTCCCTAACCCCCCACAGCTATACATCCCATCCCCAACACCAGTTCAACACCACAGTTCCTCCCTCTTATCTTCCTGCCTCCACTTCGTTTTCCGCCTTCTCCGCCAAGTAATTCCCAGGAACAGCAGCCCCGTCCCGGGCTGCGCTGTGATGACGTGGCGAAGATTCTGCAAGTGCTGCAGGTCGCCCAGAATGGCACCGCAAAGGGTGATGGAACCCCTCAACTCCTGAGGGCTAGGCCAAAGAGTGGCACAAAACAATATGGAAAATAAACAATGTTGGTGGATCTCCAAATGTGGTGAGTATAGACATGATCAATGTTTTCTATGATGTGTTTTTTTCCTCTCTCTCTCTCTTTCCATCACCATCTTAGGGCAATCGGCAGTAAAAGAGTAAAAGTAGAGATGTGGATGTGTTTTTGGTGAGTTATGTGTGTTATTGTCTCGGTAAGTCAATATGGGAAGAAAACCTGAAACCGACCTCATCCCAGGCTCCAACACACTGGGCTCTTGCGATAACAGGTCCTCACCCATCGCCAAAATGTCCTGGGAGTTGGAAGTCAACAAACATCCAATGATGATAATGATATGATATATATATATATATATATAATGATGTGATGTCGCCTCATGATGCCTGTCAGACACTTGCCGCAGATCTTGAAGCTGCACACCTTTCAACAACAAAATACATGTGAAAAAAAAAATCAGGGCACATGGAGTCGAATCAACCTTGGCTTTTCACCAAGAACTAACATCATCTGACATCTGATTCTGCCGGGTCCCATCCCAAGGTATGCCAAGGCGCCATGAGATCCAAAGCCTCCAGGCCCGGGCCAAACGCTCCGGGCGGCGATGAGAAGCTTTGGAGGTGCTGATCGATGTCGAGGCATTTGCTCAGCACACAGAGGCCTCGAAGCGGCGAGCGGAGAGCTGATTTCAGCTCTGTTTTTAGGTGAGATTATATTAGAGAAATCACACACACATGCATATTATACATATCACACACACACACATATATATATATATATATGTATATACAGGAATGTATGTATATGTGCATATAAATATATCTACAGTATATAAATACAAATGCATATCATCAATACAGACCTGAATCACCATCGCAGGCACTTAGGAAAATAGAAGTCTATCACATTCGATGATTTGAAATTACCAACCATACACACAATGGAAACCATCAACGTTTTCATTGACCTTTGGAACTTTTGGGAGTCCATATCAGGCTCAAGGAATGCAAAGGACGAGCCACAAACATCTCCATGCCAATCTAAGCTGTCGCAGGTCTCATCATCTCCCAAGCTTCCAGTAGCACATATCAGCCTCAGAAGTCTTCTCAATTTCTGACATGTGAAATACGGTCTTTGCCGTTCATGAAAAACGGTATAGACTGCATATGAAAGTATAGAGTATAGAGTATAGAGTCTGATGAGTTTTTTCCCTTATCAATTCAAAAGGGCCCTCCAGCTTCAATCTTTTAAGCTTCACTTGGCAGTTTCAAGCAGTCAGTCACCATTGGCTATGGGATCATGTAGCATAAACTCTACGACCCAACTGATTCGGAGGATGCCAGGTGGATGACGGAAAGGTGCCAGCAATCAGCACTTTAAAGATCCCATTCATCGCATTAAAACAAAGAAAGGTATAAAGTAACTATATAAATCCCATGAAATCCAGTACAATCCCATGAATTGCACGATGCACCCCATTCAACAATAATGTCCTTTAGCGTTTTAGCCACCCCAGACTCATGCGGTTGCGGGGCAGTTGAAATACGACGGGTGGTCCTGAAGTGGACCGGTTGAACCAGCCATCCCAAATCAGGAGCATTCACCACACATCACATCACCCCATAAGTTGTAACTCTAAATATGTTGCATATATATATATATATAGGTATATAGAGAACACGCACACACACACACACACACATATATATATATATACATGCATAGACATATAGAACACGCACACACATATGTATATATATATATATTGTATAGAACAGCACGTACAGAGTACGAATGTATATGGCGTAATATTGCATAATAAGTATGTAACTACATGATAAGCATGATAAGCATGAAACGTATATAATGGAAATATATAGTTACCGTAGCTGATGAACTAATTATATCGCACTAGGCACTATATGACTATATCTGAGTGCATCTTATTGTGTGATATTCTGTGCCATAGTTCTGCCGCAGTCATCACCAATCTGTCCTCCTTCCTTGTGTATTGCGTGCTTCAGCTCTCTGACGGACGTCTCGGGCGTGACTCGCAGGGTGCAAACGTTTCGACCCGCAAGGGTGGTCACCACGACGCTGACCTGTCTGCGATATGGACTTAACCCACTTTGATGCCAACCTCAAAGTAGGGTGGATCTGGTGGTTTTAACATGCACCACAAAAAACATGAAGAAACTGGGATTTAACCACGATAAAGTGATGATCCAATGGTGGTTGGAAAACCATGGTTTCAAGCCATCACAAATCTTCACATGGGAGTCAACTGGGATAGTGGTCCCAACCAAGGGCTAGAGAAGCATGCTTGGGACCAGCAGCTCGTCCCAAATGCACAATACATCAAGGGGAACCATCCAAAGCATTCTGGATATCCAAATCAGCCCCAAATGATATCCTGGCACTTCATAATGGAATACTGTATATATATATAAATACCCAGCAAAAGACATGTCACTTCCAAACTCCAAACGACACTTTGCCATGAAAGAGCTTGGTTAAACGGCGGGGAGGGGTGGTTTGGTTTCGCACAAGCTGTTCATGAAACACAGTTTTGGTGGGCAAAGAACAGCAATCTCTCCGTTTAGATCACACAAACCAGCAACCCCCCAAGACCATGGAAGCGGACAAACAAGATCCAAAAATAATCCTGCAGAGTCTTACAGCTTGGGTCAGACAAATGGGGCACATGAACTTATTCTAGCATTGAACCAATGAATTTTGCTCTAAAACTCAAGAAGTCTCCTTTGGCCACCCACGCGTTCTGTGGCATTGCTCGCCTCACTGTGGGTCGCATTATAATCTCGGCCATGGCTAGCTTGGATGGTGGCTCCGCAACCCATGGGAGCCACCGAGCCACCTTTTCAGCCTGAAGTTGAGGCGATCATGATTAATCATGATTATCCACAACCATCCAGCTGAAATATGAAATGCCTGAAAATCATTTCATATCCTTCCATTAAACTACATACCAATCACACCTATTCCCCCTGCCAAATGACCAGAACCACCTTGCGCAGCCTGGTCCGAGCTAAGTTGAGCCTTCTAATGCTGAGTTTCGGATGTGGCAACAGATGGTAACAGAATGGACAGTGACATGGTGGGTCCCTGGGTAGGTAGCTGGCCATGAAAGTGGTGAATGATGTTCCAAACATCGCACCTGGCAATGGAGAATGATGGACCATCCACCATTTGCAGATCCCCCTTGCCATAATACATCAGAAGAGGGACATCTGATCACCTTGAAAAAAATAACAAAATACGAGAAATACATCAGGAAACAAACATCTACTGGACAAGGTTTGTTTGTAGTTCCATGTTTGGCCTTGGGGATGCAAAATTCCCTCACTTCCCCAGGAATACAAAGTTGCTGCTGATAAGTCAGCTATCGCTATTGGCCACTTATCTCCAAGACTGTTTGTGTTTTCTTCACTTTGTTGCTTCAGTACTTCAACATGCGCTAGGCCCTAGCAAAAGCTGCTGCCATTGTTTTTGCGTTAATTCCCATGCTTAAGTGCAACTACGAACATGCAAGCAACATCAAAAGCAGTCCTTAAGTTGTGGTTCCAGTATGTTCCCGTAATTAATTCATTGTTTTGCTGAATGCATCTTCTATGACTATACCATCTTTTCTCAGCTGTGCAACCAACCACCCAACCCCCAACTGTTCCTGTGAAGTTCCCGGTCGCCCTGCAAAGCCGTGAAGCGGAGCTGCTCCTCCGCGCTCTTCAGGGTGGCTTTCTTATCTTTATTTTATTTATCCATGTCAGGTGACCGTACCACATTGATTGATCCATTTATAATCCATTTATCCATTGTCTGATTCGTCATGTTTTCTTATGTTTTTTTGACATCCATTTATTGCTACACGTAGAACATTGTGGCTGTCGTTCCATCCAGCCGGATGCCTGGAAAATTCGATCTCTCCAACTTGACTCCTCTCACAAACCATCATTTCCGGTGTGACGCCATGGTGACGTCGTTTTATTTACGCTCTGGTAAACTGTCACATAACTATGGAAAATCACCATTTTGAATGGGAAAACTCACTATTTCTATGGCCATTTTCAATAGCTATGTTAGTCATTACCAGAGGGTGCACAGATTTGGGTTTGTCTGAGAATAGGGCACCCCAAATCCAGTGCTGTACTGGTATCATATGATTTTCGCCATTTGGGGAATATCCCTCCGGTAATTTCCACTCATAACTCTAACAGGAAATGTTCCGTAGCTATGTTAAATGTGAAATTACCTTAAAGGATATACCCTCTGGTAAACTGTCACATAACGAACTGGAAAATCACCATGTTCAATGGGTAAATCCATGCAAATCCATCTATTTCTATGGGATTCTATGAGCCATGTTCAAGTTCGCAAACTGTTAATCTCTTCGTTGACCAAAGGATATATATCGCCCATGTTCCCATTTCTTGTGGCCTGAACTTCCAAAAAGTCCATCCCACCAGTACCCCATCTTCCGGCCATATGAATTGTGGGGATATTCCCTGAAATTTAGGCCTAAGAAATAGGCCTTATGGTAGGTACCTCCAATCAATCGGTTCCTGAAATGGCCATTGATGTTGTGATAAATTTCGATGTCCTGTGTTCGAAACAGTGATACGACTGATTTAACAATAGCATTGATACAGTAATGCCGACTTTTGGAATCGAAGAAATGGGGACTTGCGAGGGACAAGTGCACTGATAAATAAATACCCTCTGGTTATTTAACATAGCCATGGAAAATGGCCCTATATAGATGATTTCCCATTAAAACCTCCATTTATGAGGGATTTTCCATGGCTATGTCAAATAACCAGATGGTAATATACATCAAAATGGAGACGTTCTACCCTTGGATCTTTGTGTGCCGGAGGGTATGTGAAGCCACCAGCTGACTCAGCTTCTTGACAAAAAATGACCGATGTCTGGCGATTCGCCATTCGATGCCATTCGCCATTTCAAACCCAGTTGGCATTTGGCAATTTCAAATGAAGTCGTCAATGCTTTTAGTATCTCTTAGTACTGGTGACAAAATCCTGCCCACGAAGCAGCTGAGTCCCAACGACCGGCGTCTTGGACACGTCCTTTTGGTTTGTCGGCTTTTCGGCATCCTGGCGGTGATTTTGATCGAAGTGAGATCACCAGCCACTGAAATCAATGCCACTGCTCCTTGCTGGTCACCAAATGCGTCTCTTCTTCGCTTGAAGCCTCCTTAGTCTGTCCAAGTGTTACAAGGTGGGAAGGAGGTAAATGCATAGTTTCAGATGTTGCTGTATGTGTATCCACTTGAAAAACAAGTCGAACATTATGCTAAGTATGGAGAGCTCATGAAGATTCGTTTTCGTGAAATCATCAGTCTTGCGAAGGAGAACACCCCGGCAACAACCGTTTGCCCTCTGGAGTTTGAAGAGTTTGCTACCGAACATCACCTTTTCATATTATATAGGGTAAGTAATCTACTAATATCTACTATACATTTTTAATAGCTATGTTAAATTACCGGAGGGTAGGATTGAGAATTGCAACCATGTTCACCAGCAAACGGCCCAGGAATGCCACCAAGCATCATCCACTGGAACACAGCCACAGTTCGGATATGGCACCCGCCTCTGTAGCAACCTGATGTGTGGCCTTGGGCCCCCACTGGAGGATTTTGCACGGCAGCATAATTTTTTTTTTTGGTTCAGTACCAAGGACATCATGGCGTGAAATGATCAGGAAAATGGGAAAAATCATGGGACAAGATTTCCTGATATCACTGGATACTGAAAATGACGCTCACACATGGCCACCCACCCCGAGATCAGAAGTTTGCAGGCTCCGATTCTGCTATCATACCGCCATTTGGGGGATTCCCCCAATTCTAACCATCATTCCAGTGACATCACGACGTGGGCTTAATAATAAAATATTACAAATAATTTCCAATATTATTGTGGTATTTATACAATGTTTTACGTATTGCATCAGGATACATTAGATATGATACTATACCATTATATAGCATACTACCAGT